TGGTCTTCATTGCTGAATAATTAAGAGAGTATCGTGACAAATTCAATATTATAAGAAGACTAATTTCCTTTATTGATAGAAAAAAGGTGCAAGTGCCAGGTGGCATTCGGTGTAAGGATGTATGGAGTTATGCGGGTGTGGGGCTTCACATAGCTCAAAAACTGCCTACCAAAAGTAAGCAAACAAATCATAGATCTGTTAAATAAAATCTGGACTTCCGGTTGATGCCCTTATACATGGAGTAGTGCATATTTCCTAATACACTATTTTAAGAATCCTAACGAAATCAGACAGCAAAGTAATATCGGGTATTACATTTTGTAAATTGTGATAATCAAATTCGGTTTCCGTACCCGTTCAACGAATTGCTTTTAACTATGTTTAGATGATATCATTGTGTATCATGAGAAACGTAACGTATACTGACCGTATGTAAAACAGATCCACTACACCAGAACCCATTAGCTTCAAAATCTTAACATGTTTCAGATTTATTTGTTCTGTTATTTGTTGTGAAAATATTTCTACGTAGTTGTTTTTTTTTTTAACTTAATTACCTCTTGATAAGTTATTTTTATTCTGTGTGTAATCGGGGGTTGCAAGAAACGTCACAACACCGGAGTTCGTTCTGTATATTTATTACGATCATAAGGACGACACCCTGCATGTAGTGCAGGGCCGATGATCGTCGAACCACACTCAATAAACTGAGGATCAGGATCACATTCTAAAAATAACAACATACACACTCTTACACACCGATATACACAAAGTCAACAGATATATAAAAAAAACTCATGAGATAGACACATCTGACCATCATGTACTTTGACAATGAGACTTCATATCACACACGTTTAGCCATTGCCAATTGCATAAATTCAAATAAATAAATAAATAAATAAATAAATAAATAAATAAATAAATAAATAAATAAATAAATAGAGTAAAGTGTGAGATTAATAGTAAGACATTATAGATAATAAGACTTACATTAAATCGTCTGTCTTTGTCGGAGCCAGATCTATAGCACAACTGCTAGTTGCAAAACAAACTTGTCATCTGGCAAATTCCCGCCAACTGACCACACAAAGAACAACAAACACAATGACCACACCAACTGACCAATCAGAACACAAGACATAATAAAACACTATGACACTAACGCCACCAAAGGCAATCACACCTTCGGACACGGACGGACGCGGATATATATATATAACGACGTCAACGATAAAATAGGCAAAGCGAAAGCTGGTACTTACGACATGAAGTAATTATATTAAATAAAACAATAACAAATAACCCTGTTACATGTGCATTGAATTTTAAGTGCAACAGCACCATGTATGCTAATGACTCTACACCCACATACTCGATTTCAGGAAACCAATATGAGAAATAAACATAAGGGAGTGTTTTTTCTCAGAATGAAACAATTAAACGTCACTATGTCCAAATTGTACAACATATTTAAATGAGGTATTTAAATATGCAAATTGGATTACACCAGATATTTCCGGTCTACGCTAGATCAGATACTACATATTATAAAAAAAAGGGATTTAACAAGGACAAGAAAGGTTAGTTTTTAATTGCAAGTGATTGGAATATAAATAACTGTAGATCTATCTATTATCATTTCATTACCTATTTAACGGCTTTTTTATTATTGTTGAAACGTAGTAAAATGATAAAATAGACTTGTTTATGTCTCATTTAATGATATATGGGGGGAGAGGGTTAGTTTTTAATTGCGATTGTTTCAATCCTTTCTAAATTGTTTGATAAATCTATCGACTGTGGTATATATCCTACAACTATAGGCCTATATCTTTGATAAGTATCGTTGGCAAACTAATGGAAAGGTGTATTTCAAAACATGTCTGCATTTTTTATATACAGTTTCGTTATTATTGTTGGTTATACATGTACGTTACTTAATGATATATACAGTCGTTATTGTTAAACAGAGTTACGGTTATTTGCGGTCAATCTGATCGACCCCACTATTAAGACCACCTCGCTATCAAGACCACTTTTGTCCAGTCCACAAAGTGGTCTTGATAGCGAGGTTTCACTGTACAAAGTTTTTTTTTACAAATTGTCAATCAGGCTTCACACTTGGTGATTCTGTTACAAATCAATTACTAGATATTATAAAATGAATTTAGGAGGGCTTTAGACGCGGGTAAAGAAATCATTGTCGTATTTTGTGACATAAGGTTTTGAAAGGGTTTGGCACATGGGTCTTATACATAAATTGGAAAAATCGGACATTTCTGGTAAATTACTATCTTGGTGCAATCAATGGATAAACAGAATGCATGACGTAACTAGATAACATTTATATATTACCATTTGTTAAGTAGCTATATACAATGTTCCAACCGTGAATAGTGCACACCGATTTTTGACAAAAAAAAACCCCAAAAAACAAAAACGAAAAAAAAAAAAAAAAAAATCAAGTAGCCATTCGAGTCATTGACTGTAGAATTTAGGAATTGTGTTAGTTTATGTTCAACATTTCACGTGTACACTGGGTTTACAAATAGACATGCTAACGCCGATCCCAATATCCGCGATACAAATGCAGAATGCTTGTGAACATGAAACTAAACGATGGGGCGTGTTGCAATTATTGAAACGCTTCTTCATGGTGATGATTACGAAGACATCTATATAGATTTGATTTTGTTTAAATAGATCATTTATTCCAATGCTGGTAAAACGGTTTTAATTGACAATATATTTATCTTGAATGCAGTCATGGAGTGCTACCTATACTGCAACAGTTGTCTCCCTTACAAAACTAGTCGATAAACACCATATAAGTAAGTTATGTATTTTTCTTTCGTATCTTCTTAGAATCGGTGCAACAGCACAATTTGTCGCATTTTATTATCCTGTTGTTAATTTCTGTTGGTTTATTTCTTGATCTTGTACGTAGGATAGCATATCACAATAACTTGATTATCAGTTTGTTTACCTGATCGATGGTTGCTGGATAGCGGAAGTGGGCTGTAACTGAAAAAGTAAACTTTTACTTTGCCTGTTGGTCGTTGACAGTTCATGAGATCACGTTATTTTGTTACCCACACACCAACCTGATGATCTGAAATATCCACGAGAATATGTACAGAACAATAAGGTAAGAACGACAGGAACCATTTTGTAAATGACGATACGCGTTGACGAATGTAACGTACAATGATACAGTTAGGTATATGTGACAGACGAGACAGATATCCTATAAGATGTGTGTTTTCATCCTCTTCTTCTTAGACATTTCAGGGCTCCATCAATAATCATGTTTACACTCACTAGTGCGCAGGGGCACGACGGGAAAGGGGTATTTACAATGCCTTATTTATTCATTTACTTATTTATTTATTTATTTATTTATTTATTTATTTATTTATTTATTTATTTATTTATTTGTGAGAGTATAAGATAAAAATTAGCACATGCCGTTATGTGTAAGTGTGTGAGCACGTCGGGGAAAACCTCTAGTTACAGAAACTGACCTATTATATGAAGTTGTGTATTGAGAAAAAGTCTATAGTCCTCACCTGACTTTGGCTTGTTTGTATAAGGTAGATACTTTTTGTAGGCAGCATATTCTTGGAAAGGGCAGTATTCATATGAAGAGATGAATGGTGCTGTTAAACAAGGTTACTATTCCTATTCTGATATCTGGTTTGAGTGACTGGATAATAATAATCTGGTTGAATTGAGTGGATATCTGGTTTAAGTGGATACATAATGTAATGAATTTATGTTCCACTTACATCTGTATTGATAACTCTGATCTATGCCAAGTACATGCTTTGATATGGTAAAGTGAAAGTACGTCTGATCGTATCTTTCAAACGCACATCAGACCGGATTATCAGGACGAATCTAAAATTCAGTCAACTCCCCTCGAGAACTACGGATGGGATGACCCAGTTCTTTATAAACCCCAAGCTGCAGTGATCTGGCGTCCTATGTTCCTAACGGCCGCCGGGTGGCGACCATAGAAGGTATGAGTAGCAGTATAGCGTGCATGCAGTATAGCAGAGGACTGATAGTGTTTACTGGTGATAGGCCTGAAAGATTGCGTCATCCGATGTCATTAAAGTTGCCTTAGTGAGATAGTCGCTATATGGTTCCTGTGAATTGGTTCGTTTGGCCTTGTTCGAACTACATGTAGATTAGTTCGAGGCGACAGTGAGATTAGTTGCTCAACCCAATAGTTTGCTTGGCTTAGTTCAAACTAAAGAAGTCCCTTCCTGCAACTTGGTTTGGTTTGCACTGAATATCCATGCAGATATAAACCATAAGAGTAGGAAACCCCGAGTAATGGAGTAATTGTTTTAATAACGCTAAATAAGCGTATACAGGATCAGAGTTCATTCATTGGTGATGTTTATTTTCCTTAACATGTACATAGTGTAGTATAATGTGTTCCATTCATATGCATATCTGTGTATATTTTACTTCGTCACTAGACCCTCATTTCGTCAAAATGATTCAAATAGATTCCCAGCAAGGTAATCTGAGACTTGCTCACATTTCTGACCCTCATAACAAAAAGTTGATAGGGTTGCACGTTACAATATCTCGTACTACAAACATGTATGTGTTGATTTCTCTGACATCTTGTACTATAAACATGTATGTGTTGATATAATCATTTTTTATCTGTTTCAGACACCAGCATTAAAGATGAAATAATGAGTGACGGCAGTAAAATGAACACTAACAATGTTCCCATCTTGGAGAAACCTCCTCCTCTGCCTCCTCGGCAACGTTCCTTTGTACGGACATCACAGCCCCCTCCAGTTGGCTGGATGATGTCTGGAGCAACAGCTTGGGAGCCAACTACCAACCCCGAAAGATTTCCAACACATGATAGCTCTGTATCAAATTCCAATGATAGCAGACCTACCTCATCACCAGCATTTACAAACTTCCAAACAACATCAGGAGCAAATCAGTTTGAGAAACCTAATAATATAGATTTGGCGGAAGTAAGAAAAGAACAGAATTACCTGATATCACTATCACCAGTTAATACTCTCAGACAAAACCAAGCAAATGAAAATTTCTTTTGTTCTGACTTGGCTGGGATTGATTTCTCTTCAGCATTAAACAATGAGGAAAGTTTCGATTCAAGTCAGCGTAACTCCTCAGATAAAGGGAAGAAGAATTACCAGGAATTTAGACATGTGTTTTGTGATACGTCAAGTGGGACAGGGATACCAAATCGACCAAAATCAGACCCTCAAGGAGCTGCAGGCTTGCAGTATGGATGGAATAGCAATTTGTTTAAAAATGATCCCTGGCAGCCCTTCAGTACTGCAGCAGTGGATGTCCGAGGACCAGGAACCAATCCAGGTGTGGCTAGAGGGCAGCCAACAGGTGTATGGCCTACTGGTCCATTTCCCAATCAAGCAATTGGCCAAAATAACTTCAGAACACCTGAGGCACAATTTGGATCATTTGGTTCTAATCAGTTTTCCAATTTACCAGTGAAAAGTCCTGTACAATCCCCTTCCACATTTTCTGAAATAGATTTTAATACTGTTGTGTTACCGTCACCGTCGGCAGGAAGTAATTCTGTCAACCCAAGTCATTCATCTACAAACACAAACAATTTGCAAAATCTCTTTGAGTTGGACAATATTTCACAATGGGAAAGAGATCTTGCAGCTGAAAAACCTAAGTCTGATGACCTGATGGATTTTTCTCCATCTGAGGAAAAAGAGTATTTGTCTCTTGATTCCTTTGATCCTTTATACGAACGGACGCGAAGAGAATCAATTACAGAATCAAATTCTGCTAAACATCAAGTGCCATCATATATGATAGGTGATATAAGCGAGGTAAGTTCTAAGTCACAACTCTCTTCAGAGGGTCGGATGGATATGAGGCAGAGAGAAAGTGCTGGATCATTGTATCCAATGGAACAGCTGCAGGCAGCAAGAGAATCGTCAGTTGAACACTCAAGTGAAGAGGATCTCGAAAGATTTCTACAAAGTACAGCAACTGACAGTGAAAAGATAAGTGAAGTGGTACCTCCCCCTCGTCCACCACCTATCAAGGTATGTTGTACCTCTCCTTCATCCACACTCTATCAAAGTATGTTGTACCTCTCCGTCACCCACCCCTTTACAAAGTATGTCGTACCACACCCTCGCCAACCCCCTATCAATGTATGTTGTACCTCCCCCTCGCCCACCCCCGATCAAGGTATGTTGTACCTCCCCCTCACCCATCCCTATTACAGGTATGTTGTACCTCACCCGCGCACACATTCTACCTGATAGCATACCCTTTTTAAGCTAACTCATCACCCCCTCTTTATGTCTGTTTTGCTTCACTCTTTTAACCCTAACAATTTTTTTCCTACTTGGTCTCCCTTGTCAAGGTATGACCTACCTGCTACTTGCCTTCCTCCTTTCAAAATCTGTTTTACCTGTCCCTCTCCTACCTCTATCAAAGTCTGTTTTACCTGTCCCTCTCCTACCTCTATCAAAATCTGTTTTACCTGTCCCTGTCCTACCTCTGTCAAAATCTGTTTTACCTGCCCATCTCCCACCTCTATCAAAATCTGTTTTACCTGTCCCTCTCCCACCTCTATCAAAATCTGTTTTACCTGCCCCTGTCCTACCTCTATCAAAATCTGTTTTACCTGCCCGTCTCCCACCTCTATCAAAATCTGTTTTACCTGCCCGTCTCCTACCTCTATCAAAATCTGTTTTACCTGCCCGTCTCCCACTTCTATCAAAATCTGTTTTACCTGCCCGTCTCCCACTTCTATCAAAGTCTGTTTTACCTGCCTGTCTCCCACTTCTATCAAAATCTGTTTTACCTGCCCCTCTCCTACCTCTATCAAAATCTGTTTTACCTGCCCCTCTCCTACCTCTATCAAAATCTGTTTTACCTGTCGCTCTCTCACCTCTATCAAAATTTGTTTTACCTGCCCCTGTCCCACCTCTATCAAAGTCTGTTTTACCTGCCCCTCTCCTACCTCTATCAAAATCTGTTTTACCTGTCCCTCTCCCACCTCTATCAAAGTCTGTTTTACCTGTCCCTCTCCCACCTCAATCAAAGTCTGTTTTACCTGCCCCTCTCCCACCTCTATCAAAATCTGTTTTACCTGCCCCACCTCTATCAAAATCTGTTTTACCTGCCCCTGTCCTACCTCTATCAAAATCTGTTTTACCTGTCCCTCTCCCACCTCAATCAAAGTCTGTTTTACCTGCCCCTCTCCCACCTCTATCAAAATCTGTTTTACCTGCCCCACCTCTATCAAAATCTGTTTTACCTGCCCCTGTCCTACCTCTATCAAAATCTGTTTTACCTGTCCCTCTCCCACCTCAATCAAAGTCTGTTTTACCTGCCCCTCTTCCACCTCTATCAAAATCTGTTTTACCTGCCCCACCTCTATCAAAATCTGTTTTACCTGCCCCTGTCCTACCTCTATCAAAATCTGTTTTACCTGCCCCTGTCCTACCTCTATCAAAATCTGTTTTACCTGTCCCTCTCCCACCTCTATCAAAATCTGTTTTACCTTCCCCTTTCCTGGTTCTGTTAAGGTCTGTTTGACTTGCCCCACTTCAACCTCTATCAAAGTCTGTCCCTCATCACCCCAATAGGCTTTGTCTTACCTTCCTCTTGCCACCCCTACCATATTTATCTGTGCCAGCTAAGCATGTCCTGCCTCTTCCTAGTCCTCTATCAAGTTTAACTATATAAACCTCCTCCTTGCCCAGCTGTCAAGATATACTTACCTCCTCCTTGCCCAGCTGTCAAGATATACTTATCTCCTTCTCCTCCCTCTGTCAAGATATACTTACCTCCTCCTTGCCCAGCTGTCAAGATATACTTATCTCCTTCTCGTCCCTCTGTCAAGATATACTTACCTCCTTCTCGTCCCTCTGTCAAGATATACTTACCTCCTTCTCGTCCCTCTGTCAAGATATACTTATCTCCTTCTCGTCCCTCTGTCAAGATATACTTATCTCCTTCTCGTCCCTCTGTCAAGATATACTTATCTCCTTCTCCTCCCTCTGTCAAGATATACTTATCTCCTTCTCGCCCCTCTGTCAAGATATACTTACCTCCTTCTCGTCCCTCTGTCAAGATATACTTATCTCCTTCTCCTCCCTCTGTCAAGATATACTTATCTCCTTCTCGTCCCTCTGTCAAGATATACTTATCTCCTTCTCGCCCCTCTGTCAAGATATACTTACCTCCTTCTCCTCCCTCTGTCAAGATATACTTATCTCCTTCTCCTCCCTCTGTCAAGGTATACTTACCTCCTTCTCCTCCCTCTGTCAAGATATACTTACCTCCTTCTCCCTCTGTCAAGGTATACTTACCTCCTTCTCCTCCCTCTGTCAGGGTATAACTACCTTCTCCTCACCTCTTATCAAGTAGTGATTGTAGTACAATGGCTGGTCTTTAAGAAACAATTTCCTTTTTTGTTGTTTATTCATGTGCAAACTGCATTTTTTAACAGATATTTCAACATGACTTGCTGACGCACCATTTAAAATATCTGTAAAGAAATGCAGTATACATGCCAAATGACTTATTATATATTTACATTTTGAAAGCTTTTTTTTAGCTCAACTGGCTTTATGGGCCAAGTGAGCTTCTGTCATGGTGCAGCTTCCATCGTCCGTTGTTTGTCCAGTGACAACTTTTCCATGTGAATGATTTCCTCTCAATAATGAGCTGTCTGAATGTTATGATATTTGGCTGATAAGTTGCTGCATGCCAAAGTTTAAAAAAAAAAAAAAAAAAAAAATGACCTTGACACTTATTTCGAGGTTACAGAGGTCAAATTTGTTAAAACCTTTAAACAACTTCTCCTGACTATTCAAAAGGTGCAGAAGTAGGTAAATGGATGAAAGGTTCCTAGAATGAAGCCCAACAAATATTTTTTGCAAAAAGAAATGACTTTGATCCTTATTCAAGGTTCTTCTTTAGACTTCTTCTGAGTAACCAAAACACACAAAAGCATGAATTTTTTGGTGGAAAAGTGTCTCTGGATCAAAGCCCAAATGATTTCAAGAAGAAAGAAATTACATTTATCTATAATTCTGGTACTAACTGTTGCTGTTTAGAATTGAGTTTTAGAAGCTGTTTCTTGGTGAAATTAGTTAAAATTCATCGGATGTGCCACTCTAAATGCCAGTGGTGTACGTGTCAATATATTTGTGATATTAACACTGATTCTAATTTTGATAAACATTAAATAACAGCTGAGCAATGCAGGCCCATTAAACCTCTTGTTTACACTCCAATCATTGTTCATTGATGTTATATGCACTGACAGAACAACCTTACAACTGATGGAATAGCAAAGTTGCTGATTGGTAACTAAAGGAAGTAAACAGAAAATAGTTCCACAATAATATCGTATTTATGTGAGATATTTTAAGCATGTACATCTCCATTCATATATTGCTTTTGAGTTTCCAGTTTATACAAAATAAATTCCAAAGATTTAAACAATTAGAACAGATGCAGAGGTGGATTCTCACTAAACTTTGTTTACCACACATGTACAGTGGACAGGCTTTCTACATGCCAGACTTGATGTTTACAGAAATGTAAACATAAAATTTGTTCATAAGACCAAATAAGGAATACTCATCAGAAATGTACATATAATTGATTACCTTTTCTCAACTCATCTGATGTCGTGATTTATTTCAAGTCTTCATAACCAGTCATCAGTATCGTAATATTTTCTAGTGTTTTAGCAAAATTAAAATTCATGCATTAATTGGTTGATAAGATGCCAGTGGCCATTAGTAAACAAATTCTGAGTAAGTGAGGTATTATTCTGTAATAATTCAAATCCATTATACATTCAAATGAATATCCCTGAATTTGGATATACTGATGGTAGATCAAGGATTTCAGGCAATTTATTGAATACCCAGTGACTTCAACATCATTATTTTCCAGACCTCAACAAAGTCTTATGAAACGTTACGGAAACGCCTTTTTGTTGATGATGAATCCCATGCATTTTGCCAGATGGTGGCTGAGTAAGTATCACTGGTAATAAATAAGTTTGTAATGTGACGACCTTGAGACTATAGGTTTGTACTGCATCAGTGACGGCCTTTAGACTGTAGGTTTGTACTGTATCAGTGATGACCTTGAGACTATAGGTTTGTACGGTATCAGGGACGGCCTTTAGACTATAGGTTTGTACTGTATCAGTGACATCCTTGAGACTGTAGGTTTGTACGGTATCAGTGACGACCTTGAGACTATAAGTTTGTAATGTATCAGTGACGACCTTGAGACTATAGGTTTGTACGGTATCAGTGACGACCTTGAGACTATAGGTTTGTACGGTATCAGTGACGGCCTTTAGACTATAGGTTTGTACTGTATCAGTGACATCCTTGAGACTGTAGGTTTGTACGGTATCAGTGACGACCTTGAGACTATAGGTTTGTACGGTATCAGTGACGACCTTGAGACTATAGGTTTGTACGGTATCAGTGACGGCCTTTAGACTATAGGTTTGTACTGTATCAGTGACATCCTTGAGACTGTAGGTTTGTACGGTATCAGTGACGACCTTGAGACTATAAGTTTGTAATGTATCAGTGACGACCTTGAGACTATAGGTTTGTACGGTATCAGGGACGGCCTTTAGACTATAGGTTTGTACTGTATCAGTGACATCCTTGAGACTGTAGGTTTGTACGGTATCAGTGACGACCTTGAGACTATAAGTTTGTAATGTATCAGTGACGACCTTGAGACTATCAGGAACAACGTTGAGACTATAGGTTTGTACGGTATCAGTGACGACCTTGAGACTATCGGTTTTTACTGTATCAGTGACAGTCTTGAGAGTATAGGTTCGTACTGTATCAGTGACGACCTTGAGACTATAGGTTTGTACTGTATTAGTGACGACCTTGAGAGTATAGGTTCGTACTGTATCAGTGACAACCTTGAGACTATAGGTTCGTACTGTATCAGTGACGACCTTGAGACTATAGGTTTGTACTGTATCAGTGACGACCTTGAGACTATAGGTTTGTACGGTATTAGTGATGACCTTGAGAGTATAGGTTCGTACTGTATCAGTGACGACCTTGAGACTATTGGTTTGTACTGTATTAGTGACGACCTTGAGAGTATAGGTTCGTACTGTATCAGTGACAACCTTGAGACTATAGGTTCGTACTGTATCAGTGACGACCTTGAGACTATAGGTTTGTACTGTATCAGTGACGACCTTGAGACTATAGGTTTGTACGGTATTAGTGACGACCTTGAGAGTATAGGTTCGTACTGTATCAGTAACGACCTTGAGACTATATGTTTGTGCCGATCAGTGACGACCTTGAGACTAGGTTTGTGCCGATCAGTGACGACCTTGAGACTAGGTTTGTGCCGATCAGTGACAGCCTTTGTTCCCTTTTGTTTTATATATATATATATATATTTGTTTAGTTGGTTTTTACATCTGCTATTAATGCCTCTTGGCTGCTAACAAAGAACTATATCATATCAGTGTACTTATGTTTGGCTATTTACAGAAAATTGATTTTTTGAGATTTTTCTTTATTTCATTTCAGTTTGAAGTCACACTATACCTCAACAGATTGCAGTTGTAATCTTGGTTTTGTTGTGAGTCCTCTGTGTGATAAACAGCAGCCCTCACTCTCTGTGAAAATTGTCATCTACTCCGACTTTGCTGCTGACCCTGTTTTGTTTACCTGTGATGGTGGGTTTGATTCATTTGTAATATCTTACATTTTATTTCGATAAAAAATTTGTCGTTCCATGATAAAGGTATCTCTATTTCTGTCTCAATCAGTACAAACATTGTCACTATTTCTGTCCCCCTCAATAGTCACATTGTCATTATTTCTGTCCCCCCTCAATAGTCACATTGTCACTATTTCTGTCCTCCCACAATAGACACATTGTCACTATTTCTGTCTCCCTCAATGATCACATTGTCACTATTTCTGTCTCCCTCAATAGTCACATTGTCACTATTTCTGTCCCCCTCAATAGTCACATTGTCACTATTTCTGACTCCTTCAGTACTCACATTGTCACGATTTCTGTCCCCCTCAATAGTCACATTGTCATTATTTCTGTCCCCCCTCAATAGTCACATTGTCACTATTTCTGTCCTCCCACAATAGACACATTGTCACTATTTCTGTCTCCCTCAATGATCACATTGTCACTATTTCTGTCCCCCTCAATAGACACACTGTCACTATTTCTGTCCCCCTCAATAGTCACATTGTCACTATTTCTGTCCCCCTCAATAGTCACAATGTCACTATTTCTGTCCCCCCCACAATAGTCACATTGTCTCTATTTCTGTCCCCCACAATAGACACGTTGTCACTATTTCTGTCTCCCTCAATGATCACATTGTCACTATTTCTGTCTCCTCAATAGTCACATTGTCACTATTTCTGTCTCCCTCAATAGACACACTGTCACCTTTTCTGTCCCCCTCAATAGTCACAATGTCTCTATTTCTGTCCCCCTCAATAGTCACATTGTCTCTATTTCTGTCCCCCACAATAGACACGTTGTCACTATTTCTGTCCTCCCACAATAGACACATTGTCAATATTTCTGTCTCCCTCAATGATCACATTGTCACTATTTCTGTCTCACTCAATAGTCACATTGTCACTATTTCTGTCTCCCTCAATAGACACACTGTCACTATTTCTGTCCCCCTCAATAGTCACATTGTCATTATTTCTGTCCCCCTCAATAGTCACATTGTCACTATTTCTGTCCTCCCACAATAGACACATTGTCACTATTTCTGTGCCCCCACAATAGACACATTGTCACTATTTCTGTCCCCGACAATAGTCACATTGTCACTATTTCTGTCCTCCCACAATAGACACATTGTCACTATTTCTGTGCCCGCACAATAGACACATTGTCACTATTTCTGTCCCCCACAATAGTCACATTGTCACTATTTCTGTCCCCCTCAATAGTCACATTGTCTCTATTTCTGTCCCCCACAATAGACACATTGTCACTATATCTGTCTCCCTCAATGATCACATTGTCACTATTTCTGTCTCACTCAATGATCACATTGTCACTATTTCTGTCCCCGACAATAGTCACATTGTCACTATTTCTGTCCCCCACAATAGACACATTGTCACTATTTCCTGTATTTTCATCAGCGTACAATATCTTAATATTGTATATTTTATTATAATTGTTTCTTGACCATATGGAAGATTAGCTACAGCTATGCTCAAAATGTTATATATCAGATATAGATATTATAAATGTTGATGATGTTTGTTTGTAATTATTATACAAACCTTTCTGTGATATTGCTTACAGTCCATACCCTGGTGGAGCACATTGTGTGTAACGTGTTGTACAACCATCTTACAGACGTGTCTCAGAGTTTCTCTTCCACTGATTTCATCCTCAAAGTTTCCGATAGATCTGAGTACCTCCTCAAGTAAGTACATATATAAATGCCTCGTCAAATTCCGATAGATCTGAGTACCTCCTCAAGTAAGTACATATATAAACTCCTCGTCAAATTCCGATAGATCTGAGTACCTCCTCAAGTAAGTACATATATAAATGCCTCGTCAAATTCCGATAGATCTGAGTACCTCCTCAAGTAAGTACATATATAAACTCCTCGTCAAATTCCGATAGATCTGAGTACCTCCTCAAGTAAGTACATATATAAACTCCTCGTCAAATTCCGATAGATCTGAGTACCTCCTCAAGTAAGTACATATATAAACTCCTCGTCAAATTCCGATAGATCTGAGTACCTCCTCAAGTAAGTACATATATAAACTCCTCGTCAAATTCCGATATATCTGATTGAAAGAAGACAGTTTCTCCAGTCCCCAAAGACTTAGTGATGACAGTGTTGTCAGTCCCTGGAGACTTAGTGATGACAGGGTTGTCAGTCCCTGGAGACTTAGTGGTGACAGGGTTGTCAATCCCTGGAGACTTAATGGTGACAATGTTATAAATCCCTGGAGACTTAGTGGTGACAGGGTTGTCAATCCCTGAAGGCTTAGTGGTGACAATGTTGTCAATCCCTAGAGACTTAGTGGTGACAGGGTTGTTAATCCCTGGAGACTTGGTGGTGACAGGGTTATCAATCCCTGGAGACTTAGTGATGACAGGGTTGTCACTCCCTGGAGACTTTATGGTGACAATATTGTCAATCCCTCTTAGACTTAGTAGACTTAGTGAAGATAATGTCAGTCCCTGTATACTTAGTGAAGATAATGTCAGTCTCTAGAGACTTAGTGAAGATAATGTCAGGGCCTGGAGACTTAGTGAAGATAATGTCAGTCCATGTAGACTTAGTGAAGATAATGTCAGTCTCTAGAGACTTAGTAAAGATAATTTCAGTTGCTGGAAACTTAGTGAAGATAATGTCAGTCCCTGTAGACTTAGTGAAGATAATGTAAGTCCCTGTAGACTTCCTGAAGATAATGTCAGTCCCTGTAGACTTCCTGAAGATAATGTCAGTCCCTGTAGACTTAGTGAAGATAATGTAAGTCCCTGTAGACTTAGTGAAGATAATGTCAGTCCCTGTAGACTTAGTGAAGATAATGTCAGTCCCTGTAGACTTAGTGAAGATAATGTCAGTCCCTGTAGACTTAGTGAAGATAATGTCAGTCCCTGTAGACTTAGTGAAGATAATGTCAGTCCCTGTAGACTTAGTGAAGATAATGTCAGTCCCTGTAGACTTAGTGAAGATAATGTCAGTCCCTGTAGACTTAGTGAAGATAATGTCAGTCCCTGTAGACTTAGTGAAGATAATGTCAGTCCCTGTAGACTTAGTGAAGATAATGTCAGTCCCTGTAGACTTAGTGAAGATAATGTCAGTCCCTGTAGACTTAGTGAAGATAATGTCAGTCCCTGTAGACTTAGTGAAGATAATGTCAGTCCCTGTAGACTTAGTGAAGATAATGTCAGTCCCTGTAGACTTAGTGAAGATTATGTCAGTCCCTGTAGACTTAGTGAAGATAATGTCAGTTCTGTAGACTTAGTGAAGATAATGTCAGTCCCTGTAGACTTAGTGAAGATAATGTCAGTTCTGTAGACTTAGTGAAGATAATGTCAGTCCCTGTTGAAGATAATGTCAGTCCCTGTAGACTTAGTGAAGATAATGTCAGTTCTGTAGACTTAGTGAAGATAATGTCAGTCCCTGTAGACTTAGTGAAGATAATGTCAGTTCTGTAGACTTAGTGAAGATAATGTCAGTCCCTGTAGACTTAGTGAAGATAATGTCAGTCCCTGTAGACTTAGTGAAGATAATGTCAGTCCCTGTAGACTTAGTGAAGATAATGTCAGTTCTGTAGACTTAGTGAAGATAATGTCAGTTCCTGTAGACTTAGTGAAGATAATGTCAGTCCCTGTAGACTTAGTGAAGATAATGTCAGTCCCTGTAGACTTAGTGAAGATAATGTCAGTCCCTGTAGACTTAGTGAAGATAATGTCAGTCCCTGTAGACTTAGTGAAGATAATGTCAGTCCCTGTAGACTTAATGAAGATAATGTCAGTCCCTGTAGACTTAGTGAAGATAATGTCAGTCCCTGTAGACTTAGTGAAGATAATGTCAGTCCCTGTAGACTTAGTGAAGATAATGTCAGTCCCTGTAGACTTAGTGAAGATAATGTCAGTCCCTGTAGACTTAGTGAAGATAATGTCAGTCCCTGTAGACTTAGTGAAGATAATGTCAGTCCCTGTAGACTTAGTGAAGATAATGTCAGTCCCTGTAGACTTAGTGAAGATAATGTCAGTACCTGTAGACTTAGTGAAGATAATGTCAGTCCCTGTAGACTTAGTGAAGATAATGTCAGTCCCTGTAGACTTAGTGAAGATAATGTCTGTCCATAAAGACATTTTTTAAGATTATTAAGTACATGTATCTCTGACGACTTATTTTCAAGCAAAAGTATCAAAAAAATAAAATCTATGTACTTTATATGTTGTATTTAATTTTTTGTATATTATGTATTTATCTTTACAGTGACCAACAATTGTCCAAGTATGAGTATGTTCACGAATGTCTGAAGCTGGACAAGGATATACGCTTCATGCTGATGCAACGCCAAGATGTTACATTACCATTCTTGAGAACAGTCAGTACATTGATAATTAAAGTCAGTTATGTGTGATTTATGTGTGATTTATGTGTAGTGTTGGTTATGTGTGATTTATGTGTAGTGTTAGTTATGTGTGATTTATGTGTAGTGTTAGTTATGTGTGATTTATGTGTAGTGTTGGTTATGTGTGATTTATGTGTAGTGTTAGTTATGTGTGATTTATGTGTAGTGTTAGTTATGTGTGATTTATGTGTAGTGTTGGTTATGTGTGATTTATGTGTAGTGTTAGTTATGTGTGATTTATGTGTAGTGTTAGTTATGTGTGATTTATGTGTAGTGTTAGTTATGTGTGATTTATGTGTAGTGTTGGTTATGTGTGATTTATGTGTAGTGTTAGTTATGTGTGATTTATGTGTAGTGTTAGTTATGTGTGATTGATGTGTAGTGTTGGTTATGTGTGATTTATGTGTAGTGTTGGTTATGTGTAGTGTTGGTTATGTGTGATTTATCTGTAGTGTTGGTTATGTGTGATTTATGTGTAGTGTTAGTTATGTGTGATTTATGTGTAGTGTTAGTTATGTGTGATTTATGTGTAGTGTTAGTTATGTGTGATTTATGTGTAGTGTTGGTTATGTGTGATTTATGTGTAGTGTTAGTTATGTGTGATTTATGTGTAGTGTTAGTTATGTGTGATTTATGTGTAGTGTTGGTTATGTGTGATTTATGTGTAGTGTTAGTTATGTGTGATTTATGTGTAGTGTTAGTTATGTGTGATTTATGTGTAGTGTTAGTTATGTGTGATTTATGTGTAGTGTTAGTTATGTGTGATTTATGTGTAGTGTTGGTTATGTGTGATTTATGTGTAGTGTTAGTTATGTGTGATTTATGTGTAGTGTTAGTTATGTGTGATTTATGTGTAGTGTTGGTTATGTGTGATTTATGTGTAGTGTTAGTTATGTGTGATTTATGTGTAGTGTTAGTTATGTGTGATTTATGTGTAGTGTTAGTTATGTGTGATTTATGTGTAGTGTTAGTTATGTGTGATTTATGTGTAGTGTTGGTTATGTGTGATTTATGTGTAGTGTTGGTTATGTGTGATTTATGTGTAGTGTTAGTTATGTGTGATTTATGTGTAGTGTTAGTTATGTGTGATTTATGTGTAGTGTTGGTTATGTGTGATTTATGTGTAGTGTTAGTTATGTGTGATTTATGTGTAGTGTTAGTTATGTGTGATTTATGTGTAGTGTTGGTTATGTGTGATTTATGTGTAGTGTTAGTTATGTGTAGTGTTGGTTATGTGTGATTTATGTGTAGTGTTAGTTATGTGTGATTTATGTGTAGTGTTAGTTATGTGTGATTTATGTGTAGTGTTAGTTATGTGTAGTGTTGGTTATGTGTGATTTATGTGTAGTGTTAGTTATGTGTGATTTATGTGTAGTGTTAGTTATGTGTGATTTATGTGTAGTGTTAGTTATGTGTGATTTATGTGTAGTGTTAGTTATGTGTGATTTATGTGTAGTGTTGGTTATGTGTGATTTATGTGTAGTGTTAGTTATGTGTGATTTATGTGTAGTGTTAGTTATGTGTGATTTATGTGTAGTGTTAGTTATGTGTAGTGTTGGTTATGTGTGATTTATGTGTAGTGTTAGTTATGTGTGATTTATGTGTAGTGTTAGTTATGTGTGATTTATGTGTAGTGTCGGTTATGTGTGATTTATGTGTAGTGTTTGTTATGTGTGATTTATGTGTAGTGTTAGTTATGTGTGATTTATGTTGGTTATGTGTGATTTATGTGTAGTGTTAGTTATGTGTGATTTATGTGTAGTGTTGGTTATGTGTGATTTATGTGTAGTGTTGGTTATGTGTGATTTATGTGTAGTGTTAGTTATGTGTGATTTATGTGTAGTGTTGGTTATGTGTGATTTATGTGTAGTGTTGGTTATGTGTGATTTATGTGTAGTGATTGTCGTGTTATGTGTGATGTCTGAGATGGGTTGTGATTGTCGTGTCTGAGATGGGTAGTGATTGTCGTGTCTGAGATGGGTTGTGATTGTCGTGTCTGAGACGAGTAGTGATTGTCGTGTCTGAGACGGGTAGTGATTGTCGTGTCTGAGACGGGTAGTGATTGTCGTGTCTGAGACGGGTAGTGATTGTCGTGTCTGAGATGGGTTGTGTCGTGTCTGAGATGGGTTGTGAGTTGGGTAGTGATTGTCGTGTCTGAGATGGGTGTGATTGTCGTGTCTGAGATGGGTTGTGATTGTCCTGACTGAGATGTGTAGTGATTGTCGTGTCTGAGATGGGTTGTGATTGTCGTGTCTGAGATGGGTTGTGATTGTCGTGTCTGAGATGGGTAGTGATTGTCGTGTCTGAGATGGGTTGTGATTGTCGTGTCTGAGATGGGTTGTGATTGTCGTGTCTGAGATGGGTAGTGATTGTCGTGTCTGAGATGGGTAGTGATTGTCGTGTCTGAGATGGGTAGTGATTGTCGTGTCTGAGATGGGTTGTGATTGTCGTGTCTGAGATGGGTTGTGATTGTCGTGTCTGAGATGGGTTGTGATTGTCGTGTCTGAGATGGGTAGTGATTGTCGTGTCTGAGATGGGTAGTGATTGTCGTGTCTGAGATGGGAAGTGATTGTCGTGTCTGAGATGGGTAGTGATTGTCGTGTCTGAGATGGGTTGTGATTGTCGTGTCTGAGATGGGTAGTGATTGTCGTGTCTGAGATGGGTAGTGATTGTCGTGTCTGAGATGGGTTGTGATTGTCGTGTCTGAGATGGGTAGTGATTGTCGTGTCTGAGATGGGTTGTGATTGTCGTGTCTGAGATGGGTTGTGATTGTCGTGTCTGAGATGGGTTGTGATTGTCGTGTCTGAGATGGGTTGTGATTGTCGTGTCTGAGATGGGTTGTGATTGTCGTGTCTGAGATGGGTAGTGATTGTCGTGTCTGAGATGGGTTGTGATTGTCGTGTCTGAGATGGGTAGTGATTGTCGTGTCTGAGATGGGTAGTGATTGTCGTGTCTGAGATGGGTAGTGATTGTCGTGTCTGAGATGGGTTGTGATTGTCGTGTCTGAGATGAGTAGTGATTGTCGTGTCTGAGATGGGTTGTGATTGTCGTGTCTGAGATGGGTAGTGATTGTCGTGTCTGAGATGGGTAGTGATTGTCGTGTCTGAGATGGGTAGTGATTGTCGTGTCTGAGATGGGTAGTGATTGTCGTGTCTGAGATGGGTTGTGATTGTCGTGTCTGAGATGGGTAGTGATTGTCGTGTCTGAGATGGGTTGTGATTGTCGTGTCTGAGATGGGTTGTGAGTGTCTGAGATGGGTTGTGATTGTTGTCTGAGATGGGTAGTGTCTGAGATGGGTTGTGATTGTCGTGTCTGAGATGGGTATTGTCTGAGATGGGTTGTGATTGTCGTGTCTGAGATGGGTAGTGTCTGAGATGGGTTGTGATTGTCGTGTCTGAGATGAGTAGTGATTGTCGTGTCTGAGATGGGTTGTGATTGTCGTGTCTGAGATGAGTAGTGATTGTCGTGTCTGAGATGGGTTGTGATTGTCGTGTCTGAGATGGGTTGTGATTGTCGTGTCTGAGATGGGTAGTGATTGTCGTGTCTGAGATGGGTAGTGATTGTCGTGTCTGAGATGGGTAGTGATTGTCGTGTCTGAGATTGGGTTAGTCTTATGTGTGTGATTGTCGTGTCTGAGATGTGTAGTGATTGTCGTGTCTGAGATGGGTTGTGATTGTCGTGTCTGAGATGGGTTGTGATTGTCGTGTCTGAGATGGGTAGTGATTGTCGTGTCTGAGATGGGTTGTGATTGTCGTGTCTGAGATGGGTTGTGATTGTCGTGTCTGAGATGGGTAGTGATTGTCGTGTCTGAGATGGGTTGTGATTGTCGTGTCTGAGATGGGTAGTGATTGTCGTGTCTGAGATGGGTTGTGATTGTCATGACTGAGATGAGTAGTGATTGTCGTGTCTGAGATGGGTTGTGATTGTCGTGTCTGAGATGGGTAGTGATTGTCGTGTCTGAGATGGGTAGTGATTGTCGTGTCTGAGATGGGTTGTGATTGTCGTGTCTGAGATGGGTAGTGATTGTCGTGTCTGAGATGGGAAGTGATTGTCGTGTCTGAGATGTGTTGTGATTGTCGTGTCTGAGATGGGTTGTGATTGTCGTGTCTGAGATGGGTAGTGATTGTCGTGTCTGAGATGGGTTGTGATTGTCGTGTCTGAGATGGGTAGTGATTGTCGTGTCTGAGATGGGTAGTGATTGTCGTGTCTGAGATGGGTAGTGATTGTCGTGTCTGAGGTGTGATTGTCGTGTCTGAGATGGGTTGTGATTGTCGTGTCTGAGATGGGTAGTGATTGTCGTGTCTGAGATGGGTAGTGATTGTCGTGTCTGAGATGGGTTGTGATTGTCGTGTCTGAGATGGGTTGTGATTGTCGTGTCTGAGATGGGTAGTGATTGTCGTGTCTGAGATGGGTTGTGATTGTCGTGTCTGAGATGGGTCGTGATTGTCGTGTCTGAGATGGGTAGTGATTGTCGTGTCTGAGATGGGTAGTGATTGTCGTGTCTGAGATGGGTTGTGATTGTCGTGTCTGAGATGGGTTGTGATTGTCGTGTCTGAGATGGGTAGTGATTGTCGTGTCTGAGATGGGTAGTGATTGTCGTGTCTGAGATGGGTAGTGAATGACGTGGGTTGTGATTGTCGTGTCTGAGATGGGTAGTGATTGTCGTGTCTGAGATGGGTAGTGATTGTCGTGTCTGAGATGGGTAGTGATTGTCGTGTCTGAGATGGGTAGTGATTGTCGTGTCTGAGATGGGTAGTGATTGTCGTGTCTGAGATGGGTAGTGATTGTCGTGTCTGAGATGGGTAGTGATTGTCGTGTCTGAGATGGGTTGTGATTGTCGTGTCTGAGATGGGTTGTGATTGTCGTGTCTGAGATGGGTAGTGATTGTCGTGTCTGAGATGGGTAGTGATTGTCGTGTCTGAGATGGGTTGTGATTGTCGTGTCTGAGATGGGTAGTGATTGTCGTGTCTGAGATGGGTAGTGATTGTCGTGTCTGAGATGGGTAGTGATTGTCGTGTCTGAGATGGGTAGTGATTGTCGTGTCTGAGATGGGTAGTGATTGTCGTGTCTGAGATGGGTAGTGATTGTCGTGTCTGAGATGGGTAGTGATTGTCGTGTCTGAGATGGGTTGTGATTGTCGTGTCTGAGATGGGTAGTGATTGTCGTGTCTGAGATGGGTAGTGATTGTCGTGTGTGAGATGAGTAGTGATTGTCGTGTCTGAGATGAGTTGTGATTGTCGTGTCTGAGATGGGTTGTGATTGTCGTGTCTGAGATGGGTTGTGATTGTCGTGTCTGAGATGGGTAGTGTCTGAGATGGGTTGTGATTGTCGTGTCTGAGATGGGTAGTGTCTGAGATGAGTAATGATTGTCGTGTCTGAGATGGGTTGTGATTGTCGTGTCTGAGATGAGTAGTGATTGTCGTGTCTGAGATGGGTTGTGTCGTGTCTGAGATGGGTAGTGATTGTCGTGTCTGAGATGTAGTAGTGATTGTCGTGTCTGAGATGAGTAGTGATTGTCGTGTCTGAGATGGGTTGTGATTGTCGTGTCTGAGATGTCGTGTCTGAGATGGGTGATTGTCGTGTCTGAGATGGGTTGTGATTGTCATGTCTGAGATGGGTAGTGATTGTCGTGTCTGAGATGGGTTGTGATTGTCGTGTCTGAGATGGGTAGTGATTGTCGTGTCTGAGATGGGTTGTGATTGTCGTGTCTGAGATGGGTAGTGATTGTCGTGTCTGAGATGGGTAGTGATTGTCGTGTCTGAGATGGGTTGTGATTGTCGTGTCTGAGATGGGTAGTGTCTGAGATGGGTTGTGATTGTCGTGTCTGAGATGAGTAGTAATTGTCGTGTCTGAGATGAGTAGTGATTGTCGTGTCTGAGATGGGTAGTGTCTGAGATGGGTTGTGATTGTCGTGTCTGAGATGAGTAGTAATTGTCGTGTCTGAGATGAGTAGTGATTGTCGTGTCTGAGATGGGTTGTGATTGTCGTGTCTGAGATGGGTAGTGATTGTCGTGTCTGAGATGGGTTGTGATTGTCGTGTCTGAGATGGGTAGTGTCTGAGATGGGTTGTGATTGTCGTGTCTGAGATGGGTATTGTCTGAGATGGGTTGTGATTGTCGTGTCTGAGATGGGTAGTGTCTGAGATGGGTTGTGATTGTCGTGTCTGAGATGGGTTGTGATTGTCGTGTCTGAGATGGGTTGTGATTGTCGTGTCTGTTGGGTTGTGATTGTCGTGTCTGAGATGGGTTGTGATTGTCGTGTCTGAGATGGGTTGTGATTGTCGTGTCTGAGATGGGTAGTGATTGTCGTGTCTGAGATGGGTAGTGATTGTCGTGTCTGAGATGGGTAGTGATTGTCGTGTCTGAGATGGGTAGTGGTAGTGATTGTCGTGTCTGAGATGGGTTGTGATCTGAGATGGGTAGTGATTTGTGTTGGGTTCGTGTCTGAGATGGGTCCAGTTTTGGTCTGTGATTGTACTGATTTCTGTCTGAAAAGTGTTGTGTGTCTGAGATGTGTAGTGATTGTCGTGTCTGAGATGGGTCAATTTTTAGAGTGATTGTCGTGTCCAAGATGGGACAAGTGATTGTCGTGTCTGAGATGGGTTGTGATTGTCGTGTCTGAGATGGGTACTGCTATTGTCGTGTCTAGATGGATTTTTTGCTGTCACCTCCCTAACCTACCCCCTACCTACCCCCTGCCCCCGCCCCCCCGCCCCCATGTCCTGGCCCCCTGCCCCCACTCCCGCGCCCCCTGCAACCGCCCCCTGCCCCCGCCCCTGCCCCTGCCCCCGCCCCTGCCTCTTGGCATTATTTTGTGACAGAATTACTACCTGTGGCAGCATACAATACTCATTCAATTTGTAACATGGAATCAATTTGACTCCCAGCTTCTAAAACCTGGCAATAATTATGTATGTAAACTTTAGTTAAACTAGCAAACGAAAAGTATGTAAACCAAAAATGATGTCATAAATCAACGATCTGCATGGTTTTATTTATTCAGGGATCAGTTGGAAATCCTGATAAATATTTTCTACACACAAGTGGAGAAATTGAGGGACCACATTCTAAAGGTAAGTGGCTTATACATACACGATCCACTTACATAGTATTCATCATAATTGTGATGGTATTTCCATGTCTTATGTCAAATGATGTCCCAATTCGGCCGTGAACATGACAGATTTGATAACAGGGCCCGAGATGCACTTTAACAAGCACTCATTGGTCAAACTAGTGGTCTGTACTCGTCTGGACAAGGGATTCACTTCTCTGGATAATTTACATCAGAAATTTTCAAAACAATGCAAATAGCACTCACACATTGGATATCAGGATTTATTTCAGTAAAGTTCACTTATGAATTTATAATTGATTTCTACTCATACCAACAGTAAGTGTACTAAACTAGACAAAATTTACCTACAATCAGTGTAAAGGTATACGATTTTACACATTGTCTCAGTAATGAGTTATGATCAGTGTAAAGGTATACGATTTTACACATTGTCTCAGTAATGAGTTATGATCAGTGTAAAGGTATACGATTTTACACATTGTCTCAGTAATGAGTTATGATCAGTGTAAAGGTATACGACTTTACACATTGTCTCAGTAATGAGTTATGATCAGTGTAAAGGTATACGACTTTACACATTGTCTCAGTAATGAGTTATGATCAGTGTAAAGGTATACGATTTTACACATTGTCTCAGTAATGAGTTATGATCAGTGTAAAGGTATACGACTTTACACATTGTCTCAGTAATGACTTATGATCAGTGTAAAGGTGTAAGATTTTATCTTACTTGAGTATCAAAGTACATGAAAAAAATCTTCTAATGGGCAATAATTTCCAAAAACCCCACTTGTCCATTGGTGAAATCCACATGTTAGGGAGAGCAGATGAGTGCTTTAACAGGGCCCTTTAATAAGAAATCATTTTCTAATACTATCTCCTCAGATTTAAGCATCAATTGCCATTGGTCAAACTTACAACAGAACTACATGTTAAGGATCTGTGGATGATCAGCGACTGAAGGTGTGGGGTCTTTCGTATGATTTTTATTTTATTTTTCAGAATGAAACTAATGAGATACAGTTCCGAAACCTGCAGCAGTCTGTGAAGGCTATATGTATGACACTAGCCAAAATAGAGACTATCGACATCACGAAAACTTTACATCGCGCAGAGGGCATAATACAACAGTTTGTGGTATGAATTACACCTCACACCAAATCATTGATTCATTATGTGTTAATATTAAAGTCAACATCTTCTTGATAGCTAAAAAATTGAGAGTTTTCAACATTTTTATGGGTTAGACTACGATCAACTATGGTTTTGTGAAAATAAGAAACATTTTATAGGAAAACTTTTGCCCTTGTATATAAAACTGGTCATTTTCACTCAATTTACAAGTATGAAGAGTAAAATGAGATCTCATATGTGTGTGAGCTTGCTGTGTGTGACCTTGCTGTGTGTGACCTTGCTGTGTGTAACCTTGCTATATATGGCCTATTTGCTGCGTGTGACCTTGCTGTGTGTGACCTTACTATATATGGCCTATTTACTGTGTGTGACCTTGCTGTGTGAGACCTTGCTATATATGGCCTATTTGCTGCGTGTGACCTTGCTGTGTGTGACCTTACTATATATGGCCTATTTGCTGCATGTGACCTTGCTGTGTGTGACTTTGCTATAAATGGCCTATTTGCTGTGTGTGACCTTACTATATATGGCCTATTTGCTGTGTGTGACCTTGCTATATATGGTCTATTTCCTGTGTGTGACCTTGCTGTGTGACCTTGCTATATATGGTCTATTTGCTGTGAGTGACCATGCTATGTGTGGAATTTTAGCTATGATAATGACCTTGCTACTGTATGTTTGATCAGTTTGCTATGGTATATGACCTTGCAATGTGTGGCCTATTTGCTGTACATGGCCTTGCTCTATATGACCTATTTGCTCTGTGACCTTGCTATATATGACCTGTTTGCTCTGTGACCTTGCTGTATATGACCTATTTGCTCTGTGACCTTGATATATATGACCTGTTTGCTCTGTGACCTTGCTGTATATGGCCTATTTGCTCTGTGACCTTGCTTTTTAAGTCCTATTAACTCTGTGACCTTGCTATATATGACCTGTTTGCTATGTGACTTTGCTATATAAGACCTATTTCTTATGTGACCTTGCTATATTTGAATTATTTGCTATGAGACCTTGCTATATAAGTCCTATTAACTCTGTGACCTTGCTATATATGACCTATTTGCTCTGTGACCTTGCTATATATTACCTATTTCTTATGTGACCTTGCTATATAAGACCTGTTTGCTCTGTGACCTTGCTATATATGACCTATTTGCTCTGTGACCTTGCAATATATGACCTATTTGCTCTGTGACCTTGCTATATAAGACCTATTTGCTCTGTGACCTTGCTATATAAGACCTATTTACTCTGTGACCTTGCTATATATGACCTATTTGCTCTGTGACCTTGCAATATATGACCTATTTGCTCTGTGACCTTGCTATATATGACCTATTTGCTCTGTGACCTTGCTATATAAGACCTATTTGCTCTGTGACCTTGCTATATAAGACCTATTTGCTCTGTGACCTTGCTATATAAGACCTATTTGCTCTGTGACCTTGCTATATAAGACCTATTTGCTCTGTGACCTTGCTATATAAGACCTATTTTCTGTATGTAACCTTGCCATATGTGAGCTGGTTTATCATGTTGCAGAGTCAAGAAAGTCTACAGAATTATGATAATGAAGTGAAGATGAAGGGGCCAGACCAAGATACACAAGTAGCTATCAAGTAAGTACATGATGAGATATGGAGCTATATAGTTGTCAGTATATATTTATGTATAATTATTCTGTAGATAGGTTGTGAGGGCTGGTAGGGGATAGGTACACAGTATGCTGGATAACTGGACTGTCTGTAACAGAAAATAAATTGATGTCATGTCATTGATAACATGTATCTTGACCAGCCGTAATCTCATGGATACATGTTATCAATCTTCAAGGTCACAGAGGTCAGATGTGTTGAAACATGTAATGACCAATGACCACCAGGCCCAAGGTCATGTTATATTGGACTAGTTCCCTGCAGGGATGAAAGTCTACCAAGTTAAATCAAGTGAATGACCTTGACCCCACCTTCTGGGTCATACTGCAAATGATTTGAAACATTTTAAACCTTTTTTCCTCAATAACCAAGATGCTTAGGGTCATGATATTGGGCAAGTAGCATGCTAGGGTAAAGAGGTGTCAACTTAAAGGGTTTTGGCCACAATTATTCATAATTCCATATTTCAGTCTTGACTAATGCAAAAATGTACTAGACAATGGTATCTCATCTCTTGTTGCACACAGACTACCACGGACGTCTTTTCTCACCTCTTTACTTTAATTGCTCTGTTGAATATATATATTTTGAATTAAGGTCATGTGATGCTTGATGTCGAAGTGTTGGTTCCATGATTTTTAAGCTTCTGTTTACCTTATAAGGCACACCTATACAGGTTTTGTCTATATACTAATATGATTTCTAAATCAGTATATACCAGGAAAGAGTCAATGCTGTTACTATAGGGAGGCCTCATAGGTGAACCCTTTTATCCCTGACTTGTGGTCCATTTTATCCCTGGTTTGTGTTCCCTTTAATCCCTGCCTTGTGATCCCTTTTAGCCCTAACTTGGATACCTATCAGTATGTTGGGCCACTGGAGTAAAGGGACAAACTTTGGATGGCAATCAATCACAAAGAGCTCACAATACGTCAATTTCTTGTTATTGATACAGCTGCTTGCTTCACTTGAACAATGAGTTTCTTTAGGACTAACGGTATATCGGAAAAAATTTGATCTACAAATACAAAAATCTGGGCACCTTCTCAGAGTTATATCTGATGTTATATAATAATTATGTATTATTACGATTTCATATTTGTTATGCTTCCCGCAGGGAGAGCAATTAGTGGCTACTTTGTTGATCCATCTGTCCATCCATCCATTATAATTTTGTCCAGAGCATAACACAGAAACTGTTAAAGATATCAACATGAAATTTCGTATGTTGATAAATCTTAACAAGAAGTTTTGCACAATTTTGGAGTTATTGCCCTTTTTTATTTTTCATACTTAAATTTTGTTCCATTTGGGGATCATCAACAGTCTCTGACGGCCCTTATATTTATCCTGCAATTGGCACTGCCATTGTCGGTAAGCAGCCATATTTTAGCATGTGCATTAACTCTGCAGAATGTCTTTCTGAAGTTACTTAAATACTATATTTAGAAAAAATAAAAAAGCTTGTTGAAATAAGCAACTTAATATGTTGCAATGAGCAAGTTGATCAATGAAGATTTATAAAATCGCTGTTATAGCTGATGAAGTTTAGAACTATATTTCTGCATTGAGAAATTATTTTGGCGTCCGTCATCATGCAAAATTTGTGTGACGTCAACGTCAGGTAAACACAGATTGAACAACTAAACTGTTTTAAGTTTCACTAGTCTGATTTTTAATCAATGTTGCAGGATAAATAGAATGCATGGTCAGTGTCTTCAAATATAAGCTGCATTTCGACTTGGGACAGAAAGACAAAAGTGGCTTGCCAGATCAGAGGTTTGCCACTTTTGTCTTTCTTCACTCTCGCCAAAATACAGCTTAAATTTTAAGACATTGTCCATGTATTCTCTATATACTTATATGTGATGAGAATTAACAACAGTACAGACAAGTGAATTGTTAATTTTCCAGGTATAACTTTCAGCAGCTCATAAAACAAGGACAAAGTTGTGTTAACTTTTAATGGTCTTACAAGTTACTATTGATTTAATTAAAAGTAACATTATTATGTTTAAAATGTTCAGGATGTCACAGAAGGTGGTGAGTTCCTCTCTTGTATATATAACCTATATATCTCCACTAGTCCAGAGGTCTTAATGTGTACCCCAGGGGTCGATAATTAGGCCACTGGTGTTCCTGTTGTTTATCATGCCTTTCCCTCAGTGTGACCTTTTACATGTATGCCGATGTTTATTCAATACATAAAGCTGACAAAAATACTGATACTATTAAATATTGTCTGCAGTCTTGAGGGGTCATGATGACCTATAGCCATCATGATCTGTCCGTTGTCATCCGCCGTGCTTAAACTTTTGTCATTTCAAACTTCATTTCAAGTTCCACCAGTGAAATTGAACTCCAAATTTACTGTACAAAATAGGTAACACTTGTTACAGTTTCCTACTCCTCACCAAAACTACCATCTGCATCCTGGGAAACAGCTTCTTAGTAAGATTTCATTCAAAGTAGAAAAAAAAAACCCTTCTCCCTGCTGAAAGTTTTTGTTGTCAGATGACCGTTAAGGTCAGTGGGCCTTTTGTTCTAAATTGTAAAAACTGGTGAGAAACAAATGAAACGGTTATTAGTACATAACAAACCAAAGTAATGTTAGTAGTACAAAACACACACAAGTGATATAGTGCGATAACGTAGAGCCAAACAATGATTTAAACTGCATTATACCACTGTTTAGTCCTTCTAGGACTCGTCAGTGATGCTACATCACACAGCTGTTTCGTCCTTCTAGGACTCGTCAGTGATGCTACATCACACAGCTGTTTCGTCCTTCTAAGACTCGTCAGTGATGCTTCATCATACAGCTGTTTCGTCCTTCTAGGACTCGTCAGTGATGCTACATCACACAGCTGTTTCATCCTTCTAGGACTCGTTAGTGATGCTAAGGGCCTAACATTTGAAGCGTAGGGGATGACTAAGGAAAATCCAAAGTGATCGAAAGAAAAGTTAAAATCTAGACAGGGAGGTGCAGCAACCCCATAATTAGATAAATTTCGTATTTTTCATATATCACATAATTTTAGAACAGTGTCATGTACATGTGTATTTTCTAAACTGTGCCAATATTCTAGTGAATTAAAATGTGGCAAGCAGGTTATAGCAAACCTTGGAGACTTATAGTCAACCAACAGTGTCTACCACTTGCTATCTTAAAGCTTGTACGAAAGACACACATTGAAGTGATTTTCAGGTTCCAGAATGAACCTTGAAATGGCAAATTAGAAAATGTTAAGCATAAAAAATGACTTGATATGTTCAGCAATGATATGGTTACCAGGAATAAGCCTGTCCGCAACATAAATAAAAAAGTCAATTTCCAAATATTTCAATAAAGTGGTTATAGGACATATTTATCAGTGTCTTCAGGAATCCTTTTTGATATCCGTTCCATTTTACCATATTTCTAATGTTTTTATAATGTTTTGGGGTATTGTTCTCAATTTCATAAGTAAACAAACAAGAAAGAATGCTAACAAATATACTTCACATAATCTTAGATGTACACTTGTGAAGTTTAATTAGCTGCCTTTCAGAAACGTGGTTAAATATAATGAATGTGTATACTGTTTTAAGTTATTAGCAAACCATGTCCAGGTTATTTAAAATATAATACCCTGGTTTCTCGAGTCCATGACAAGAAAACTAGGTCAGCACCTGCTGTTTTTAACATGTATTACTCCAAAACAAGACAGAAAAAAATTTAAATCTTTCCAAACATAATGGACCAATCGCTCTGGAACAACTTGCCAGAAAACGTGAGTCAAAATAAAAAACTGCCAACTTTTAAATTTGAATATAAAATAACACTTCCTCAGTTTGTCTAAGTCGATGTTTTATTTTTAGAAATAAATGTTTTATTTTTCCTTTCCTTCCATTATTGGTTGTTGAACAGTGATATTGTAAATGTACTATTTATAATTTAGATATGACCAATAATTTGGATCATAGGATATATCAGGATATACTCTGTCAAATTTTATACAGTTTGTCTCACTGTAATATATGTGTGTCTAATACTTGATTTTCTGCTATGTATACATCTTGACCTTTACATATGTTTTTTCTGATAGACATGTAATATACTTTATACCCATGATGATGTAACATTAATGAACATACTGTAAATTGTACATTTTACTGTCTGGTTTAAGAATATCTAACTCACAATGTTATCAACTTAACATAAGGTTTCCATTTTTGTAACAATTTTTGTTATATCAGTCAAAATTTGTGATACACATTAAGTATTTGAAGTAGTCGGTGCAGGAAATACAGCTCTTAAAATCCTTTAGGTCATTTAGTTTATTGTATGCTGTTAAATTGTCACTGCGGAGATTTATGTTTTTTATCATTGTTTCCTGGATGTCAGCTTAATTCTCTGGTTTGTGTTACAATTACTGACATGTGTACAGCATATGGAGCTGAGTGCATGTGTCATCATGTGTAAATATCTCTGTTACATAACAATACCTCTGTATTATGATTTTTCATGTGATATTATAACTGAAACAGCTGATCACTGACTAGTGAATCCTTTAATATGAATTTGCAGGTTTAATCAGAAAATGACATACAGTTAAACCTCATTATCTCAAAGATGGTGGCACCGAGCGAAAATTTTGAGTTATCTGAGTATTCGATATCTGCGAGTTCGAATGTTTAGTGTGAAATTTGGACCGGACCACTGAAATATTTCAAAGTAATGGGGGTCTTTGTACTATATGAGTTTGAGATAACAAGATTTGACTGTACACTTTAGTTCAAGTAGAATATTTTACTGTCCATCAAGGGTTTTGCGGAAAAACTGGGATTATGATGTGACGTTTACAACATAACTGGCTTTCTCATTGATGCTATTTTCACTCTCATACATCGTAACTAGTACTTTCGACTGCCTAGAAATAGGTATCAGAACATATTAGAGTGGCATCATATTATTGGTAATGCTCTGTGATTGTGATGTTACAAATTATAAAAATTTGCGAAAATTTCCAAAGACCGCTTTTTAGGTCATCTGACCCGAAGGGCCCGATGACCTATAGTCATCATGCTTCGTCCGTCGTCGTCCGCCGTGCGCCGTCCGTAAACTTTTCATTCAAACGACTTCTTCTCAAATACTAGAAGGTCTAGGGGGCTAATACTTGGCACAGAGGATACTGGCATGGAGCTCTACAAAGTTTGTTCAAATGAATGACCTTGACCCACTTTAAAGGTCACAGGGGTCAAATATGTTAAAATCTTTAAACAACTTCTTCTCATTAACCAAAAGGCTCAGAGTGTAGATATTGGGCCTGTGACATGCTGGGATGAAGGACTACCAAGTTTGTTCAAATGAATGACCTTGACCCACTTTAAAGGTCACAGGGGTCAAATATGTTAAGATCTTTAAACAACTTCTTCTCAATAACCAAAAGGCTCAGATTGCTGATATTGTGCCTGTGGCATGCTGGGATGAAGGGCTATCAAGTTTGTTTAAATGAATGACCTTGAACAACTTTCAAGGTCACAGGGGTCAAATATGTCAAAATCTTTAAATAACTTCTCAAATACTAGAAGGCCTAGGGGGCTAATACTTGGCCCATAGCATGCTGGCATGGAGCCCTACAAAGTTTGTTCAAATGAATGACCTTGGCCCACTTTCAAGGTCACAGGGGTCAAATATGTTAAAATATACAAAGGACCATCTCAATAAGCAAAAGTCTATGAGTGCCAATATTGGGTCTGTAGCATGCTGGGAGGAAAGGCTACCAAGTTTATTCAAATGAATGACCTCAACCCACTTTCAAGGTCGCAGGGGTCAAATATGTCAAAATCTTTAAATAACTTCTTCTCAACTACTAGAAGGCCTAGGGGGCTAATACTTAGCCCATAGCATGCTGGCATGGAGCCCTACAAAGTTTGTTCAAATGAATGACCTTGGCCCACTTTCAAGGTCACAGGGGTCAAATATGTTAAAATATACAAAGGACTTCATCTCAATAAGCAAAAGTCTATGAGTGCCGATATTGGGTCTGTAGCATGCTGGGAGGAAAGGCTACCAAGTTTATTCAAATGAATGACCTCAACCCACTTTCAAGGTCGCAGGGGTCAAATATGTAAAAATCTTTAAACAACTTCTTCTCATTAACCAAAAGGCTCAGAGTGTAGATATTGGGCCTGTGACATGCTGGGATGAAGGACTACCAAGTTTGTTCAAATGAATGACCTTGACCCACTTTAAAGGTCACAGGGGTCAAATATGTTAAAATCTTTAAACAACTTCTTCTCAATAACCAAAAGGCTCAGATTGCTGATATTGTGCCTGTGGCATGCTGGGATGAAGGGCTTTCAAGTTTGTTTAAATGAATGACCTTGAACAACTTTCAAGGTCACAGGGGTCAAATATGTCAAAATCTTTAAATAACTTCTTCTCAAATACTAGAAGGCCTAGGGGGCTAATACTTGGCCCATAGCATGCTGGCATGAAGCCCTACAAAGTTTGTTCAAATGAATGACCTTGGCCCACTTTCAAGGTCACAGGGGTCAAATATGTTAAAATATACAAAGGACTTCATCTCAATAAGCAAAAGTCTATGAGTGCCGATATTGGGTCTGTAGCATGCTGGGAGGAAAGGCTACCAAGTTTATTCAAATGAATGACCTCAACCCACTTTCAAGGTCGCAGGGGTCAAATATGTCAAAATCTTTAAATAACTTCTTCTCAAATACTAGAAGGCCTAGGGGGCTAATACTTAGCCCATAGCATGCTGGCATGGAGCCCTACAAAGTTTGTTCAAATGAATGACCTTGGCCCACTTTCAAGGTCACAGGGGTCAAATATGTTAAAATATACAAAGGACTTCATCTCAATAAGCAAAAGTCTATGAGTGCCGATATTGGGTCTGTAGCATGCTGGGAGGAAAGGCTACCAAGTTTATTCAAATGAATGACCTCAACCCACTTTCAAGGTCGCAGGGGTCAAATATGTTAAAATCTTTAAACAACTTCTTCTCATTAACCAAAAGGCTCAGAGTGTAGATATTGGGCCTGTGACATGCTGGGATGAAGGACTACCAAGTTTGTTCAAATGAATGACCTTGACCCACTTTAAAGGTCACAGGGGTCAAATATGTTAAAATCTTTAAACAACTTCTTCTCAATAACCAAAAGGCTCAGATTGCTGATATTGTGCCTGTGGCATGCTGGGATGAAGGGCTATCAAGTTTGTTTAAATGAATGACCTTGAACAACTTTCAAGGTCACAGGGGTCAAATATGTCAAAATCTTTAAATAACTTCTTCTCAAATACTAGAAGGCCTAGGGGGCTAATACTTGGCCCATAGCATGCTGGCATGGAGCCCTACAAAGTTTGTTCAAATGAATGACCTTGGCCCACTTTCAAGGTCACAGGGGTCAAATATGTTAAAATATACAAAGGACTTCATCTCAATAAGCAAAAGTCTATGAGTGCCGATATTGGGTCTGTAGCATGCTGGGAGGAAAAGCTACCAAGTTTATTTAAATGAATGACCTTGAACAACTTTCAAGGTCGCAGGGGTCAAATATGTCAAAATCTTTAAATAACTTCTTCTCAAATACTAGAAGGCCTAGGGGGCTAATACTTGGCCCATAGCATGCTGGCATGGAGCCCTACAAAGTTTGTTCAAATGAATGACCTTGGCCCACTTTCAAGGTCACAGGGGTCAAATATGTTACAATATACAAAGGACTTCATCTCAATAAGCAAAAGTCTATGAGTGCCGATATTGGGTCTGTAGCATGCTGGGAGGAAAGGCTACCAAGTTTATTCAAATGAATGACCTCAACCCACTTTCAAGGTCACAGGGGTCAAATATGTTAAAATATACAAACGACTTCTTCTCAACAAGCAAAAGTCCATGAGTGCTGATATTGGGCCTGTAAGATGCTTGGAGGAGAGGCTACCAAGTTTGTTCAAATGAATGACCTCAACCCACTTTCTAGGTTTGGCTTGCTTTTTGTCAGATGACCGTTAAGGCCCATGGGCCTCTTGTTAATAACAAAGAGACCTTGCCTTCCCATATTTCACCTGTAACAACAGGAAGGTTAGGACATGGTTGAAGACATAAGTTATTAGAATGAATTTCTTCTGAAAGCATTTATTTGGGTATGACAATGGTGTATTTTGATTTATATAAAGGTAGACTGATTTTACGTTTTGCGACACTTGTCTTTAACAGTATGGCTATCCGGTGTTCCTTGATTGAAGAATTAGAAGAGGTACTTGACCAACTGCTCGTGACAGTCAAAGAGCTCATCAAGATGTACTGTCACACTTTCCATACCGACTACCTATTGGGTGCAGCCGTCCAGCCCGTCAGAGGTATGTTGGTACAACCAAAGGGACATTTAAAATCTGTCAGAATTTCAGAGGAAAGTCACTACTACTCTTAAAGTCCATCATATCGACATGTGATTAAATTTTGTGTCCAATAAAGTCATTTTCGGGGGGCATTGTAACTGATACCCTTGTTTGGGTCAGACAGAAATTTGATATAACCTCATTGGTTTCCTTCTTAAGAAATACACGTTAACCAGGTTTCCTTGCTCCTCTGGTCTCTCTACTGATGCCATTGAGCTGAAATTTTAAGAGAATATTCTAAAACTAAAGTGAAGACGGTTTTATTGCCTTGAGTGCTTAAACATGCTGATCGCACTGCCATTGTAGGAATATACATGCCTCATATATTTTTGCTGTGTTTGGCAGTGACGGAAAACAGCTGTGTTTTAGCATGTGTGTTAATTCAACAGAATCACTTTCTGAATTTTAATTTAGAAGTTTAGAATCATATTAAATTATATATGAAAGAAGGGCAGAAAAGGCACTCAGAGATGAAGCCAAACGAAACGCAAAAAACTTGTCGGGGGGAATACATGTTCAGGGTTCGCGGACCTCCATGGACTCTGCGAATAGTCAAATTGTAAGCAGAAATCAGGGTGGGGAAAGAGGAAGGAAGTCAAGTCATCGTTAAAGTGTTTATACACCAACGCCGATCATCTGAGGAACAAATTAGACGAACTTTTGATAAGAACAAATATTGAAAGCCCACAGATAATTGGAATCACTGAAGTTAAAGCAAAAAATAGCAAATATACCGTGTTCGAATCTGAATATAATATCGGGAACAATTTTTCAATGTTTTCTAAAAATTTGGATTCTCCTACCGGGAGGGGCCTTATGTTATATATTAGTAACTATCTTACTTGTAAGGAGGTGACTTTTAACACTTCCTTTGAGGAAAATCTCAGCATAAGCATAACTTTAAATAGTACAGATGAGATGTTAGTATGTCTTGTGTATAGATCGAACAGCGGATCAAGTGAGAATAACGATCAGTTACGAACCTTTTTACAAGGTATATCTAAGGAACATTATTCCCATATTCTTATACTGGGAGATTTTAACTATCCAGAAATAAACTGGAAAACTTGGAATGTAGATGTAAACAACACAGAACCACCGTCGGCACCAACAGGGAACTCAAAAATAGATTAGATGAACACTGGGCAAATCAAGAACTGGTATATAATTATAAAGCAGAAATTCTGTAGTTCCTGGATCTGACGACTCAAATGACAATAATTATGAACATAATCATTGTATCACTGAGACCGGTATAGAGGATCGTAATGATCCTGTACAGATAATAAACTAAACTTTATGGATGTGCGGAACGATTATTTTAGTGTACATGTACGTCATCAGGCAAAATTCAGCACAATGTCAATGTTTGGTAAACAAAGATTGGACAAGAATTTGTTCAAATTTTTGATGAACTGATTTTGAATCAACGTTGCATGATAAATAGAATACATGGTCAGTGTCTTAAAATGTAAGCAGCATTTTGGCTCGGGACAGAAAGACAAAAATGTTTTTGTCTCTCTTCACCCTCACCAAAATACAGCTTATATAATAAAATACTGACCATGCATTCTCTACGTATATGACACCTGTATAATGTAATTTTGTTACAGAAACAAAGCCTGTGATTGTATTGGAGGACAACTTCATTCTACATATTGCTACGATCCATCGTATCCCTGTCACCTGGGCACAGAAGTAAGTCACGTTATATAATTTGTGTACAAATGAAAGAAACATGTATCAAAAACATGAAAAAAATTTTGTCATGAATTCACAATAATGACAAATCTTTAATTGAATGGAGAAATATAACTGATAAGGTATATTTGTCATGTAGGACTCAAAATACAGGTACACAGTCTTCAAGTAAACAAACTCATGTTATCTCGGAGGCATTTTTTCAGTTCAGTCTGCCTTACATTCTAGTATTAAGCTCACCATCATTAGATTATGGAGAGTTAAGGCTGCCTTACATTCTAGTATTAAGCTCACCATCATTAGATTATGGAGAGTTAAGGCTGCCTTACATTCTAGTATTAAGCTCACCGTCATTAGATTATGGACAGTTACGGCTGCCTTACAATTTAGTATTAAGCTCACCGTCATTAGATTATGGACAGTTAAGGCTGCCTTACATTCTAGTATTAAGCTCACCGTCATTAGATTATGGACAGTTACGGCTGCCTTACAATTTAGTATTAAGCTCACCGTCATTAGATTATGGACAGTTAAGGCTGCCTTACATTCTAGTATTAAGCTCACCGTCATTAGATTATGGACAGTTAAGGCTGCCTTACATTCTAGTATTAAGCTCACCGTCATTAGATTATGGACAGTTACGGCTGCCTTACAATTTAGTATTAAGCTCACCGTCATTAGATTATGGACAGTTAAGGCTGCCTTACATTCTAGTATTAAGCTCACCGTCATTAGATTATGGACAGTTAAGGCTGCCTTACATTCTAGTATTAAGCTCACCGTCATTAGATTATGGACAGTTACGGCTGCCTTACAATTTAGTATTAAGCTCACCATCATTAGATTATGGACAGTTAAGGCTGCCTTACATTCTAGTATTAAGCTCACCGTCATTAGATTATGGACAGTTAAGGCTGCCTTACATTCTAGTATTAAGCTCACAGTCATTAGATTATGGACAGTTACGGCTGCCTTACAATTTAGTATTAAGCTCACCGTCATTAGATTATGGACAGTTAAGGCTGCCTTACATTCTAGTATTAAGCTCACCGTCATTAGATTATGGACAGTTAAGGCTGCCTTACATTCTAGTATTAAGCTCACCGTCATTAGATTATGGACAGTTACGAATGCCTTACAATTTAGTATTAAGCTCACCGTCATTAGATTATGGACAGTTAAGGCTGCCTTACATTCTAGTATTAAGCTCACCGTCATTAGATTATGGACAGTTAAGGCTGCCTTACATTCTAGTATTAAGCTCACCGTCATTAGATTATGGACAGTTAAGGCTGCCTTACATTCTGGTATTAAGCTCACCGTCATTAGATTATGGACAGTTAAGGCTGCCTTACATTCTAGTATTAAGCTCACCGTCATTAGATTATGGACAGTTAAGGCTGCCTTACATTCTGGTATTAAGCTCACCGTCATTAGATTATGGAGAGTTAAGGCTGCCTTACATTCTAGTATTAAGCTCACCGTCATTAGATTATGGAGAGTTAAGGCTGCCTTACATTCTAGTATTAAGCTCACCGTCATTAGATTATGGAGAGTTAAGGCTGCCTTACATTCTAGTATTAAGCTCACCGTCATTAGATTATGGAGAGTTAAGGCTGCCTTACATTCTAGTATTAAGCTCACCGTCATTAGATTATGGAGAGTTAAGGCTGCCTTACATTCTAGTATTAAGCTCACCGTCATTAGATTATGGAGAGTTAAGGCTGCCTTACATTCTAGTATTAAGCTCACCGTCATTAGATTATGGAGAGTTAAGGCTGCCTTACATTCTAGTATTAAGCTCACCGTCATTAGATTATGGACAGTTAAGGCTGCCTTACATTCTAGTATTAAGCTCACCGTCATTAGATTATGGACAGTTAAGGCTGCCTTACATTCTAGTATTAAGCTCACCGTCATTAGATTATGGACAGTTAAGGCTGCCTTACATTCTAGTATTAAGCTCACCGTCATTAGATTATGGACAGTTAAGGCTGCCTTACATTCTAGTATTAAGCTCACCGTCATTAGATTATGGACAGTTACGGCTGCCTTACAATTTAGTATTAAGCTCACCGTCATTAGATTATGGACAGTTAAGGCTGCCTTACATTCTAGTATTAAGCTCACCGTCATTAGATTATGGACAGTTAAGGCTGCCTTACATTCTAGTATTAAGCTCACCGTCATTAGATTATGGACAGTTAAGGCTGCCTTACATTCTGGTATTAAGCTCACCGTCATTAGATTATGGACAGTTAAGGCTGCCTTACATTCTAGTATTAAGCTCACCGTCATTAGATTATGGACAGTTAAGGCTGCCTTACATTCTAGTATTAAGCTCACCGTCATTAGATTATGGACAGTTAAGGCTGCCTTACATTCTAGTATTAAGCTCACCGTCATTAGATTATGGACAGTTAAGGCTGCCTTACATTCTAGTATTAAGCTCACCGTCATTAGATTATGGACAGTTAAGGCTGCCTTACATTCTAGTATTAAGCTCACCGTCATTAGATTATGGACAGTTACGAATGCCTTACAATATAGTATTAAGCTCACCGTCATTAGATTATGGACAGTTAAGGCTGCCTTACATTCTAGTATTAAGCTCACCGTCATTAGATTATGGACAGTTAAGGCTGCCTTACATTCTAGTATTAAGCTCACCGTCATTAGATTATGGACAGTTAAGGCTGCCTTACAATCTAGTATTAAGCTCACCGTCATTAGATTATGGACAGTTAAGGCTGCCTTACATTCTAGTATTAAGCTCACCGTCATTAGATTATGGACAGTTAAGGCTGCCTTACATTCTAGTATTAAGCTCACCGTCATTAGATTATGGACAGTTAAGGCTGCCTTACATTCTAGTATTAAGCTCACCGTCATTAGATTATGGACAGTTAAGGCTGCCTTACATTCTAGTATTAAGCTCACCGTCATTAGATTATGGACAGTTACGGCTGCCTTACATTCTAGTATTAAGCTCACCGTCATTAGATTATGGACAGTTAAGGCTGCCTTACATTCTAGTATTAAGCTCACCGTCATTAGATTATGGAGAGTTAAGGCTGCCTTACATTCTAGTATTAAGCTCACCGTCATTAGATTATGGAGAGTTAAGGCTGCCTTACATTCTAGTATTAAGCTCACCGTCATTAGATTATGGAGAGTTAAGGCTAAGGCTGCCTTACATTCTAGTATTAAGCTCACCGTCATTAGATTATGGAGAGTTAAGGCTGCCTTACATTCTAGTATTAAGCTCACCGTCATTAGATTATGGACAGTTAAGGCTGCCTTACATTCTAGTATTAAGCTCACCGTCATTAGATTATGGACAGTTAAGGCTGCCTTACATTCTAGTATTAAGCTCACCGTCATTAGATTATGGACAGTTAAGGCTGCCTTACATTCTAGTATTAAGCTCACCGTCATTAGATTATGGACAGTTAAGGCTGCCTTACATTCTTGTATTAAGCTCACCGTCATTAGATTATGGACAGTTAAGGCTGCCTTACATTCTAGTATTAAGCTCACCGTCATTAGATTATGGACAGTTAAGGCTGCCTTACATTCTAGTATTAAGCTCACCGTCATTAGATTATGGACAGCCTAAACCACACACACACACACACACACACACACACACACACACACACACACACACACACACACACATCATTAATGGCTGCCTTACATTCTAGTATTAAGCTCACCGTCATTAGATTATGGACAGTTAAGGCTGCCTTACATTCTAGTATTAAGCTCACCGTCATTAGATTATGGACAGTTAAGGCTGCCTTACATTCTAGTATTAAGCTCACCGTCATTAGATTATGGACAGTTAAGGGTATTAAGCTCACCGTCATTAGATTATGGACAGTTAAGGCTGCCTTACATTCTAGTATTAAGCTCACCGTCATTAGATTATGGACAGTTACGGCTGCCTTACTAGTATTAAGCTCACCGTCATTAGATTATGGACAGTTAAGGCTGCCTTACATTCTAGTATTAAGCTCACCGTCATTAGATTATGGACAGTTAAGGCTGCCTTACATTCTAGTATTAAGCTCACCGTCATTAGATTATGGACAGTTAAGGCTGCCTTACATTCTAGTATTAAGCTCACCGTCATTAGATTATGGACAGTTAAGGCTGCCTTACATTTAGTATTAAGCTCACCGTCATTAGATTATGGACAGTTAAGGCTGCCTTACATTCTAGTATTAAGCTCACCGTCATTAGATTATGGACAGTTAAGGCTGCCTTACATTCTAGTATTAAGCTCACCGTCATTAGATTATGGACAGTTAAGGCTGCCTTACATTCTAGTATTAAGCTCACCGTCATTAGATTATCAGGCTGCCTTACATTCTAGTATTAAGCTCACCGTCATTAGATTATGGACAGTTAAGGCTGCCTTACATTCTAGTATTAAGCTCACCGTCATTAGATTATGGACAGTTAAGGCTGCCTTACATTCTAGTATTAAGCTCACCGTCATTAGATTATGGAGAGTTAAGGCTGCCTTACATTCTAGTATTAAGCTCACCGTCATTAGATTATGGAGAGTTAAGGCTGCCTTACATTCTAGTATTAAGCTCACCGTCATTAGATTATGGAGAGTTAAGGCTGCCTTACATTCTAGTATTAAGCTCACCGTCATTAGATTATGGAGAGTTAAGGCTGCCTTACATTCTAGTATTAAGCTCACCGTCATTAGATTATGGACAGCTGCCTTACATTCTAGTATTAAGGCTGTTAAGGCTGCCTTACATTTAGTATTAAGCTCACGGTCATTAGATTATATTAAGGCTGCTCACCGTCATTAGATTATGGAGAGTTTAGGCTGCCTTACATTCTAGTATTAAGCTCACCGTCATTAGATTATGGACAGTTAAGGCTGCCTTACATTCTAGTATTAAGCTCACCGTCATTAGATTATGGAGAGTTAAGGCTGCCTTACATTCTAGTATTAAGCTCACCGTCATTAGATTATGGAGAGTTAAGGCTGCCTTACATTCTAGTATTAAGCTCACCGTCATTAGATTATGGACAGTTTAGGCTGCCTTACATTCTAGTATTAAGCTCACCGTCATTAGATTATGGACAGTGAAGGCTGCCTTACATTCTAGTATTAAGCTCACCGTCATTAGATTATGGACAGTTAAGGCTGCCTTACATTCTAGTATTAAGCTCACCGTCATTAGATTATGGACAGTTTAGGCTGCCTTACATTTGGAGTCACATGGGTCTAAACTGTTAAAGTAGTCATGTAGTACCTTGTGCTATTTTGGATCATGTCTTCAAAACTCATAGGGACATTGATAAGACTTTCACCACCACTTCTATCCTTCACATTGACCATTACAGTACAGCTCATGTGGATTTTTTCATTTTCCTCCCAACTGTTATGGATGTGGGCTAAGTGTGGACAAGAAATATAAATAGTTCTTGAAATAGGCGATTTTACTACATGTTGTAGTAAACAAGTTTGGTTATGAAAATTCATAAGATTGCTGTTATATCTGATGATGGTCTTCCAAACTCTTTGTTAACCAAATAATGGGCCATGACTAGACATCTTTGAATATTTGAAGTCCGTAGCATATATTTCGGCAGGTAAACCATGAATAATGATCCTGTGTGGTCTGATCATCTGATTTAGCCACGATGTACTGGTGTGACCAGATCATCTGATTTAGCCACGATGTACTGGTGTGACCAGATCATCTGATTTAGTCACAATGTCCTTGTGTGACCAGATCATCTGATTTAGTCACAATGTACTGGTGTGACCAGATCATCTGACTTAGTCACGATGTCCTTGTGTGACCAGATCATCTGATTTAGTCACAATATCCTTGTGTGACCAGATCATCTGATTTAGTCACAATATCCTTGTGTGACCAGATCATCTGATTTAGTCACAATGTCCTTGTGTGACCAGATCATCTGATTTAGTCACAATGTCCTTGTGTGACCAGATCATCTGATTTAGTCACGGTGTACTTGTGTGACCAGATCATCTGATTTAGTCACAATGTCCTTGTGTGACCAGATCATCTGATTTAGTCACGGTGTACTTGTGTGACCAGATCATCTGATTTAGTCACGATGTCCTTGTGTGACCAGATCTTCTGATTTAGTCACGATGTACTGGTGTGACCAGATCATCTGATTTAGTCACGATGTCCTTGTGTGACCAGATCTTCTGATTTAGTCACGATGTCCTTGTGTGACCAGATCTTCTGATTTAGTCACGATGTCCTTGTGTGACCAGATCTTCTGATTTAGTCACATTGTCTTTGTGTGACATGATCATCTGATTTCGTCACAATGTATTCAGATCAGTTGTTGTACAAATATTTACATAAAAAGTACATTGGTAATTATTCTTTATATATAACTGTTTATGAAGAGTGAAGTTCTTTGGGCGCTAAAGGCCTTTAGCTTTCGAGCAAAGTTCTATACCGGTAACATGGACAAGATGGCCACCACATGGTAACTTCTGATTGGTTTTAAATTCATATAACAGAAAATTGGTATGTAGGTTTGTTTCTACATCAGAAACACGATGGTGACATTTTGTTTTCTATTTGAACTAGATGGCCGTTACATAGTAGCTTTTGATTGGTTGAAAAGTCACCTGAGTGTTCAACTAAACTCAGATTCATCAAATTGTCCGAAATTTGGATGTCATCCGATTTCCGTGAAAATTAGATGTACCAGTATACTATATATAGTTTACCTTGATATCTAGTGTCAACATGGTACTTAGCGGGCCATGATACCTACTGGTCAGTCACAGATCATTGATAACGTGGGCCTCAACATAATTCGTAGGTGCATCATGGACTGCAGTATACTGTGGGCAGTAGGTATTCTGATGGACCTGAGAAGTGTTTAGTCTGTCATGGATGAGTGGAAAATGTGTCTCTAGGCATACTACTGTAAAATGAGAAATTGAAGTTTATCAGTGCAATTAGGAGAAATGTACACAAGTTCCACATGGTTGCGTTTCAGTGTAGTTCTGACAGTCTCGTCTTGATGACCTTTGAAAACGCCCCATAAATGAAGCCTTTTTTTAACTTTCTGGTTTTTCCAGTACTGTTTACACACTTTCTTGACATAAAGGATGATTGAATGACTAAATCTTTGGAAATTTATGCATTTATTCATTATCTTTGTTGACACATACCAAAAAAACCGGTGAACCATACCCGTAGCTCTGTACACCTGTTCTGACTACCGAGATTACACTATAAATAGAAAGGGTATTCCCCACTTGCATGACTTTAAAATTTATACCACTGTTTCTCAGCACTGTATTCAAACTGCGAAAAGGTACCCAGACCCCAGAGTGCTAAATATAGACTGCACCAAATGAAATAATTTTACAATATGAAATAACCTCAGCGAGATAATCATGCCTGTGATGCGTCTCCCTTGGCGAGGATCTTAACGGCTATATTCTCGTTCTTTTTTTTTTAGATATGATGAGTTTAAGATCGTTTGCAGTCTTCATTACGGCAAAGAAAAGATAGACATGGATGTGGTTACAACATGTAAGACCATCTCCAAGACTAAGCTGTGTGGACTGGAATGTATTCTCTGGGACGAATGGTACGTGATCCACAAGGCAACAATGGGTAGATGTTTTACAGCGTAGTCACCATTAATCAGACCATTAGTTTCCCCCACTTTGCGAGATATAATTATGGATATGAGTGTTAAATACACAAAATTTGGTAAAGGGACCAAGTACTGTATATCACTTATATTGCATGTTGGATTTGTTTTCACTCGAGGAGAGTCAATCGTGAATTCAAATCCCACACAATTATTCGTACAGAAAAAATTTGTGATGACATCCGTGCTGATTGGAGCCCAGATATCTAATAACCCATCATTAATTTAAAGTCATTTCTAGATCAGCGTTCATGAAATCATGCATTCACATATATGTTTGAACAGGTAAGTTTGCGAGATATAGTATTTGTGAATTCAAAGTGATTTTCTTTATATCATCAAGTTTAATTTTATCCTACTTTAAGGTCAAACAATCGGGGAGATAATGATTTGACACTTTTAGGAATTCATGGATTTCTTATTAAATCGTGGAAAACTAATTTTTCATGAAGTAGAGATTTTCTTTCGGAAAATAAATAAGTAAATAAATAGATAAATAAAGATAATTTTTCCATTACGTCAACAATATTAATTTACAATTAAACTTATTGATGTGATTTTCCAGGGTGAGTTTTGATGAAATCCCAGTCCAGGTGTTGCCCAGGGAAACACGAGTATGTATGACACTTTGTGGTGTCAAGGTGGTACCCAGTACAAACCAAAACAACACACAAGGAACCAAGGTTTTGTCAGCCCTAGGTGGAGTCACAGTACAACTTTATAACCAGAAAGGGTAAGTACGTCTCCTTTAGTGGAAGTTCCGAAACAGCAGTGTGTGCTGAGCAAAAATGTTTTCCTTTGAAGCAACATTTGCATCTAAGTTAGTTTAAGGTCATTTTTTAACTGTTGTAGTCAATTCACCAAAACTAACGTGTTTCATATAAATTTTATGTTCTGGTCAGTTTGAAGTAGTCACTCACTCAGCCAAAACTAACGTGTTTCATACAAATCGTATGTTTTGGTCAGTTTGAAGTAGTCACTCACTCAACCAAAACTAACGTGTTTCATACAAACTGTATGTTCTGGTCAGTTTGAAGTAGTCACTCACTCAACCAAAACTGTGATTCATAAAAGCACTGGTCAGGTCAAATTTTTACAGGACAATAAACATACATAGATATACACTCTCTGACATTTCATAATGTGTTTTAAGTTCTGTTTAAGTTATGTTGGTGTTGATGTTTGTGTTGTTTGTTTACCAGACACCTGGTCAGTGGTCACCTGTTGATGTTTGTGGGGTTAATTTACTAGACACCTTGTCAGTGGTCACCTGTTGATGTTTGTGGGGTTAATTTACTAGACACCTTGTCAGTGGCCACCTGTTGATATTTGTGGGGTTAATTTACTAGACACCTTGTCAGTGGCCACCTGTTGATGTTTGTGTTGTTTATTTTCCAGACACCTGGTCAACGGTCACCTGTTGATATTTGTGTTGTTTGTTTGCCAGACACCTGGTCAGTGGTCACCTGTTGATGTTTGTGGGGTTTGTTTACCAGACACCTGGTCAGTGGTCACCTGTTGATGTTGATGTGGTTTGTTTACCAGACACCTGGTCAGTGGTCACCTGTTGATATTTGTGTTGTTTGTTTACTAGACACCTGGTCAGTGGTCACCTGTTGATGTTGATGTTGATGTTGTTTATTTTCCAGACACCTGGTCAGTGGTCACCTGTTGATGTTGATGTTGATGTTGTTTTTTTTCCAGACACCTGATCAGTGGTCACCTGTTGATGTTTGTGTTGTTTGTTTACCAGACACCTGATCAGTGGTCACCTGTTGATGTTGATGTTGTTTATTTTCCAGACACCTGGTCAGCGGTCACCTGTTGATGTTTATGTTGTTTATTTTCCAGACACCTGATCAGTGGTCACCTGTTGGTCCCTTTGAAGATGTACAGTGTGGCTGACCCTTTCATTCCCTTCTGTTCATCACTACAGTCAGATGCTGCACTGATGCAGGTATGTAAACCAAGTATATCTTTCCATCAATCAAATTAATGTTGGTCCCCACCATATGTTATTTAAATGAAGACATGTCAGGTGTGTATTACTGTAGCTAAATTCCATCCCATGTACTTCAACATTGAATAATGGCATCTTCCTATATTTGAAATCATCTGTTGTAAATAATTCATTTAAAAAAACTAATGCTAAGTTCCATGAGTCCTCAAGTTTCCTAGTATTTAATTCTTTGTTCGATTAACGGCAATATGAATACAATCATGGCAAAGAACTCACTGCTGTCAATAAAGTATTTTTGGTGACATTTTATATAAATATTGACAAAATTAAACAACAGGAAAAATGTGTGGAATTGTTTAATTTAATACTAACTGACAGACATTTGATACATAAAGTATCAATATTTAGTCCACTATCATCAGATGGTGGATTTTTCAAATTGCCCTGTAACATCCGCAGTCTCTCTATCTGAAAACAAATCTTGTTACTGCTTTACTTAAAAATCTACCGGATAGTTATGGTTCAGAGTGCATCAGTAGGTTCCCCTTGGTCTCTAGTTTTCCCTTCTTTGAATTTGGGACTGATCAGAAAAATGAAATGCCTGACAGGCTACCATTTTCAATTTTGATGGGTTTTTCTAAAATATCATTATTATGTAGGTTCCTCATGGTCCCTAGTTGTACCTGTTTAATTTTAGGATTGTTCAGAAAAACAAAATGGCTGACAGGCTGCCATGTTTGACTCTGGAAGTATCTTCTCTTCAAGAAAGCTCTTTCTTGAAAGTTTGCTATCACTATTTCTTGAGAAGCACTGGAGGATCTTTCTCAATGTTTGTATGTAGATTCCCCTTATTTCCTAGTTGTGCCCTTTTGATGTTGAGACTGATTAGAAAAACAAAATTGTTTATAGGCAGCCATCTTGAATTTTTATTACAAGATGGATCTTTAATGAATTTCGATGTGAAAAATTACCAGAATCTGAGTTATACACAGCAAGCTCCCTATTTATGTTGATCAAAATTTATTGTTTGCTGTTAAAAGTTCTTATTTCATTTTAGATCAATCTGCCAGACTTTGGAAAACAAATTGTGTTCCCAGAAGTTTATGTGTCAAAACACTGGTAAAGTATTATGAAATATTTCAATAAAATGTGGTTAAAGTATTTGTGAAATTTTTTGAGAGTCTGTCATGTGTTGTGGTGTAGGATGGGGATATTCCACCCAAGGGATCACAAAATATAAAACCTTAGGCTTTGCTGAGTATTTTACAACCTTCTGTGACATAGAGGTTGAAATTTCCCATCCTCCACCCACACAAGTGAAAGAACATTTTTTCTCTCATGTCTGTAGCATAACTTTGCTTACATTTAAATAAGAATTGCTGTCATTCTGTCATTAAAAGAAATATATATATATATATATATATATATACATTCAGGTAAATTTTATGTGTGGTATTTGTTACATAAAACCTGATTGGTCACATATCCACTGTCTGAGGTAACTAGTACACTAGAAACACTGATTAATGTTTGGTTCATGTGTGTTGTAATAACTGTCAAGTTAAAAATGATCTTTATAATCACAGATCAATATTTGATATACTTACTACTCAGTCATAACCGCATTTCCATTTACCATACCACTGGTAATTTTCATGAGTGGAAATTTTTTTCAATAGTTACTCTGTGAAATAAGATATTTTTGGTGGTACTGCGAAATAACAAAAATATCATTCCAGTGACAATAATCTGCTAGTCTGTAATTTTAATTGGTAATATTAGTCCACATTTTTTACCAAACGGCACAAAATGGGTGGCCCTGTTGACAGGATGCTTTAGATATTCTATCATGTATGTATGCATTAAGTATTACCACAATTCTAAATCAAGTTACTAAGTTTCTTCAAAATCCCACAAAAAACCCACAATCAAGGTCACAGGTTTTAATTGTGTTGAAATCATCAAATGATTTTTCCTTCAAAATAACCAAAATGCCTGCTGGGATTAAGGGTTACTAAGTTTGTTCAAATGATTGACCTTGACCCACTTTTAAGATCATAGGGGTCAAATGTGCTAGGAATTTGAAATTTCTACTTTTCGACAAGCATAAGGTCCTTGGTCGTGGTATTTCTATAGAAACATGGTGGAAGAATACCCAACTTACAAGGTTTTCTGTGTAGTCTGCAGAACAAGTGATTCAGGCCTGTTAGTCCTCTTCTTTTATGCTAATTTCAGTGAGAAGAAGCCATTCTCATCGTTGTTGCCCGAGATACAGAAGATAGTGACTGATACCATGGAGAAGGACTGTGTTACTTCGTGAGTATACCTGATTCTTCACTCACTTGATACCAGTTTTGTGGAGGAAGATACTGCGCTCCATATGTTTGATAAAATGCTTGTTATATAGAGGTCCAATTTGATCCAATTAAAACCAAAAAATTGCACTGTTTTCAGAAGTACACTACTTCCTTTATAAACAAACTGTAATATTTAACACTGAGAAGCAATAAAAATGGTTTGTTTGGGGAAACTATGAAATCTTTAAAATTGAAATGAAAAATTTAACAATGAAGTTTGGTTTGTAACAACCAAAAGTGATGCAAAGCTTTATCAAATTTTTTATTATAGTTTGTGTTGTAAAGGACAACTGTAGTTAAGGTCATGGTTGGTAGATACTCTGAGGGTAGCAAAGATATTCTTGTCTATCATTTACCTGTTTGAAATATTTTAATGTAGTGTCAAGTTCTATCATCTGACACTAGAGAAATTTCAACCCAATTAGTTTGTATCATAATGTGATCTACAAAAAGAGATGAACAAAAATGTGATATTTATATCTCATACTTTTCTATTTTCAAAATATTATTCAACCAATATCTACAATGAGGATTTCACTCGTATGTAAATTTATCCAACAGTTGTCAGGCTGATGAGTTAGAGATACTATGGCGTTACCGCAACTATCTACACTGTTTCCCGAATGTGTTGCCATGGATACTGCAGGGTGTGTTGCGATGGGACTGGGGTAGCTTGTCTGAGGTTTACTCATTACTACAGAGTTGGGATGGTATAGACCCAATGCAGGCATTGGAGCTTCTCCTACCACAGTAAGTCATACTGTCATTGTGTCAACTTCATCTACCTTTCTGCACTAAGGTAATCTTTTTAGCCTGTTGTTATGGTGATAGGTTGTTCTAATTGTCCTGTGTCCGTGGTCAAATCGAATGTCGTCCTTTGGTTATCTATCAGCAGTTCTTGTTATCACTATTTTTTGAGAATAAAGTTTCATTATTGGGAGGTTTCCCTATATGATCCCAAATGATGCCCTTTCAAGGTCACAGATTTCAAATATGTCATAACATAAACAATCTCTTCCAAGCATCTTATAAATACCTAGAATCGTGGTATTTGACTTTGAAGCTCAACAAAGTTATGACATTTTATGATGTATAATAACACAAGGTCAAATATAATCCACAAACGACTTCTTCTAATGAACATTTAATCCCATAATCATGAGATTTGTTATAAAGGATCCAACAAGTTGTGCGAAAAGAAGTGACCTTGACCAATTTTTCAACATATTCAAAATTACTGGGGTCAAATTTTGAAAAATGCCTCGAGAATTTGTACAAGAAAAAATATTTTTAGCATTGCAGTATAAAACAGCTGTTCAAAATTTGCACAAAGGAATTAAAATGAAATATATTCCAGTAATGAATCCATCAGTTGTATATAAATGATGTTTAGTCTGGAGTGTATAAGCATGTTTATTTTAATGTTGGTTGAAATGATCTTGATTCTTGAATAATACCATGAATTATCTCTCAACATTAAATTAATGATATTCAATATCAGTACATTACAATATATAAACTACAATGGGATGGTTAATTTGTGTATTTCTTTTTCTGATAACAGATATCCTGATATTACTGTGAGGAAATTTGCTGTTGACTGTCTCAAGACAATGGCAACGGATGACCTTAATGAGTTCATACCACAGCTTATCCAGGTAATATCACAATCCTGTACAAAAGGCAAAATGGACCTGTATTGCCTGTCAGGTGGATCTGGATAATCTTTGACATTTTGTTTGTTGGTTTTTTTTTTTGGTTTCATCACTGACAGATATTCTTCTATATTATAAATATAAATCAAAGATGATAAGTATCACCTGTGAGTTTGCATGACTGGAGGTTATAGGGTCATGGTTCAAAGGTCAAGGTCAGATTTTTTTCTCTCTTATTTTCAGACAGTATCCATATTTGCAGCAAGGCAACTACTTATTCCTGTAAACCAAAAAAAAATCACATTCAACTTTCAATTTTTTGTATAATGACAGAGTATTTTAAATTCTTATTTGCAAATATTCAGCTTTCTTGATATAATTCAGTTACCATGACAACTCTTACGATGATTCAGAATTATTATAATTTCTTTCTTCAGGCCCTGAAATATGAAAGTTACCATGCCTCCGACCTGTCTCGTATGCTCCTGGAACAGTCATGCAAAAGTATCAGATTTGCTCACAAGTTCTTCTGGTAAGGTATCTTCATCGTGTTGTAGTGACCACTGAGTGAAGTCATATAATTAACATGTACCAGCTAGCTGTAATTATCTGTTGTGTGTGTCAATTGTGTTTAGTATCATGCTTTTTAAACTTATTTTAAATTTGATAAATATGGCTGTTATGTAATGTTCAGAGGTTTGGAATGTTCAGTTTTTTTTATTTGAGAAAGAAGAAGAAAGATGTAAGGTTGTCATGTGTGGGAAATGATACTTTGGTTATCAATATCTATATCACTATTTTGGTTTAGGTAATCAATACATTACATGTATCGTTTATTTGGATAATCAATATTTAATCAATAATCATAATCAATAATACTTGGTATATAGATATAATGACTATTTACCTGGTATATAGATATAATGACTATTTACCTGGTATATAGATATAATGACTATTTACCTGGTATATAGATATAATGACTATTTACCTGGTATATAGATATAATGACTATTTACCTGGTATATAGATATAATGACTATTTACCTGGTATATAGATATAATGACTATTTACCTGGTATATAGATATAATGACTATTTACCTGGTATATAGATATAATGACTATTTACCTGGTATATAGATATAATGACTATTTACCTGGTATATAGATATAATGACTATTTACCTGGTATATAGATATAATGACTATTTTCCTGGTATATAGATATAATGACTATTTACCTGGTGTATAGATATAATGACCATTTACCTGGTATATAGATATAATGACTATTTACCTGGTATATAGATATAATGACCATTTACCTGGTATATAGATATAATGACTATTTACCTGGTGTATAGATATAATGACTATTTACCTGGTATATAGATATAATGACTATTTACCTGATATATAGATATAATGACTATTTACCTGGTATATAGATATAATGACCATTTACCTGGTATATAGATATAATGACTATTTACCTGGTGTATAGATATAATGACCATTTACCTGGTATATAGATATAATGACTATTTACCTGGTATATAGATATAATGACCATTTACCTGGTATATATATATAATGACTATTTACCTGGTATATAGATATAATGACTATTTACCTGGTATATAGATATGATGACTATTTACCTGGTATATAGATATAATGACTATTTACCTGGTATATAGATATAATGACTATTTACCTGGTATATAGATATAATGACTATTTACCTGGTATATATATATAATGACTATTTACCTGGTATATAGATATAATGACTATTTACCTGGTATATAGATATAATGACTATTTACCTGGTATATAGATATAATGACTATTTACCTGGTATATAGATATGATGACTATTTACCTGGTATATAGATATGATGACTATTTACCTGGTATATAGATATAATGACCATTTACCTGGTATATAGATATAATGACTATTTACCTGGTGTATAGATATAATGACTGTGTACCTGGTATATAGATATAATGACTATTTACCTGGTATATAGATATAATGACCATTTACCTGGTGTATAGATATAATGACTGTGTACCTGGTATATAGATATAATGACTATTTACCTGGTATATAGATATAATGACTATTTACCTGGTATATAGATATAATGACTATTTACCTGGTATATAGATATAATGACTATTTACCTGGTATATAGATATAATGACTATTTACCTGGTATATAGATATAATGACTATTTACCTGATATATAGATATAATGACCATTTACCTGGTATATAGATATAATGACTATTTACCTGGTATATAGATATAATGACTGTGTACCTGGTATATAGATATAATGACTATTTACCTGGTGTATAGATATAATGACTATTTACCTGGTATATAGATATAATGACTATTTACCTGGTATATAGATATAATGACTATTTACCTGGTATATAGATATAATGACCATTTACCTGGTATATAGATATAATGACTATTTACCTGGTGTATAGATATAATGACCATTTACCTGGTATATAGATATAATGACCATTTACCTGGTGTATAGATATAATGACTGTGTACCTGGTATATAGATATAATGACTATTTACCTGGTATATAGATATAATGACTATTTACCTGGTATATAGATATAATGACTATTTACCTGGTATATAGATATAATGACCATTTACCTGGTATATAGATATAATGACCATTTACCTGGTGTATAGATATAATGACTATTTACCTGGTATATAGATATAATGACCATTTACCTGGTGTATAGATATAATGACTGTGTACCTGGTATATAGATATAATGACTATTTACCTGGTATATAGATATAATGACTATTTACCTGGTATATAGATGTAATGACTATTTACCTGGTATATAGATATAATGACTATTTACCTGGTACACTATGTACTATGTACCTGGTACACTATATACTATGTACCTGGTACACTATGTACTATGTACACTATGTACCTAATACACTATGTACTATGTACCTGGTACACTATGTACTATGTACCTGGTACACTATGTACCTGGTACACTATGTATTATGTACCTGGTACACTATGTACTATGTACCTTGTACACTATATACTATGTACCTGGTACACTATGTACCTGGTGCGCTATGTACTATGTACCTGATACACTATGTACTATGTACCTGGTACACTATGTACTATGTACACTATGTACCTGGTACACTGGTACACTATGTACCTGGTACACTATGTACTATTTACCTGGTACACTATGTACTATGAACCTGGTAACCAATGGATATATTAATTTATCATGTTTATATCAGGTTGTTGAAAGGAGCAGCACAGGACAGTATCTACAAGCATCGATATGAGCTGATGTTCGTTGCTTTAGTAAGTGTGGCAGGCGACGCCCTCTACCAGGAGTTCAGAAAACAGGAAGAGCTGGTGAAGATCTTAACGACTGCTGCTGAGAAAGTCCAGGTATCAAAGGAAAAAGACGTAAGTATACAAGCAGGCATGAGTTGTAAACATGACAAAGTCAGATTTAAGTACAATTAAATTTTTTTTTAGTCCAGAAAAGAAGGGGAAAAGTACATCAGTAACGATGTCTCACTTCAAGAAATTGTGTATATTAATCAAATGCAGCACAATGTCAATTTCGCTTGAAATTTGATACATATCTCTTGTTACAACTTCATACACATCTCCAAAAAACAGTCTTAACATTTTTTTGTCCTTGAACCTGGTCAGTCAGATTGAGGTCATTGCACCATCAATTCTCGTTCAATCTCTGATGAAAGTCATATATTTTTCGTTGTTTACAGGGAACTTTGAAGCGAGAACTGCAGGCTTTGTTTGACTTGTTTGAGGATCGTGGCAGTATTTTGTTGCCATATAACCCTGGCTTGGCTGTGTCAGGGATAGATCTCAAGGTCAGTGAAGGGGGTACCTACATTGGGTTTTATTGTCAGGGATAGATCTCAAGGTCAGTGAAGGGGGTACCTACATTGGGTTTTATTGTCAGGGGTAGATCTCAAGGTCAGTGAAGGGGGTACCTACATTGGGTTTTATTGTCAGGGGTAGATCTCAAGGTCAGTGAAGGGGGTACCTACATTGGGTTTTATTGTCAGGGGTAGATCTCAAGGTCAGTGAAGGGGGTACCTACATTGGGTTTTATTGTCAGGGGTAGATCTCAAGGTCAGTGAAGGGGGTACCTACATTGGGTTTTATTGTCAGGGCTCGATCTCAAGGTCAGTGAAGGGGTTATCTATATTTTCAGTGAATGTTCCATCACCTATTTTGAAGCAGTATATAAAATTTCCCTAATCACGATATAATATAATTGAATGATCATGATTTTGGTATAAAAACTAATTTATTACTGAACTATCAAGGACAGGAAGAGTTTTGATAATGTACAAGAAAGCCAAGATCAGTTACATGTTATGTTGAAGAAGAGTGATTGTGTTCTGCTTCATCTGTCACACACACAATGTAAATTTTGGTGAATTTAAAGGAGTTGAAAACATAACCTTCCAAATAAAAACAACATATTTTTTGTTATAGTCTTGTTCCTACTTTACCTCGAATGCTTTGCCTCTGAAACTGGTGTTCAGGAGTACCAACATCAAGAATGAGCCAATATATGTCATGTTCAAGGTGAGAGTCTCGTTGATTAATAATTCTACCTGTTTTATCCCCACTACCTTCAGTATGTAATACTCCTACCTGTTTTATCCTCACGACCTTCAGTATGTAATAATCTTACCTGTTTTATCCTCACGACCTTCAGTATGTAATACTCCTACCTGTTTTATCCTCACTACCTTCAGTATGTAATAATCTTACCTGTTTTATCCTCACGACCTTCAGTATATAATAATCCTACCTGTTTTATCCTCACGACCTTCAGTATGTAATAATCTTACCTGTTTTATCCTCACGACCTTCAGTATGTAATACTCCTACCTGTTTTATCCTCACGACCTTCAGTATGTAATACTCCTACCTGTTTTATCCTCACGACCTTCAGTATGTAATAATCTTACCTGTTTTATCCTCACGACCTTCAGTATATAATAATCCTACCTGTTTTATCCTCACGACCTTCAGTATATAATAATCCTACCTGTTTTATCCTCGCTACCTTCAGTATGTAATAATCCTACCTGTTTTATCCTCACTACCTTTAGTATCATAAACCTTCAGACATAGTTCGGTCAAAATCTCCATAACTGTTTATGAAAAGAAGTTAAATTTGGTATGACATAAGCTCACCGGTCCTTGGGACCATGTCAGCTAAAATTACTGTTAATAATGATTGTGTTCTATGTATCAGGTGGGAGATGATCTCAGACAGGACATGCTGACGATGCAAATGGTGAAGATTATGGACAGACTGTGGTTACGAGCTGGACTGGACCTCAAAATGATAACATTTGCTTGTCTTGCTACTGGACCCAAAAGGGGTGAGTCAGGAATTTTTCGGGAGGAGTAATATACTGGTAATAGTAAATACTGATGACGTAACATAGTTTGTTGTTTGTAGTAAAAGGGAACATAATACGTTCTGCTTTTCTTCAGGTGTAATCGAGCTAGTCATGGAATCTGACACACTGCGAAGAATTCAGGTATCATACGGGGTGATTGGATCCTTCAAAGATCGACCAATCAAAGAGTGGCTTCAGAAACACAACCCCACGGAACTGGAATACCAGAAGGTAACACCTGGTGTAGGGTGTACTGTAGGTCATTACACAGTGTAGGGTGTTGTGTGTACTGTAGGTCATTACACTGTGTAGGGTGTTGTGTGTACTGTAGGTCATTACACTGTATATGGTGTTGTTTGTGTACTGTAGGTCATTACACCGTGTAGGGTGTTGTGTGTGTACTGTAGGTCATTACACTGTGTAGGGTGTTGTGTGTACTGTAGGTCATTACACTGTGTATGGTGTTGTGTGTGTACTGTAGGTCATTACAATCAGACTGTAGGGTGTTGTGTGTGTAATGTAGGTCATTACAATCAGACTGTAGGGTGTTGTGTGTGTACTGTAGGTCATTACAATCAGACTGTGTAGGGTGTTGTGTGTACTGTAGGTCATTACACTGTGTAGGGTGTTGTGTATGTACTGTAGGTCATTACACCGTGTAGGGTGTTGTGTGTGTACTGTAGGTCATTACAATCAGACTGTGTAGGGTATTGTGTGTGTACTGTAGGGCATTACACTGTGTATGGTGTTGTGTGTACTGTAGGTCATTACACTGTGTAGGGTTTTGTGTGTGTACAGTAGGTCATTACACTGTGTAGGGTGTTGTGTGTACTGTAGGTCATTACACTGTGTATGGTGTTGTGTGTGTACTGTAGGTCATTACAATCAGACTGTAGGGTGTTGTGTGTGTACTGTAGGTCATTACAATCAGACTGTAGGGTGTTGTGTGTGTACTGTAGGTCATTACAATCAGACTGTGTAGGGTGTTGTGTGTACTGTAGGTCATTACACTGTGTAGGGTGTTGTGTATGTACTGTAGGTCATTACACCGTGTAGGGTGTTGTGTGTGTACTGTAGGTCATTACACTGTGTATGGTGTTGTGTGTACTGTAGGTCATTACACTGTGTAGGGTGTTGTGTGTGTACTGTAGGTCATTACACTGTGTAGGGTGTTGTGTGTGTACTGTAGGTCATTACACTGTGTAGGGTGTTGTGTGTGTACTGTAGGTCATTACACTGTGTAGGGTGTTGTGTGTGTACTGTAGGTCATTACACTGTGTAGGGTGTTGTGTGTGTACTGTAGGTCATTACAATCAGACTGTGTAGGGTGTTGTGTGTGTACTGTAGGTCATTACAATCAGGCCATGGAGAATTTCACCAGTTCCTGTGCTAGCTACTGTGTGTAAATATATACAATGTGTTTTGTAGGCTGTGGAGAATTTCACTAGTTCCTGTGTTGGCTACTGTGTGCAGATATATAAATGTGTTTTGTAGGCTGTGGAGAATTTCACCAGTTCCTGTGCTGGCTACTGTGTGGCAACTTATATCCTTGGGATTTGTGACCGCCACAATGACAACATCATGCTGAAACAGTCTGGGCATATGTTCCACATAGATTTCAACAAGTTTTTGGGAGATTCCCAGATGTTTGGAAATATCAAAAGGTAGCACTCTAGAGATAAAGGCCCTTTAGATAGCTTGTTAACTCTGGTACCTCAAAGCGTTAAAATTTGTTAAATCTGCCATAAAATATCAATCAAGGTCAAGTTGATAACCAAAATGAAGGTAGCACCCCTGTCCTTTGTATGTGTTACTCTGGAGTACAGAAAGATACATTGATTGTGATACACTATAAGTATATACCATATAAGTCAGGGACACAGTTTTTGTCCATTTTCTCCATTATCCTTTGTGTATAAACTTAATAGTCGTCATGTTTTGTCAGTCATCATGCTCCATCTACCATGCACAAACTTTCCATTCAAATGACTTCTCTATAACCAAAAGGCCTTGGGTGCTAATAATAGGCCTGTGACAGGATGAGATAAAGGGCTACCAAGTTTGTTAAAATTAATGACCTTGACATACTTTTAAGGTCACAGGGGTCAAATGTATTGAAATATTTTAAACAACTTCTCAGTGACCAAAAAGTCCATGGTGCTGATATTGGGCCTGTAGCCTGTTTGGATGAAGGGCTTCCAATTCTAGTACATATTGACTCTGGCTAAAATTGAAAAATCTTTTTCTCTCAATAATCACATTTTAATAGAACTTGGTATGCACTGATATATCAATAAGATCTCAGATCACCTTCATTTTAAATTACAGAGTTATGGCCCTTTGCAGGTTTATTACCATGGCAACTTGTCAACATGATCACTTAAGTAAATGTGTTTGGTTGAGATTTGTCAAGTGACTATTTAGGCCATTGGGCCTTAATCTTGTTTACTTGTATTTGAAAATAAATCACAGTCATATGAACTTTAATTTCCAGAGACCGAGTGCCATTTGTTTTGACCTCTGATATGGCATATGTGATAAACAATGGAGAAAAACGAAGTGACCGTTTCCAGAACTTCATCGACCAGTGCTGTCAAGCGTTCAATATCATCAGGAAAAACGCTAACCTATTCCTTAACCTGTTCGCTCTGGTAAAAGTTATTTTAGTTAATGCTTTTAACTTGCATAGCAGATTTAAGTTAAATCTATTATTTTGGAGTTTTTTTTTTAAAACTTTTGACTTCTGTCATTCTTGTGTAATCTTCTCAAAGTGGAAGATCAGTAAGGCTCGTGATGTTAGGCCAGTTGTATGCTTTGCCAAAGGTTTATAGAATCCTAGGGGATCAAACTGACAAATATGTACAAGATATTGTATTTGTTAAACATTATAGTGACACTGGAGAAAGTTTAATATATGTAAATTATACCTGTCATATCCTATAGGGACCTGGAGATGGGGCCCCACAATAGAATTTAGACAGTAACTTCAAAAACCTATCATTCCTTAGTCCTATTTCAAGAATGAAATTCATTCAAATTTTGTCTGAAGCATCATTAGGGATGGGTAATGAATTCTTAGCTACTATGGCAATGGATAAGTTTAGCAAGATGTGACTGTAAAAAGCTATTCTTTCTGAATATCAGGGTAAATTGTCAACGAAATTTGGTCTGAAAAATCTTCTTTTTTCAATTCAGAAAGTTGATTAAACTCCAAAGGAACTTAGGAGTCAGGGGCAAAAAGCAACGTTAGATGATATTTTGCTCTAAAATGCTTCCCTTCCTTAATACTTGAATGTATTTCAGCTAAATTTGGTCTGGAACATATTAGACGTGCATGAATTGATCATGTGGTTGTTCTGCATGACTAAATTTATTTTTTCTGGTTTGTTCCAAGATCCAACATAACTGTTTTCTGTGGTCTGTCTCTCCACCTGTCTGTCCCTACATCTGTCAATTGTCAGATGACCATTATAGAACTCCACTTGGTCCCTAGTTGTGCAAGATCAAATTTGTGTATAAATCCAAAATAAAATGGCCGCTAGACACACAGTTATCACAATATTTCTTGGGACTATTAATTTTTTTGTCATTTCATAGGGCCTGTTTCTCTCTCTTATAGAGAAATGAATTTTAGACATTTTGTTTTCAAACTCCTTAAATACTTTGATGTCATTTGTGAAAAGGCTCACAACACTTCTCATTATTTCTGTTCAGTAAATCATTATAACATTAACAGTCCTGTAAAATCCGTATAAGAGTTTCTCATTGGTTCATAATAGTACAAACTTGTGTAATTTTCAGACTGATCAGAAGAAACAAAATGGCCGTCAGGAAGCCATCTTTGATTTTGACAGAGATTGCTGTTGCTCTCACTTAAGACACTTTAGACAGAGGGATCATGCATAGAAAACAGTGTTATAGAATACAAAGAAAGATCACAAAATGTTGAGATCTTTTTAAAATATATTTGATATGTTGATTGTTTTGTAGATGACGAGGGCAGGGATCCCGGGAGTCAGTGAGAATTCTGCTATGTATATCCAGAAAGCGCTGTTACCCAAACAAACTGATGCTCAGGCCTCGGCCATCTTTACAAGGTAACATTGATCAGACAGTCAGCTGTTACACTACCAAAGTACAGTCTGTCCTGTTATGTTGTCAGACAGACAGCTGTTACTCTACCAAAGTACGGTCTGTCCTGTTATGATGTCAGTCAGCTGTTACACTACCAAAGTACAGTCTGTCCTGTTATGATGTCAGACAGCTGTTACACTACCAAAGTACTGTCTGACCTGTTATCATGTCAGACAGTCAACTGTTACACTACCAAAGTACAGTCTGTTCTGTTATGTTGTCAGACAGCTGTTACACTACCAAAGTACATTCTGTCCTGTTATGATGTCAAACAGACAGTTGTTACACTACCAAAGTATAGTTTGTCCTGTTATGTTGTCAGACAGCTGTTACACTACCAAAGTACAGTGTGTCCTGTTATGTTTTCAGACAGACAGCTGTTACACTACCAAAGTACAGTGTGTCCTGTTATGTTTTCAGACAGACAGCTGTTACACTACCAAAGTACAGTCTGTCCTGTTATGTTTTCAGACAGACAGCTGTTACACTACCAAAGTACAGTCTGTCCTGTTATGTTTTCAGACAGACAGCTGTTACACTACCAAAGTACAGTGTGTCCTGTTATGTTGTCAGACAGTCAGCTGTTACACTACCAAAGTACAGTCTGTCCTGTTATGTTGTCAGACAGCTGTTACACTACCAAAGTACATTCTGTCCTGTTATGATGTCAAACAGACAGCTGTTACACTACCAAAGTACAGTGTGTCCTGTTATGTTGTCAGACAGTTAGCTGTTACACTACCAAAGTACATTCTGTCCTGTTATGATGTCAAACAGACAGCTGTTACACTACCAAAGTACAGTCTGTCCTGTTATGTTGTCAGACAGCTGTTACACTACCAAAGTATAGTCTGTCCTGTTATGTTGTCAGACAGTCAGCTGTTACACTACCAAAGTACAGTGTGTCCTGTTATGTTGTCAGACAGCTGTTACACTACCAAAGTACATTCTGTCCTGTTATGTTGTCAGACAGTCAGCTGTTACACTACCAAAGTACATTCTGTCCTGTTATGTTGTCAGACAGCTGTTACACTACCAAAGTACAGTGTGTCCTGTTATGTTGACAGACAGCTGGTACACTACCAAAGTACAGTCTGTCCTGTTATGTTGTCAGACAGACAGCTGTTACACTACCAAAGTACAGTCTGACCTGTTATGATGTCAGACAGTCAGCTGTTACACTACCAAAGTACAGTCTGTCCTGTTATGTTGTCAGACAGACAGCTGTTACACTACCAAAGTACAGTGTGTCCTGTTATGTTGTCAGACAGTCAGCTGTTACACTACCAAAGTACATTCTGTCCTGTTATGATGTCAAACAGACAGCTGTTACACTACCAAAGTACAGTCTGTCCTGTTATGTTGTCAGACAGCTGTTACACTACCAAAGTATAGTCTGTCCTGTTATGTTGTCAGACAGTCAGCTGTTACACTACCAAAGTACAGTGTGTCCTGTTATGTTGTCAGACAGCTGTTACACTACCAAAGTACATTCTGTCCTGTTATGTTGTCAGACAGTCAGCTGTTACACTACCAAAGTACATTCTGTCCTGTTATGTTGTCAGACAGCTGTTACACTACCAAAGTACAGTGTGTCCTGTTATGTTGACAGACAGCTGGTACACTACCAAAGTACAGTCTGTCCTGTTATGTTGTCAGACAGACAGCTGTTACACTACCAAAGTACAGTCTGACCTGTTATGATGTCAGACAGTCAGCTGTTACACTACCAAAGTACAGTCTGTCCTGTTATGTTGTCAGACAGACAGCTGTTACACTACCAAAGTACAGTGTGTCCTGTTATGTTGTCAGACAGTCAGCTGTTACACTACCAAAGTACATTCTGTCCTGTTATGTTGTCAGACAGACAGCTGTTACACTACCAAAGTACAATCTGTCCTGTTATGTTGTCAGACAGCTGTTACACTACCAAAGTACAGTGTGTCCTGTTATGTTGTCAGACAGACAGCTGTTACACTACCAAAGTACAATCTATCCTCCACATTCTCACAATTATCTAGAGTGTTGTTTAAAAGGGTTAATCTGAAAACCAGTATGGTCGCCATTTTAAGATTTAAAAAAAAAAAAAAACTTTCATTGTGTGTTCCACCTGTGCTGTTGCTACAAAAATGGCATTCAGTTCTCAAATTACCACGAAAGTTTGCCAGTTTTAGCCATGTAGTATCATGTTTTAACATAGAGTAGCCTTTAGCTTTTATCCTATCTGAACCAGTGTTTGTATATTAATCCTTAATCTATATCTGACATCATTCTGAGCTGAAATACTACATTGTTGTTTATTATAAGATATTACTATATATGATTGTCTGTAATGATATGCATCACTCCTGATTTCTCTGATAGGATGATAGAGGACAGTCTGAAATCTGTATTTACGCCAATCAACTTCTTCATCCACAATCTCGCACAGCTCAAATTTTCCAGTCATCAAGAAGGAGCATTGTTGTCCTTCGTTCCAAAGACTTACAGGTAACGTATATATATATATATAAAGCTTGACTGATGGCTCACTTAAACTTAACGGGGCTCCATGAACATGTTGTGCATTTTGCATCACCTGTAAACTTTCTCTCGGCTAATTAGCTGCCCCCCACCCCTGGTGTGGGGTCTTTCCAGTCACCCCACCCAGTTCTATACCCAATACAGAGGTCAGTTTACTGGATACAATTTTCACTGGTATAGACCAAATAACTAAACAGTAGATATCAAAATGTAGAGACTAGTAGTAACTAATGCAAAATGTAAGATGTTACTGCGACGTTTAGTTCTGACAGAGACGTATAAATAACTGCCATACTGTACATCGCTGGTTATTCTAGTACTATCGAAAACAAAGATTTTATACTTTGTTCATTAGAAATCAGTAATGTTTTATATTACATATATAACAATTACTTAAAGGATGCCAACATATTACCGGTTCATCATGATATATCATGAAGAAATTCGTGAGAGCTTAAACTTTTACAGTATAGAAAACGGTGAACAAAACAATGTAGAATTGTTAAGCAGACCATACAGACATTAAGACAATCTGTAATTAATTGTATTGAGGTGCAAATTATCATTAGTAAAAAGAAATACTGTAATTTATAAACTGTACAAACCCATGGGTATCCCATACCTGCTGACTTTTCAAAATTGCGATGGTTGAGAAAAGTGTAACACAGGACGATTGCGTATTCTACATAGCTTTAAGACAAGGGGACGTTGGCACTGAGACAAGTGGACGATTTGTGTTCTCCACTTGGAGAACAATTTGTGGTTTCTAACGTGGTTCTGAGACAAGAGAACAATTTGTGGTTGCTAACGTGGTTCTGAGACAAGTGAACATTTTGTGGTTTCTAACGTGGCTCTGAGACAAGGTGACGAGTTGTGACTTTCATGTTGCTCTGAAACAAGGTGTTTGAAGCATCCTTAGGTGAGAGAGAATCAATGTTGTGTAAGGGATTAGTCTCAGCCCCACTGTGAGGCCTAAGTCATGAGGCTTGGTAAGTTATATTCAGAAAATCATTGAGACAGCTCCTTCTGTTGGAATGACAAAATTTTGTCTAAATTTGGACTGAAGCATCCTTGGGTAAAGCAGATGCAATTTTGTATTTATAATGGGACTTGCCCTACCCCCATTGCCTGAAAGTTGGGGGACCAATATCGGATATATAGGAAACTCTTCAAATCCTTCTTTTGCCAGGAAAGTTTGTCCAGATTGTCATTAACACTTTTGAGTAAGTGGAACTTGAATTTATTTTTTAAAATGCTGTTTTAATATCTGTCATCTTTTGTGAAAGACTTAACAATATCATTGTGAGAAGAAATGTTATGATGTGAAAGCTGAAATATCCAGATGAACAATAAAGGCCCTATTGTGGGCCAACGAGGCAGTTGGTATTTTTTCTCTGTCTGTCTGCTGTAAGCCATTAATACCATCTTATAAATATTCTTGTTTTCCAGTGCAAACACAGATGGTAAATTGGAACATGTATCACTTCACAGCTACCAGAAACGCTATGAGCCTGAAAAACATTACGTAAGTGAAGTTGTGATAATTCTCAACATCCAACTGCTCAGAATAAGGGTACTAGTCCGTTGGTCACAGATCTTGTGAAGCACAGGTTTTTTTTAGGCAGATATCAAATTTAGCAATTCACTATCTGTTCAAATCACCCTTCATCTGTCATGCGGCCATCTGTCAGTAAAGGATTTTTGTTGTCATTATATTGTACTTGGTTGATAATGTTTCGTATAGAGTTCTACTTGGTCCCTAGTTGTGCATTGTCCCATTTTTAGACTGATTTAAAAAAAAAAATAGAATGGCTGACAGTTGGCCGTCTTATATTTTGATATATCATAGCCGAGTTTTACCAATTTATTTTATCCATATATAAGCCTCACCATTTCTTACAAAGTAGTAACCATTTTGTTAAACAAAGTTTGTTGATATAACAGACAACAGAGGGCAATTTATCAAGATTATCAGCCAAACATTAAATAAAGTTTGCAAATGAATTACATATAGACAATCCTTTATTTTATTGATGTAGTTCAAAAGCTGCACACCAACTCACAAAGTGTGGCTTATAATCCAAAAAATATAGTAAAAGAAATACTTGATAAATGATTCTTTAATTCTGTATGTAGGTTAACCTTGGTCCTTGGTTTGAATTGTGAAATTTTGGAACCAGTTAAAACAAATGAATGGCCTACGCAGGTGGCCATCTTGGATTTTGATTGTAATAGTTTGTGATCATTCTTTCTAGAGAAATACTTGTGTGTTTCCTCCAGGAACAGGGGGATTGCTGTGATAGAGGGATACGCTGTTACACTGAATGATAGAGGGATACGCTGTTACACTGAATGATAGAGGGATACGCTGTTACACTGAATGATAGAGGGATACGCTGTTACACTGAATGATAGAGGGATACGCTGGTACACTGAATGATAGAGGGATACGCTGTTACACTGAATGATAGAGGGATACGCTGTTACACTGAATGATAGAGGGATACGCTGTTACACTGAATGATAGAGGGATACGCTGTTACACTGAATGATAGAGGGATACGCTGTTACACTGAATGATAGAGGGATACGCTGTTACACTGAATGATAGAGGGATACGCTGTTACACTGAATGATAGAGGGATACGCTGTTACACTGAATGATAGAGGGATACGCTGTTACACTGAATGATAGAGGGATACGCTGTTACACTGAATGATAGAGGGATACGCTGTTACACTGAATGATAGGGGGATACACTGTTATACTGAATGATACAGGGATACACTGTTCACTGAGTAGTAGATTGATCAGCTGTGACATAATTTTAATTTGTAACAATGTATCCCAGATATGAAAGCTAACGTACTACAATGTGACTTGTATTTCAGATTTTTATCTTCAAAGTTCTACGAGAAAATCAGAAGTTGCCGTCCTATGTCTTTCGCCATTATTCTGAACTCATGGAGTTTCGTTCTCGACTAGTAGAGCTCTTTCCATTAGTCAACTGGCCAATACTTCCAAGCCGGTAAATATACAGGGTATATCTGTTACAGGGGTATTATGTTTGTAGATGTATGTTTATCAGCTTGTCTAGCCCAAAGGGCAAAGTGAGCATATGACATACCATGGTATCTGTCAACCTTTTTATACAAATTGCTACTCGTCCTGAATGACTGAGCAGATTTAGACCAAATTGGTCAGCAGTATCCTTGAAGGAAGGAAAACAAATTTTGTACAAATGGTAAGTCTCTGCAGGGGTTTGAGGGGCAGGGCCAAAAACGGAAAATCTTGCAAGTTGGAATGATTAGATTTTGCTCAAATTTTGTGTCAAGTATTGTTAGATGTGTTGGAATCAGTTATGTATAAAAAGTGAGTCTCTGTCCCCTTGGTAAGGAGGAGTAGGGCCTTATAGAGAAAGTAGAGTAAATTCTCTAAAATTCTACTTCTCCTGCAGAAATGTTTAGATTTTGTCCAAATATATTCTCAAGCATCCTTGGGTAAAGTAAACTCAAGTTCTTTAAAATCCTTTTCCTCCTATCAGAATGATTGGATTTTGCCCAAATTGGGTCTGCAGCATTGTTGGGTGAATTGGAATCAATGTTGTAAAAATGTTGAGTCTCTGTCTCCTGGTTGTGGGAGGGTTTGGGCCCAAAAGGGGAAAGAGTGGGAGGGTTTGGGCCCAAAAGGGGAAAGAGTGGGAGGGTTTGGGCCCAAAAGGGGAAAGAGTGGGAGAGTTTGGGCCCAAAAGGGGAAAGAGTGGGAAAGAGTGGGAGGGTTTGGGCCCAAAAGGGGAAAGAGTGGAAGGGTTTGGGCCCAAAAGGGGAAAGAGTGGGAGGGTTTGGGCCCAAAAGGGGAAAGAGTGGGAAAGAGTGGGAGGGTTGAGGCCCAAAAGGGGAAAGAGTGGGAAAGAGTGGGAGGGTTTTGGTCCAAAAGGGGAAAGAGTGGGAAAGAGTGGGAGGGTTGAGGCCCAAAAGGGGACAGAGTGGGCGGGTTTGGGTCCAAATGGGGAAAGAGTGGGTGGGTTTGGGCCCAAAAGGGGAAAGAGTGGGAGGGTTTGGGCCCAAAAGGGGAAAGAGTGGGAGGGTTGAGGCCCAAAAGGGGAAAGAGTGGGAGGGTTTGGGCCCAAAAGGGGAAAGAGTGGGAGGGTTTGGGCCCAAAAGGGGAAAGAGTGGGAGGGTTGAGGCCCAAAAGGGGAAAGAGTGGGAGGGTTTGGACTCAAAAGGGGAAAGAGTGGGAGGGTTTGGGCCCAAAAGGTGAAAGAGTGGGAAAGAGTGGGAGGGTTGAGGCCCAAAAGGGGAAAGAGTGGGAGGGTTTGGGCCCAAAAGGGGAAAGAGTGGGAGGGTTTGGGCCCAAAAGGGGAAAGAGTGGGAGGGTTTGGGCCCAAAAGGGGAAAGAGTGGGAAAGAGTGGGAGGGTTTGGGCCCAAAAGGGGAAAGAGTGGGAGGGTTTGGGCCCAAAAGGGGAAAGAGTGGGAAAGAGTGGGAGGGTTGAGGCCCAAAAGGGGAAAGAGTGGGAAAGAGTAGGAGGGTTTGGGTCCAAAAGGGGAAAGAGTGGGAAAGAGTGGGAGGGTTGAGGCCCAAAAGGGGAAAGAGTGGGAGGGTTTGGGTCCAAAAGGGGAAAGAGTGGGAGGGTTTGGGCCCAAAAGGGGAATGAGTGGGAGGGTTTGGGCCCAAAAGGGGAAAGAGTGGGAGGGTTTGGGCCCAAAAGGGGAAAGAGTGGGAGGGTTGAGGCCCAAAAGGGGAAAGAGTGGGAGGGTTTGGGCTCAAAAGGGGAAAGAGTGGGAGGGTTTGGGCCCAAAAGGTGAAAGAGTGGGAAAGAGTGGGAGGGTTTTGGCCCAAAAGGGGAAAGAGTGGGAGGGTTTGGGCCCAAAAGGGGAAAGAGTGGGAGGGTTTGGGCCCAAAAGGGGAAAGAGTGGGAAAGAGTTGGAGGGTTTGGGCCCAAAAGGGGAAAGAGTGGGAGGGTTTGGGCCCAAAAGGGGAAAGAGTGGGAAAGAGTGGGAGGGTTTGGGCCCAAAAGGGGAAAGAGTGGGAGGGTTTGGGCCCAAAAGGGGAAAGAGTGGGAAAGAGTGGGAGGGTTGAGGCCCAAAAGGGGAAAGAGTGGGAAAGAGTGGGAGGGTTTGGGTCCAAAAGGGGAAAGAATGGGAAAGAGTGGGAGGGTTGAGGCCCAAAAGGGGAAAGAGTGGGAGGGTTTGGGTCCAAAAGGGGAAAGAGTGGGAGGGTTTGGGCCCAAAAGGGGAAAGAGTGGGAGGGTTTGGGCCCAAAAGGGGAAAGAGTGGGAGGGTTGAGGCCCAAAAGGGGAAAGAGTGGGAGGGTTTGGGCCCAAAAGGGGAAAGAGTGGGAGAGTTTGGGCCCAAAAGGGGAAAGAGTGGGAAAGAGTGGGAGGGTTTGGGCCCAAAAGGGGAAAGAGTGGGAAAGAGTGGGAGGGTTTGGGCCCAAAAGGGGAAAGAGTGGGAGGGTTTGGGCCCAAAAGGGGAAAGAGTGGGAAAGAGTGGGAGGGTTGAGGCCCAAAAGGGGAAAGAGTGGGAAAGAGTGGGAGGGTTTGGGTCCAAAAGGGGAAAGAGTGGGAAAGAGTGGGAGGGTTGAGGCCCAAAAGGGGAAAGAGTGGGAGGGTTTGGGTCCAAAAGGGGAAAGAGTGGGAGGGTTTGGGCCCAAAAGGGGAAAGAGTGGGAGGGTTTGGGCCCAAAAGGGGAAAGAGTGGGAGGGTTGAGGCCCAAAAGGGGAAAGAGTGGGAGGGTTTGGGCCCAAAAGGGGAAAGAGTGGGAGGGTTTGGGCCCAAAAGGGGAAAGAGTGGGAGGGTTGAGGCCCAAAAGGGGAAAGAGTTGGAGGGTTTGGGCTCAAAAGGGGAAAGAGTGGGAGGGTTTGGGCCCAAAAGGGGAAAGAGTGGGAAAGAGTGGGAGGGTTTTGGCCCAAAAGGGGAAAGAGTGGGAGGGTTTGGGCCCAAAAGGGGAAAGAGTGGGAGGGTTTGGGCCCAAAAGGGGAAAGAGTGGGAGGGTTTGGGCCCAAAAGGGGAAAGAGTGGGAGGGTTTGGGCCCAAAAGGGGAAAGAGTGGGAGGGTTGAGGCCCAAAAGGGGAAGGGGTTTGGGCCCAAAAGGGGAAAGAGTGGGAGGGTTGAGGCCCAATAGGGAAAAGAGATTAAATTCTTTAAAATCCTGCTTCTCTTGTAGGAGTCAAATGATTTTGCCAAAAATACGTTTGAGACATTCCTTTGTGATGGGAAATCAATTTTTTTTAAATCTTACTACTCCGATAGGAATGATTAGATTTTGCCAAAATTTGGTCTGAAGGGGGATCAATTTCGTATAAACAACGAGTTAGGATACCAATCCTGAGGAGAGAGGATTGTGGCCCATTATGGGCAACTAGATAAACCTATTAAATCCATTTCATTTAGTTTGGATTATGCACAAATAACTGCCAAATGAAACTAGGTGAGTGATACAGGCCCTTTTTGCCTCTTGTTGTAATATTGATATGGTTCTTTTCTACTTACTGTAAAAAATTATCATGATATTAAAAACAAATCAAGCTCTTGAGAGCCTTTGGTCATATTCTAGGTTGGTCATTGGTCGTTCTCAAGTCAAGTCAGTAGCGGAGTCTAGAAAAACGGAGATTGAAAAATTCCTGGCAGAACTTTGGAATAAAACTACAGAGATAAAAGATGTAAGTAAAAGCTTACTACAGCAGTTTTGAGGAGAAAGGTTTATAGAGATACTATCTACTTTCCCCTGTGAGATGGTTTTCATGAACTCATGAATATTCATGAACTAGAATGATTTCATGAATGTTAAGCTTCCTTGTGTAATTCATGAATCTTCATGGACATAAATTGAAGAAATTGCTCAAGTTTTAAAATTGTGAATTTTATGAAAATATCAGTGAAGAAATAAAGAATATTCATGAATTTTGTTCATGAATAATTCATGAACTATTCATTAATTTTCATGAATTATTCATAACCGTCTTACAGGGGTTTGTTTAAATTTACTCTTAATTTCATCAGTTTCCCAAATCAAAACCAGGAAATTGACTCCGAAGAAGTTTTGGATCACTATAAGAAAAAGGAAAATTATACAGTTAACCTCTTACGGATTATTTCTTTTCAGAGTGATCTGGTATACACGTTCTTCCACACATTGCTGCGAGACGAACAAGAATCACAGATTGAGAAACTTAACACACAGAAGAGGAAAGGTAAGGATACGACCAATGATACTACCATTAACATTAATGTTTGCTTATCTTTAAATATACATAATTTTTCCTTCTAAGTTTTAGTATCCTTGTTCCCTACCCAGAACAGGTCTCATACACACATCATGGTGTTCTGGTTTCATATGCATTTGTGTTATGTCACCAGGCATGAATATGAAGCAATGTTAAGACTGACATCGAATTTCGCAAAGTGCAGCCTTCTAAATGACAAAAATGTGATACTAAATTTATATCAACGGAAAGAGGATCGTTTCAACCATTCTTTGGTGGTGGAAAAGGTGCTTAATATAAATATTTCATCTATATATAGAGATTTCAAAGTGAGCTTCGATAGACAAGTCATATGCAACGTTATTAGCTCATTTTATGTGATGGGGTGCCTGTTGTCTGTCGTCCGGTGTCTGGAGAGTTGTGAGGCTTAATTTGGGAGTAAGAGCAAATATTTGAAATTCTACTCCTCCTATAGGGATGATTGGATTTTGCCCAAATGGTCTGAAGCATTCTTGGGTGGTAATGAAATTTGTATAAAGGGTGGAACTTGACCCTGTAGGAGGGGGATAGGTGAGGCCCAACTTGAAAAATAGAGTAAATACTAGAAAATCCTACCCTCTTCCTGAAGGAATGTTTGGATTTTGCCCAAAATTTGGTCTTAAGCAATCTTAGGTAAAGGGAATGCATTTTGTATCAAGGATAGGTCACGGTTCCCTAGTGTGGGAGGGGCAGGATCCATTGTAGGGGAAATTGAACAAATTTTTGAGATCATTCTTCAGTAGAAATTGCAGAATTGTGTCTAATTTTAGTCTGAAACATGAATGACTCCCTTGTTACAGAGAGTTGGGACTCTTTTGGAAAATAAATATGTTGTGTGTTATGTGCTTGGATATTTTGAATTCATTCAGTTTTGATGAACAATTTTTGTCAAGCAAAGCCAGGTGGTTGATACATGCTCGATGAGCCTCTTGTTCAGTAATAAATGACAACACTTTAACCAGTGTTTTGATTAACTATAATTACAACAAATGTTTTTTTGTTTACAAGACTTAAATAAACATTTCATGTGTTAGGATTCAAAATGAGTGCCTGAAAAGAAGACAAATATGTAAACATTTCAATAATCAAAAGTTTGTTTCACTTGAAGGCATTCCTAGTTCTTGTGTTACAGTGAATCCTGTTCAGCTCGTCCAGCAGCAGCATCAGTTTGGTCAGCTCAAACTCTCTTTCCAGTATTCTAAGGAAACCCTTATGGTCAACATCATGCATGCAAGAAAACTTGTAAGTGTTTACCGTCCTCAGCATTCCTTCTCTTTACTATCTGTCTGCAAACAACTGTGTTTTGATGTTTCACTCATTACAAGATGTACACAGTTTTGTGAATATATTTCTTTTTAGTTCTCTGGCCCAAAGGGCAAGTGAGCTTATGTCATGACACTGGGTCTGACATCCAGTCTTTTATCTGTTGTCCGTCTATCATGAAATTTTCATTTTATTAACTTCTTAGTGATCAGACATCCTAGGCTACCTATGCAATTGTGTTGATGTTGTAGCAAGCATGCTGGGATGAGGGGCTACCAAATGAATGATCTTAACTCCATTCAAGGTCACAGGGGTCAAATGTGTTAAAACTCTTCAAAAACTTCTTCTCATTAACCAAAAAGCTCAGGATATCGATATGTGGCTTGTAGCATGGTGAAATGAAGGACTTTCTAGTGTTCAAATGAATGAGTTTGGACCATTTTCAATGTCAAAAGTGTCAAATATGGTGTAATTTTGAACATCTTAACAAAATATCCAAAAGGACTAAACAATTTTGTTCAAAAACATAACCTTGACCAGCTTTCAATGTCACAGAGATCATATTTGTTCAAATCGTCAACAAATTCTCAATAACCAAAAGGCTGTGGGTAAGGATATTGGGTTCGTAGCATGCTTGCAGGAAGGGTTACCATGATCAACTTGTAAGATCCCAGGAAGTTAGATATACTTATATCTTCAAGTGTGATGATTTCAATTTCCCTATTATGAATTCTAGCTCCCTTAGCTACTTCCCTGCATACCCAACCCATTGTGCTCATAGTGATTTCATTGAGAACTATTGTATTTCTTTATGCTATATGATGCTGGACATGTTTGATGCTTGTTGGTTTGGTTTTTGGTTTGGTTTTTGTATACCTTGTTCTCATTTGAGAATGCGAAATTACATACTTGGATTGGCTAAGGTTTACATGGCAGGTGTTGTGGATTAAGCAAGAGATGCTTACTCTTTGGGAACACATGGTCTTATTCTCCTTGTACTTTTTCAGGAGTCTCAGTGCAAATGTTTCTTTTGTTCAACTGTATAGATACTGTATCAGTTACAAATGACCTCATTGTCTTTGTAATGTTTTATAGATAACTATTTATCACTTACATTTACATAAGTTGTATTTTTCTCTACAGCCTGGCGTGCCTGTTCCCCCTAGTCCCTATGTGAAAACCTACTTACTTCCAGATCCTGAAAAGCAAACAAAGCAAAAAACAAAGATTGTCAAGTCATCAACACACCCAACGTTTAATGAAGTGGTAAGGTCATTAACACCCAACATTTAATGAAGTGGTAAGGTCATCAACATTTAATGAAGCAGTAAGGTCATCAACATTTAATGAAGTGGTAAGGTCATTAACACCAACATTTAATGAAGTGGTAAGGTCATTAACACCCAACATTTAATGAAGTGGTAAGGTCATTAACACCCAACATTTAATGAAGTGGTAAGGTCATTAACACCCAACATTTAATGAAGTGGTAAGGTCATTAACACCCAACATTTAATGAAGTGGTAAGGTCATCAACATTTAATGAAGTGGTAAGGTCATTAACACCCAACGTTTAATGAAGTGGTAAGGTCATCAACATTTAATGAAGTGGTAAGGTCATCAACATTTAATGAAGTGGTAAGGTCATTAACACCCAACGTTTAATGAAGTGGTAAGGTCATCAACATTTAATGAAGTGGTAAGGTCATAAACATTTAATGAAATGGTAAGGTCATTAACACACCCAACATTTAATGAATTGGTAAGGTCATCAACATTTAATGAAGTGGTAAGGTCATCAACATTTAATGAAGTGGTAAGGTCATCAACATTTAATGAAGTGGTAAGGTCATCAACATTTAATGAAGTGGTAAGGTCATTAACACACCCAACATTTAATGAAGTGGTAAGGTCATCAACATTTAATGAAGTGGTAAGGTCATCAACATTTAATGAAGTGGTAAGGTCATTAACACACCCAACATTTAATGAAGTGGTAAGGTCATCAACATTTAATGAAGTGGTAAGGTCATTTACACACCCAACATTTAATGAATTGGTAAGGTGGTCAACCCAATGGGATAGGGTGGGGCCACAAAGGGAAAAATAGGTATAATTTAGATTTATTGGATTGGAAACCAGATTTGATCTGAAACATGTAACAATGATGTCTTAGTGAACAGTTGGTCTGACCCCTTAGAATGAATCAAATCGCTTCGCTTGTGCCTTCAATGTTGCCATGACATGTCTATCTATTTGCTCGGTAATGTTGTTTCGTTGTCTCTCGCACAAACTAAGGTGAACATGATTTTTTTTTCATTTTGTAGATTGAGTACAAAATGGCATTGTCTGATGTTCATCAGAAGACTCTACAGGTGAGTGTGTGGGACCATGACATCATGAAGGAGAACAGCTGTCTAGGAGCAATTTACATCAAGTTACGTAACCAAAACCTACCCACAGAGACTGTTAACTGGTATCAACTACACAGCATACAAATAACTGATTCCTCCATGCTGGCGTAAACCTACAGATAATGGAATCCTCCACACGGACATAAATCTACAGATAATGAAATCTTCCACGCTGACATAAATCTACAGATAATGGATACCTCCACGCTGACATAAATCTACAGATAATTGATCCCTCCACGCTGACATAAACCTACAGATAATGGAATCTTCCACGCTGACATAAATCTACAGATAATGGATCCCTCCACGCTGACATAAATATACAGATAATGGATCCCTCCACGCTGACATAAATCTACAGATAATGGAATCTTCCACACTGACATAAATCTAGATAATGGAATCTTCAAAACTGACATAAATCTACAGATAATGGAATCTTCCATGCTGACATAAATCTACAGATAATGGAATCTTCCACGCTGACATAAATCTACAGATAATGGAATCTTCCACGCTGACATAAATCTACAGATAATGGAATCTTCCACGCTGACATAAATCTACAGATAATGGAATCTTCCGCGCTGACATAAATCTACAGATAATGGAATCTTGCAAGCTGACATAAATCTACAGATAATGGAATCTTCCGTGCTGACATAAATTTACAGATAATGGATCCCTCCTTGCTGACATAAATCTACAGGTAATGGAATCTTCCGCGCTGACATAAATCTTCAGATAATGGAATCTTCCACGCTGACATAAATCTACAGATCATGGAATCTTCTGCGCTGACATAAATCTACAGATCATGGAATCTTCCGAGCTGACATAAATCTACAGATAATGGAATCTTCCGCGCTGACATAAATCTACAGATAATGGATCCCTCCACGCTGACATAAATCTACAGATAATGGATCCCTCCACGCTGACATAAATCTACAGATAACTTGTTTCTCAGGGGAGGGCACAGTTACCCATGTCCTTACCTCATGTTACATGCTGTTTTGAGAAGTCTCAACAGATTTTACAAAAATGGAAGAGTCTGAGGAGCAGGGATACGGAACGAGAACTTTTGCAAATTATTTAAAATCCTTCTTCTGTAGGAATGATTGCATTTTGTCAAAGTTTCAATGCATTTTTAGATGAAAAAAACTCCGTTTTGTATAAACAGTGGGTCTCAAGGTGGGGTTGGGCCTACTTGGAGAAATAGAGAAATTCTTGAAAATCCTCCTCCCTTAGTCAGAATGTCAGGATTCTATCCCAGTTTGATATTGTGTGAAGGAAATGGCCCTCTAATGCAGGAGGGGCGGGGTCCATTATGGAAAAAAGAGCTTAGTCTTTAAAATCCTTCTTCCTCAGTAGGAATACATGGGTTGTGTCCCATTTTGTCATGAAGCATTCTCGAAGTCGATTCAATGTTGTGTCATTGGTGGGTCTATACCCCATTGGGTGGGGCACAATATGAAAAATACAGCAAAATTTTAACATTACTTCTCCATTGGTTAGAATTTAAAGATTGTATCCCACTTTGGTCTGAAGCATCCAAGGGTGAAAGGAAATCCATTAACATTGGGTCTGATGCTCTTGGGGTCAAAGGGAAGAGGTCGAATAAGGGAAATGCAGGGGATTCCTTTTTTCTTCAGATGGGATGGCAGGATTCTGTCCCAATCTGGTCTTGCGCATGCTTTGGTAAAGATGAATAGTTTAGATAGTTTGGTAGACTCCTTTTAGGTATAGAGAAGTGACACACAATTCGGGAAATATATATCAACTTTTAGAATCCATGTCCTTTAGTTTGGATGGAACACTTTCACTCAAACAAAGCCTAGAGAGTGATACAGGCCCTTTGGGTCCCATGTTTATGTTATCACCCTATACCATTATAAATTGACATTGTTTTCCTACATCAAATTGAGTTGGACAAAATGGCAGTGTAAAAACCAAAGGAAAAAGAGTTCATTTTGAATGTAAAAAAATATTGCAGTCTGTGATGAAATTGTAAGGCTTAGCTGTTCTTATCTATCATATTATTGATCTGTAATAGCAGTTACAGTTGATGTTTAAATAGTATCATAACAACAAGTTCTATAACTCCTCTTATTCTTGTTAGCATAAGAGCAGTAGTAATCATGTCTTATAGAATTTTTTCTTGTTTTAAAAATGTTTTTTCTATTGTGGTGTTTAGCCACGTCATGATAACAATGTTTTATGTGAATGCTTGTACAGTTTACTGCTGACTCATGTCACCACCATGTGTCACATGACGTGTACAAATGTTTATACGCAATAGTCATCATATGTTCACCAAACCATGTAGAGTCTACATTTATATATATTAAGTCATTTAATTGTTAAATAGATTTTCAATTTATTTGAAAAATATTTAGACGTCCTGATTACAATGATTTTCATATAAATAGGTCATCCTTGCTTGGTTTACAGCGGCTTGGAATGAAAGAAATTAATATACAGAATGAAATACTGCATTATTATATTACTGCAATCTTATTATTTATTTGTTTAATGTCCTGATGAGGGTGTTTAGATTTTGTGGCTAACAGCATCATCAACATTGATAAATGCTAAATCAATAGGCCCACCAACCTCCTTGAGTTAGGAATTATGTTGACCTCCTGTATGGCATGTTTTGGACCTTCCATATGTTTATCAGCTGTTCAGAACCACCTCAAAATGGCCCTGGCTGTTGATGGAGTGATAGACAAAGCAAACAAACATCAAGGATTAGGAATGATCCAACAAGATCACGCTGGGATCTTTTGTATGTATTTCAGCAACAGCAGAATTAACATTCTACACAGGTCGAATAGATACAAAACTTCTGGTTCATGTGTAGTATAGTCATCTTGTTTGCACTCAAAGGTGCGTACAAATATTGTGACTGGGGAACACATTGTGTCCTTGTTTCTGTTAGTCATCATCTAAGTCATTTTGCTGAATTGAATGGGGAAGGACGCAATAATATTAAAGATTCCTCTTTCATCATTGCATGTGGAACCAGTTTGATTTATCACAACATAGCACATATGTTTGTTATGGTATTTTAAGGTCCTTTTTCATCTTTGAATATGGAACAGGAGTCATTTATTTCACATGTAATACACACAATCGTATCTATTTATAAATAAAAAATATTGCTTAAAAAGTTTATCTAAATTTCGTTTTAGTATTTGCTGTCTTTGTCAGAATAAAATTGTGTCATCAGCTATGGTAATGACCACGAATGATTCAAAGTCTGATTGTATCAAAGGTTTTTGAAACTTCGAAGTTTGACTGTACAGCAAAGGTTGTGCGTCAGTATTCTGAATCATTGATACTCTAGGGGTTACACTCACTATTGCTCCCTGCACACTGAGAACATGTTATGACAAAATTAAGGTTTCTTGTGTGACACCTTGTGGACAACACTAATTTGATCCTTTGATGTACATCAAACGAATCTCGAGGTCGCATAATGGTATATTGTAATGGCTTTGAAGTTGGGTGTCGCTCCTTTGTAAACTTCAAAACGAATGTATCAGTCTGTGATTGGTCAGAGTTTTTTTCTCCTGGAACCCGTTCTAGACCAATCAAATTACTTCACGTGTTCCTTCAGTCTTGCCATGACATGTTCTAGGGGTGCAGAGAGCGAAAGTGATCATAACTACAGGAGAATCGAGGACGATGTCCAGGGGTCCTTCAATGTTGATTGTAGTACTGGTGTTATCCATTATACTGTAACAAAGTTGGAATATTTGTGTATTTATTTCTCTATTCCCAACAAATGTAAATGTGGTTATAGAGTTGGGATCGCAACTGTTTTCACACATTGACATTAAGTCTCCAGGGGCTATGGATGATTTCTGGGTTCAGACCGTAGGGGCCAGGAAAGAACCCTGGATCAATTTTGGACACATGTTATATTAGTCTCCATAGAAAAAGCAGTTCGTCCGGAAGGCAGGGAAATCCTAGTTGTGGAGGAATTGAAGAATCGACATGATAAACTATAACGATGTTTTACTTCAGATGCAGAATCCTGGAATAGAAGCCAGCCTGCAGAGCTGGTATTAAGGATGTGCTCTGAAAAGTGAAAATATCCACCGACAAACCTTTGTCTCAGTGATGTTTTTTAAAGATTAGATTGTAGTAATTTAAAAGCAAATCAAAGTACTGGAAGTACTGTAAAAGAGCATGTTCAAACAGATTTTTGAGTTTGTAATATGATAATTAGTAAGACATAAACAACAATGCTATGTTTATATGACGTGGTAGTTGGCTGTAAAGTCATCAAGCCATCTTTTTTTCACCCCGAAGTTCCAGTGCAGGAGATAGAGTACGGATTATTTTTCATTTAGGTAAGAGGTCAAAATGTATGTCGGAGTGATAAACTTGTAATACATGGCGTACTGCCTTACCATCGTGAAGACATATCTTGTGTATAAAGATCCAGTGACAGGTGGTGTAGGAATTAGAGCCTATACGAACTTTTTATTTGATGCTGGTCAAAGGTCAAAATATAGGTCAAAGTGACCTTCTTTTGATACGCGATACTCTATCTGACCTTGATGAACCCATATCCCAAGTATCAAGTTCTTGTGATAAGTAGTGTGGAAGATAGAGCCAGGACAAATGTTTCCTTTGACGTAGGTAAAAGGTCAAAATGTAGGTCAGAGTGACCTAATTTGGATATGTGACACACTGCCTTACCAAATCTTTAGTCTGAAGGCTAAACATATTTGATTTACATTTAACACAATCTGAACCTATTCTTAACCAGACTTTCTATTGGTAGACTTATTTTTTGTTTGCAAAGCCACAAGTAAGACTTTTGTTTTAAATGTCCTAGGTCTTGTTGTTCATGAGAAGATATCATAGGAATATTTTAAAGAGCAACTATGGACACAAAGTTGAATATTGGTTATAGCAATTGTTTACAGACTTTGTACTTCTGTAAGTTTGCGGGTAAAATCATTATCACCTTCCAAGTCGTTTCAGTTAACAAAAAAGAATTTTTTAAATTTGATCAAATATGGTTTCTTTTGGTCAAGTTCATTTATTTTTCAAAATTTGTCCTGCTCTATCCCAAAAAGCTAGCGTGTAAGCAAAATATCTTGATTCTTTTCAAACGGTTCCGAAAAAATTGCTTTTACAAAAGCTTGCCAGAAAAAAGACAGATGGGAATTAGATGAATCCCTTATGCATAAGCTTATTGGAGTTAGCTCGAAAATAGTTAAAATATACCTATATAAAGTAATAAATTCACATGTGTTGATAAGTTATGGCAGCCTGCAGATTCTCGGTCCCAGGTTAAAGACAGATACAATGTACACAGACAATATAAGTGTTTTTGAACGTTCAATACGTATAATATATACATGGATAATATAGGTATAGTGGTTTATAAGCAAAAGCTGCATATTTATTTAGGATTTGTCTGTGTTTTGGCTCATAGTCTGTAGTGTTCACCATTTCTGTATACAGAGAAGACCAGAATGTACAGTTATTGATCTGCCTTGAAAGAGGACCGAGAATATCCAATTCAATATACATTAATTTTCCCCCTTAAAGGGTGCGACAAGCTAAATATCTTGACCTGGAGACATTTTGGTCATTAAAAAATAATTAAAGATTAAATATGATGAATAATTATCAATCTAAATTTGTGTACGAAGGGAAGAAAATGGAAAAAAAATAACAGAATAATACAGACTGTTTATAAAGATAATTATTCCTATAAACTTAAGTGTGCAATGATAAAATACAGCATAATTCATATAGTTGTAGTATCCATTACATCAGTGTCCAGTCTCTGACATGTTCGTCGTGCATAAGTCATCAGTTATCTCCCTTCCCTACTACTGGTAACTAATTACAGCCACTCTTCAAAATCCCTTTACACTTTGTATTCCACTTTTCTTCCTTTTTTTCCAGCTCCGCTCTCTCTTTTTTATTTCCAAGGTATCTGTTTTGTTCTTCTTTGTCTGCCTTCATGTTGTATGTGCATGATATTTCTATGATATAGAAACTTCATTTATTTCAAATGATACTTATCATTGTCGTTGTAAGTGCGCGAGGATTTTAACTGTTGCAGGAAGTTGCAGAAAGCCTCTATCCGTTCAGGGAATCGAACCCCGGACGGCTAGGTGGATGACGTAGATTGTTACCACTGCGCCACCCGACCTTCACGAAGACGATGATAACGTAACACATTGGTAAATGCGGCTATGTCGGCGGGTGTCTTGTTAAAATCAACAAAACACGCTCAGTGCAGCCATGAATCATGCTGTTTAAAACGTGTATCTTATTGATAAGTTGCGCTGACTTTTAGGCAGTGCCTATTTCATATTATATTTCGTAACATTTCTCAATATTCTCCTAAACCAATATAAACATAATTGTATTTCAAACTGAAGTAACAAACATTTTGAACTTTCCACCTTTTACTAGTCATTACAATGACTCTTTAAATACAAATGTAGGTCTCCGATCTCGGGCGCCAGTATTTAAACAAACCTTCTGTCATATGAAAATGTCTTGAAGGTTTGAATATATTATCAACAACGAAAGTCATTGAATGGAGTAGCAGTTTTAAGAAAAGAAAACAAATCGAACATTTGATGACGCAAAAAACAACCAGAAAATACCAACATTTCAACATAATCATAAATCATAATCCAAGGTCAAATTCCGTAAAACTTGGGCAAAATATGGACAAAAGAAAGGTTTACACGGAACCTCCTGGAAAAGGACAAGAATAAGACCAAATGTTCCGGGAGAGTAAGCGTTTTCTGCTTCATCGACGACACCCGCTATGTTATTTTTAGTCGATCAAAGTAAGTAATGTCACGTTCTCAAATGAAACAACGGAACCAACTTTGTCAAAACGAGCATCAAACACGTCCAACTTTATATCGCACAAAGAAAAGGGATATTCACAATAGGGAAATTGAAATCATGACATATATCAAATATAGCTTGGCGGAAAGATATCCATGTTGGTTCCGTTGTAGGAAAAGGTCGAGATAAGCAGCTGATGTAGAAGGGTCGATTGGTTTTCAATTCTGGTGGATATACACGATGGACGTGATCAGTAAATTTCTTGTTATTTAAAGGCAAGACATTGTCGATATATATGAAGGAGAAATTAGACGAATTTGCGAGGTCTTTGTGACTTGATTTGATAAGCTCTTCAAAAACTTAAGCTTGGTTTGAAAACGAAGACAAGTCAGTCAGAACAGGGGCACGGTTAGTTCCCATAGATATATGTCAGTAGTCTGTTGGAAGATCTTACCACCAAATTCGACAAAGATGTTGTCAACTAGAAACTCGATCGTTTTTATGATTTCGTTCTTCGTTTCATTATACTTCAAATCATGTATTTATACCGCCGTTCACCATTCGTGGAGAAGAAAGCGTTCATAACGAGAACATAGGCATTGCTTCAGTTTAGAATGAGGTATGGTGGTGCACAGGGTGGAAAAATGAAATGTTCTAATAAAATAAGTGTTTTTAGCAGTATTATCAGGATCAATGAAATTTAATAACTGGGAAACAGGTCCGTGGATATCAAAGGAAACACAGAATTTTCTGAATAGAACACAGCCTTCTCATTGCGTAAAAAAAATGTGTGGTTTGTAACATACGGATTATCGATGTTCTGTCTTTCCGCGCAAATATTTCGGCAATGGCATATTGATACGATAAATATTTTGTCAATGCTCGACTAATTTTGGTAATTTCTCACAAAATTTGGACATGATTAGTTTCTGAAGAAATTCACTTTTTGACAACTTCATGCGCCACTGTCACCTCTTTTTCTCTCTCTCTCTCTCCCTCTCTCTCTCCCCCTCTCTCTCTCTCCTCTCTCTCTCTCCCCCCCCCCCTCTCTCTCTCTCTCTCTCTTTCTCTCACTTTGTTCACTCTATTGCTGGACATCAGCGCGAGCTGTTCGGCACTCTCTGCTGTTTATGTTTAGCGTGATACCTATAGCAAACATGATTCCGTCGCCATATAGAAGCCTGCTAAGTTGACAAAGCAGAAAACGAGATTGTGAATCTTTCACGTTTGTGACTGGGCGAGTTCGTTTCGGAAGTTATTGAAAGTATGTATGTTTGTTTTGTCTTTTTGTCTAATTATTGGTTGTGAATAAAAACATTCGAACCGATATTTATGTCACATATATATGATCGAAAGCTGGGTGAAAATTTCACAAAACACCGTACCTATATATTCCCTGTCCAGACGTAACGTGATCTAACAATCTGTTTTCAATAAACAGTTTAAACTCTGTCTGTACTGTCTGGTACAACCAGGGACTACGTGAGCAGCTTCTAATTAAACATCTGTTCATATTTCAGATTGAGATGAAGTCAGACAAGCACATAATATATCACAGTCTAGTACGAGTGGTGTACCTAGTTTGTGAACTATATCTGTCCAATGAGAATTTAAATTCATGAGTGTTGTTTATACATATCTTTGCTACTAATTATGAATTTAATTGAGATTACTATAATGATTTTCAGCATGTAGATATCCACAGGAAAACATTGCTTTTAATTAGTGTATCTTTTGATACTGTGTGTTCTTAGTTATACAAACTACAGATTACTGTGTTAATTAGTATCAAAACAACAGCTTACTGTGTGTTCTTAGTTATACAAACTACAGATTACTGTGTGTTAATTAGTATCAAAACTACAGATTACTGTGTGTTCTTAGTTATACAAACTACCGATTACTGTGTTAATTAGTATCAAAACTACAGCTTACTGTGTGTTCTTAGTTATACAAACTACAGATTACTGTGTGTTAATTAGTATCAAAACTACAGCTTACTGTGTGTTCTTAGTTATACAAACTACAGATTACTGTGTGTTAATTAGTATCAAAACTACAGCTTACTGTGTGTTCTTAGTTATACAAACTACAGATTACTGTGTGTTAATTAGTATCTAAACTACTGATTACTGTGTGTTAATTGGTATCAAAACTACAGATTACTGTGTATTAATTAGTATCAAAACTACAGATTACTGTGTGTTCTTAGTTATACAAACTACAGATTACTGTGTGTTAATTAGTATCTAAACTACTGATTACTGTGTGTTAATTGGTATCAAAACTACAGATTACTGTGTATTAATTAGTATCAAAACTACAGATTACTGTGTGTTAATTAATATCAAAACTACAGATTACTGTGTGTTAATTAATATCAAAACTACAGATTACTGTGTATTAATTAGTATCAAAACTACAGATTACTGTGTGTTAATTAATATCAAAACTACAGATTACTGTGTGTTAATTAGTATCAAAACTACAGCTTACTGTGTGTTCTTAGTTATACAAACTACAGATTACTGTGTGTTAATTAGTATCAAAACTACAGCTTACTGTGTGTTCTTAGTTATACAAACTACAGATTACTGTGTGTTAATTAGTATCTAAACTACTGATTACTGTGTGTTAATTGGTATCAAAACTACAGATTACTGTGTATTAATTAGTATCAAAACTACAGATTACTGTGTGTTCTTAGTTATACAAACTACAGATTACTGTGTGTTAATTAGTATCTAAACTACTGATTACTGTGTGTTAATTGGTATCAAAACTACAGATTACTGTGTATTAATTAGTATCAAAACTACAGATTACTGTGTGTTAATTAATATCAAAACTACAGATTACTGTGTGTTAATAAGTATCAAAACTACAGATTACTGTGTGTTAATAAGTATCAAAACTACATATTACTGTGTGTTAATTAGTATCAAAACTACAGATTACTGTGTGTCTATTGTTATACAAACTACAAATCACTTTGTGTTTATTGTTTAACAAACTACAATTTACTGTTTATTTTTATACAAACATCAAATTATTGTGCCCATTAACATACAAACTACAATCTACTGTAGGTAACATGTTGATCTGGTAATGTCCTTATATATCAAATATCTCACACTGAGGACAGTCTGGTGATGTCCTTATATATCAAATATCTCACACTGAGGACAGTCTGGTGATGTCCTTATATATCAAATATCTCACACTGAGGACAGTCTGGTAATGTCCTTGTATAATCAAATATCTCACACACTGAGGACAGTCTGGTGATGTCCTTGTATATCAAATATCTCACACTGAGGACAGTCTGGTGATGTCCTTATATAATCAAACATCTCACACTGAGGACAGTCTGGAGATGTCCTTATATAATCAAACATCTCACACTGAGGACAGTCTGGTAATGTCCTTATATATCAAATATCTCACACTGAGGACAGTCTGGTGATGTCCTTATATAATCAAACATCTCACACTGAGGACAGTCTGGTGATGTCCTTATATATCAAATATCTCACACACTGAGGACAGTCTGGTGATGTCCTTATATAATCAAACATCTCACACTGAGGACAGTCTGGTGATGTCCTTATATAATCAAACATCTCACACTGAGGACAGTCTGGTGATGTCCTTATATAATCAAATATCTCACACACTGAGGACAGTCTGATGATGTCCTTATATAATCAAACATCTCACACACTGAGGACAGTCTGATGATGTCCTTATATAATCAAATATCTAACACACTGAGGACAGTCTGGTGATGTCCTTATATAATCAAATATCTCACACTGAGGACAGTCTGGTGATGTCCTTATATATCAAATATCTCACACTAGGGACAGTCTGGTGATGTCCTTATATAATCAAATATCTCACACACTGAGGACAGTCTGGTGATGTCCTTATATAATCAAACATCTCTCACTGAGGACAGTCTGGTGATGTCCTTATATAATCAAACATCTCACACTGAGGACAGTCTGGTGATGTCCTTATATAATCAAATATCTCACACACTGAGGACAGTCTGGTGATGTCCTTATATAATCAAACATCTCACACTGAGGACAGTCTGGTGATGTCCTTATATAATCAAATATCTCACACACTGAGGACAGTCTGGTGATGTCCTTATATAATCAAACATCTCTCACTGAGGACAGTCTGGTGATGTCCTTATATAATCAAACATCTCACACTGAGGACAGTCTGGTGATGTCCTTATATAATCAAATATCTCACACACTGAGGACAGTCTGGTGATGTCCTTATATATCAAATATCTCACACTGAGGACAGTCATCTCACACTGAGGACAGTCTGGTGATGTCCTTATATAATCAAACATCTCACACTGAGGACAGTCTGGTGATGTCCTTATATAATCAAATATCTCACACACTGAGGACAGTCTGGTGATGTCCTTATATAATCAAACATCTCTCACTGAGGACAGTCTGGTGATGTCCTTATATAATCAAACATCTCACACTGAGGACAGTCTGGTGATGTCCTTATATAATCAAATATCTCACACACTGAGGACAGTCTGGTGATGTCCTTATATATCAAATATCTCACACTGAGGACAGTCATCTCACACTGAGGACAGTCTGGTGATGTCCTTATATAATCAAATATCTAACACACTGAGGACAGTCTGGTGATGTCCTTATATAATCAAATATCTCACACACTGAGGACAGTCTGGTGATGTCCTTATATAATCAAATATCTCACACACTGAGGACAGTCTGGTGATGTCCTTATATAATCAAATATCTCACACACTGAGGACAGTCTGGTGATGTCCTTATATAATCAAACATCTCACACTGAGGACAGTCTGGTTATTAAATAAGTCAAAATTCAGGCAATGTTCTGTACTCAAAATACTTCTTTAAATGCTTCATTTGGTAGATTGCCCATGGACCGTATTTCTCTGCAATATGTTCCTCCCCCTCTCCAGTGGCCTTGGTCATGAAGTTCACACCAATATCACCCTCATATTGTGGCTCCAGGAAAAACGGAACGGAAAATCGATCAATTCCGATATCGATTACCCGATGTCGTGTTGCTTTGAAGCGACTACCCATCATGCGCGAAAAGACATCCCCTATGTTCATGATGAGAGTCTTTGGACGGGGCTCAATCTCCGCCCACTTTCCTTCTGTAGTGAGAACCTCTAAACCTTTGAATTGAAATGTAGTCAGGAGTGTTAGAAAGTTAGAGTCTGTGTGATCGGGGGTCGTCACAACTTTCCCATCTTCGATGCGAGCATTTGTTGGGGGATTGCCTTCCCAAGGTGGATAGTGGATTAAACGAAAAGTGGAGCATGGCCGTTTAGAAAACATATCATCAAAAGACATCTCGTCGATTCCTAGACCGATTGACGCAAGTTTTAAAATCTCTAGAGACACAAGGTGCATGGCCTCGTAGGTGTCCAATAGGAATGCTTTGAAAGGAAAGCTGCCATCTTCTTTCGGCCATACTGATGGTTCATAGAACCAGTTCCCGGGTGCAACCTCGGGATCATTCGGATCGATGTCTTTTCCAAACTCAAACCCTTCCTTTCTACTGGGCTCATCTTTCCCCACAGGAAAATATCCGCGATAAATGTTGGAGTTTTCGGAATTCCAAAATTTCCTAAGCAAACCTCTTTTTGTTTCGTCTGGTTGTGTAAAGAACCATTGACAACACATGTACAATTTATCAAAGTCAATACCTTCAGCATTGTCAATAAACAGAAAGCCAGTGTTTTCAAGGGCATCCACGACAATCTCGGCTAATTCCTGTCTGTTGGTTTTCGCTTTCGCCAAATCGATCACAGGTAACTGATACTTCTCGGCCATTTTTCTCTGTGATACACAATAAACACATTCAATAGAAAGCTAATATTTGATGATTTTTCTATATATTTTCCTCTTTTTGTAAGATTACAATAAGAAAGTAAAAGTGACTCATAATTAACATAGAATCAATGCTACAGGGCGTCGGCTTAAGGTGAGCCACACTAAGGTTATCAGGTTATCGCCATGGTGAACCACACTAGGGTCATCACCACGGTGAACTACACTAGGGTTATCACCATCATGAACTACGTTAGGGTTATCTCCATCATGAACTACGTTAGGGTTATCTCCATCATGAACTACGTTAGGGTTTTCCCCACGGTGAACTACACAAAGGTTATCACTATCATGAACTACATCCGTGTTATCACCACGCTGAGCCACACAAAGGCTATCAATAAACAATGCAAGTGATATCTTTTTCAGATAAGAAAAAAACTTCACCATGGCGAACTACTGTATAGTTATCCACAACGTGTACAATCTTCAGCGTGGTGTAAAATTAAAAGACTAATCCATGGTGTTACAAGTATAAGCTGGCGTCTTCATCATAATTAACCACGCTATCCACTACAGGTGTAGACTAAAGGTTCACCTTAGTGAAGTACAATAGGAATATTACCATGGTGAACCCCCCTAGAACTGTAGGAGTAACACTGAATTATGGTGAATATGCGATATATAACAGTTCTGACTACTATACCCTGTATATGGTCCATACTTACTGTTTATCGTTGTCGGCGGATAAAACGTACCAGTGTACAGGATGTGGTCACTCTACGGGGACAGGGTTATCACAACGGAGCTTGTATCAACTTCTTACTTATTTACTTAGCGTAGTTAAAATACGTCGGCAGAATGGCCGAATATGATTATAACTATGCATGTGGTCAAAGGTTGGGGTCAAGGGTCAAAATCTCTCCGCGCAGAATATTAAGATATAAATCTTGTCACGTTATATATTGTATCTATAATTTCTTTCATAAGCATTAATCGCCCGCAACTGATATAAACTAAGAGGAATTGAGCATACAAACCATTGTCAAAGTGTCATCAACTTACAAGAAAGTATTGGCGTATCAACTTTTCCAAGATGGCAGCCGAGGTAAAGGATTTTACTGGCTGAAATGAATATTGAGCAGACTACATTTGATAACACACTTGTTAGACACTGTTACTATCTATAACCATCGCCCGGACTAACCTGATAGTGCATAATTTCTTCATAAAACGAATTACATGTCTGCTCCCACAAAAGGGACAAAACGTGATTTAAAATTATTTCATGGAGTAGCTGGTGCTGTTAATTTGCAAAATACATCAACGCACATGTTACGTGTATTATGCGTCTTGTCTGCTGGAATGTAAATGAATGTCAGATCTTCTACCATCGAGGTGCCTTCTGGTGTCCATCCTTTCCAAGTTTCATGCACACTTTACGGTGCGACAAGGTCTTGATTCTATGACTTGACTAAAATTGTTAAATAATTTTCGATCTTTTATGAAAAAAACGTTGATGTTGCTATGACGACTTTATCATGATTTAAATGGCAACCAATTTCAGACAGTGTTTTAAACCCGGAAGTGTATGTTTAGGCTTCGTTTTCAGTGATACGTCATTGCACTCAGTCCTCTAGAGCTAGTTGCTTACACGATGTATCAAATGGATAAAAGAAAACACCGTTGAATTTTGGAAAGTGTATGATGGCATTTAATAGATGATGTTCCTTGAAACTTTTAGTAAACTTTGTCGACAAGTCTAGAGCTAGCGTTGTAAGGCGACATGTAGCCGGAGCTTCGTTTGTAATCATGGACTAGAAATGACCAAAATTGAGAAAAACATATTTGCTTAAATAGTTGTTGGACAAACCACCTTGATGTGAACAAAGCATTGTGTATATTTTGTCATGTAGAATGTGCTTGTAATTATCTCTAACTATTTAAAAAATGGGACAAAGCCACTATTGGCCGGGTTTCGGGATGAGTGCAATGTTATATATCGTGCTCAAAACAACGTTTCAACCAATGAGAGGCTATCACGCTCAAAACAACATCACAACCAATGAGAGACAAATGCTGCCATCTTCGATTTTCCACCCCACACTGTTGAAAATGAGTAAGTTCCAAAGCCCGAAAAATCAAGAAAAAAGTCCAGAACGAATCCTAAACAAATAGGTGCACATCTTCAACATATATATAAACATCCTACAAAGTTTCAAGCTGCTACGTCAAAAACTCTAGGAGAAGTTGGTTCTACAAACCTTGTACTTTTTCCTGCCAAACTGCGGAAAATGACAAAGTTCCAAAGCCTGAAAAATGTCCGGAATGAATCCATAATAAGAGGTGCACATAAAAGGCTTAAACATATATATCATCACCATACAAAGTTTCAAGCTTATACGTCAAAAACTCTAGGAGTTGATTCTACAAAACTGGTATCCCTTTTCAACACCCGCCCGCCCGCCCGCCATTCTTCATTCTGTAACCCGGATTTGCACTATGTGCAACCCGGCCAAAAATGGGGACAGCTTTGAATACGCACCCTTGTAATAATTTCGCAGGTTCACCAATTCGAGTAAGAATTGATCAGCTCTTTTCCCTCGAAGTGAAACCCAAGACACAACACTCCTCCTAACCTTATGAATGAATTCTCTTACTGCGGGTAATGCGATGCTTTAGAATCTCCTGTATCCAGATCGAATTCCGAGTTGTAAACTTCGCGCGCAATGAGTCAGTCGAACCCAGGACGGCTAGGTGAAAGGCGAGTGCGTTACCACTGCACCACCTGACCATCCAGTGCTTGAATGAATTCTGAAGTCTACAGATATCAGTTTCCAAAAGATGGTGGAGTATTTGAAGTAAAACCTCTAGCAGTCAGGTCCGTTGAAATGGGCACAAGTACTACAAAATGGACGTAAAGCCAGACAAATGCCCAGGTGCAACCCCGACCCTAACTGTTCATCCGCTCTACCAGTAGCACTAAGCTTCTATAGAGATCATGTACAACTTGCCTTGATCTCAAATGTCTAGCAAATATTCCAGACGAATTTCAAGTCCGTATCGTTTTCCTGTCTGATTTAAAGCTCACTTGATGAACACCCAACAAGAAAATGTTGCTGTAGTCCCACAATGAGTTAGCTGAATCGCGCACATCCAGACCTGTAACTGTTGCTCTAAACCTCGACACATCTATGCTATCCCTTGCCAAAAAGGTGATAGAAATGTCAGGAGACAACGTCCCTAAAAATAACTAAACAGTTTTCCGTCTGTTGTCAAGGCGACCATAGCGTGAAAGGATCAACTTGATGACTTCTCTGATCAAAATGACTTCCTGACTGGATGGGTTGGGTCAAATTGTCACGAGTGCTTTGTGGGCACCCAAGAGAACTGCTATGCATACCTGGATGGTATACAACATAACCTGACCATTCACCAGGAATTGACCCTTGGCATGAGTGTCAAGTGTAATGTCTATATTGGAGACTCCAGACAATCCCTTGTCCGGCTTTGTGGAGGAAGTTCTAATGTTGCCACACCATTCATCTCCAACTGGAACCCCTGGTCCCTACAGGTATTCCTGTCCGTCAGGTCGGTCATCTTCTCAACTGCTAATGTTGATTTGCTCCGCTGCCACAGCATTTGCGACAGCTGCATTTTTTCTTTCTTAAAACCAGCTTTATACAATAGTTAAGCAGTAAACGCTTCAGAAACCTCTAAAGTGCGTCGGTATTTTTGTGTCCATCGTGTGATTCGATCATTCTTACACAACAACCATAAAGTAGAGTTATCTCCCCTGACGGTATACTGTCTACCTACGATGTCGTCATTGAACTGCCTTGTAAACGTCACTATACTGATTAAATTAAAATGTATTAAAGCAGATATTGAATAGAAATATATCTTATTTATTCTTGATAGAAAAACAACAACTTTCAGTGCTTTTTCATCCATTAGGGAGTGCGCCTTTTCATCTCAATGTGTGAATTTGGCCTGACCTTAACTTAGTGTCTTGTGCTCTCAAGCATTGCTGATGGCGCCATATTTGCTACTAACGCACCCAGAGTACTTTATGATGACCATGAACCGTCATTATACCTGGAGTTATTTAATAACACAGGTTTCCCCAAATAAACACAATAATCATTCCTGTGATCATAAAGTAACACACAGGGATAAAACTGGGTAACCGCATGACTGCCGGCTGAGGTCACAAATCGATTTAATCGAAATGAAACTACAGGAACATCAGGAAGGCAGCGTAAAAATGACATCTATTAAAGATAATCATAAAGTTCTAACCAAGACTCCTGACACCTTAAAAGTAAACCTTCGTTCACCTTGTGATTTGGTTCATAATGGAAGTCTGTCACTATATCATCGCTTCCACTTGACAGATCAGGGAAAGTCCAGTAATATAGCGAAAGTCTTTTTACGTCAGGATCAAATATTATCTGACACAGTAACCTTACAAAATGCCAGGTATACTGAGCTGTCACTACTTAAAAAGTAGGTGAACATTTTGTCCCCCAATAAAAGCAGGAAGCTGTCCCACATGTGTGAAACTCCGACGGCCATGTGTGAAAAGTTTGCACATATTACGGGATCGTCCTGTACCCGACACGGGCCTGGTTAATTCACCGGTGACGCGTTCAGTGTATAACATATGGCACCAAACCATCCGTGAAACTACAGTGGCTCCTAGGCTGTCCTTTTTAACCGACTGCTGACACAAATGTAGTAAATTAACCGTAATGCACAAATACTCACCAAGACTGATATTTCTATAGCACAATTATGTTACTGGTTGAGGACAGTTTCAATCCGGACGTCTCTGCCAATAGGAGGTACGACAACTGTTGGTAGGTTGGTTGACAGGTTTTCCGTCTCCGCCACAAACTCCCCTTACCCGTGTACCTCAGTCAACACTGTCGTCACTCGGAATCCCTTGGAAGTCCTCGGATAGTGTCTAATTAAATGTTTTTCAGTGCTACTCGATCAATTAATTTCAACTCACGGGATTCACCAGGGTAGTGAACACACTTTTCACTGAAACACGATGATGTCTTGCATTAGAAGTATGGTTTGGATTTGCCGTTTACAATGTTGACTCGGTTGATATAAGTCTGCATGCCTCTATTTATAGTTTAAACCTTCACACAGACTTTTAAATAGTACCTAAATGGACAAATCATATTGTACATACTCATTTTTAAATAGGTGTTGTCGTACACACTCATATTTAGATGTATAACTGTAAAATGTGGAAGTATATTTTCAGAACATTTAATCAGTGTTTTCTAAACGACCTTCATCTATGACGATGCCACGAAAGATTTTCCTCCAGGCAGAAAAAGCTAAACATGTCGAACATCAGACATACATTTGTGATAATGTACAACGCACCAAAAAGTCGTGCATACATCGTGCGCTCACTAGCACTATACAGTATCATGCGCACTACTGTGCGATAGGATCGCACATTTTGTGCGGTTTGGTAAAAATAGGCGCCGAAAATGAAATATACGCGACAAGTCCGGATCCGTACCAACCGAGTCGCCCGTGTAACAAACACAACATTTAATATTCACCTGGGTATATATTTTTATTTACACAAAGACAGCAACACCGAACTACTACAGATAAGATTTCTTTTTGACGGTATGGTATTTTAGATTATTCATTGAAGAGACAAAAAGAGGCGTCCATTTAACGTTTACATATATAATGTATTATATAATAAGTATCCGCTTACTTAGGCCGGTCACGCGTGGCACTTTGTGAACAAAACACTTTAAATGGCGAGTGTATTTAACTTCATTCTTATACATTATTAGCTTAACAAGGAAATATACTTCATTGTACTCTTCAATATTTAGAAAATAAATAAACCCTATCTCGCACTTATCTTTATGTCATGTCTAGATTTATATGAACCGCGATAGAATGATACAAATGTGTGATAACTTATTTCGTCTAGTTCTCCTCTCACGCGCACAACGTGAATTGATCGTGTACACATCGTGCGCACTTCGTCGGTAACGGTGTGTGATTTCACAACGGCAATAAGACACCACGCAGTGTTGGGAAAAAACATATTCGCACACATGAGCATACATGAGCACAAACGTGTAACATCATACATTAATATTAAGAAAAGTGAAGTTCGCAAGCACATCCAACATAAAAAGGCCATATTATGACACCTATGTGTGTGTATATATAATATTCAATTTAATCTAACCCTTGGTCCTGCTGGAGCGTTAAAGACGATTGAAAAGATTAATCTAACAAAATTTATGCAAAAATTTGAAATGGCCCCTGGTTGCCATCTAGGATGTCTGAAACAATCATGAATTAATGTGTGTTCGGTGAGGACATTCCGTTATCTTGTCTGTAGCCATTCATATCTGGGCAGTGATATGAACGGTTTATTCGTCGGACTGACTGACTGACGAACGGATATTCGACGATTATCAACTGTAAAGGTTCTAACAATATATTGGCGATATGTTTACTATTTACTCTATACGTTATTTACTTTACAACCGCTGAGAAACAAGTTATATTATATTGCTAAACACTCGTATTGACCTGGACAGACGCATGCCTGGGGTATTACTAAGACAGAAAACCCGGAACACGTAGTCAAGGAGATTACCCAGGATACCAGGCAGGTGATGCAAGTCATTTTCACGGCCTATCGGGGAATCGAACTCCGGTCGTCTAAGTGAAAGGCGAGAGTGTTATAACTGCGCCACGCGACCACACAATTCTGTACATACTCAGTGTGTTCTGGAAACAGGATCCTCATTCAATACATAAAACTTCAGACTGATACATAAAACTTCAGATGTCCGCGACCCGTACATTGTTCACCATTTAAGTAGTATCTGATACAATTCCAGTTATTAAAAATATATCACTGAAAGGTCATGTAAAACAAATGCGGGGCAAAATAAGTCAATTTAAATTTATATTTGTTTTTTTTTGAAATTATGACACATAAAACAGATCAAGCAGGTAACACACAGTGACACAATCCTCCCCCACCCCCTAAAATAACCCAGGTAAAAAGTAATAAAAGCCTAGAGCACTGGAGACATCAGAATTTTAAAACACGAGGCCGTCCCAGTTGTGCCGTAGACCTCAAATGGTTAGACAGACTGTTCCACTCCCGGGCTGCTCGCAATGACAAGATTTTTAGCCCCGTAGTTGTTCTAACTCTTGGAAGTTCCTGTCGTCCTTCATTCCTATAAATAGAAGATTTCAAAGTTTAAAGGAGTTATAGTGGCAATAATTAAAAAAAAAAATCACACGCCATGGTTTTCATTCTGTTTATGCGTGAAATTTCCAAATTCGATTTTGTTAAAAGTTCCAAAATTGGCGTGGTGTAATCGTCTTCAATAAAACGAAAGACTCTCTCCATGTGGTATTTAAATCACAGGTCAGGGGACAATAATTAAAATTGCGGAAAGGACAACAGCAAACAACACTACTGAGGCTCCCCGTCTTGCTAAGATTACTGTGAATTCTTTTCAACACGCTTAATTGTTTGGATGATTTGGATTCTTACAAATGTTAGACACAAGAAAGTAAGTTAACACCAATATCAGACTTGATGCATTTTTACCAGACTTCGTCTATAATAGTACCGTAACAAGATGGATACTCTTTACACCTACAATCTTTACAATCAAGTTTAATTATTCAACTGATTCATAAACGGTCTTAAATACTAACCGGCTGAAAACGATACCATTCATTATAATCCTGGTAAGGGTTTCTCGTGGGTCTGTGAAGGGTACGCGGTGTACCCATATATAACCAACACCTGTAACTTAGAGTGATCTCCCTTCTTCCATTCAAGGCGTTAACCTCCAGTGAAATGGAAATCGGAAATAGACACGGTGATGATGCGCGGGAATGTAAACAATGATTCTGTGAATTTACCCGATATCAATGACTAGATACAGTATGACGTGGAACAGAACTCTTTTACATCAAGATTGATTGTGTCATTAGGATAACATACATATAGAATGCAGACAGACTGTATGTTTTGTTTACGCAACTAATATTGTTTACATCATGGAGAAGGCGTCCAGAGCTATAAGAAGGTGTGTTGTAATCAGTTGTCAGGCTTTAACGAGATTCATTCGTTTGGAATATTTCTATCATTTTGCTGAATAAGTTGTCAGGCTTTAACGAGATTTATTCGTTTGGAATATTTATATAATTTTGCAGAATCAGTTGTCGGGTTTTAACGAGATTCATTCGTTTCGAATACTCATCAGATTATGTCGCGGTGTCGTTGGGAAGAGGAGTGGATGTCAGATATTTAAATTAAAGAATTGTCGAAAGTTGATGGAATTGTGAAGCGTTGAACAGCTTGGGCACAACCCCTCATGTGAATGAGACAACCCTGTATTTGAGGGATAGTAACTGTTTTGAGTAATTAATTAGTTACTTTAATGCTAGCTGGGCATTTGAAATAGAAACACATAAAGTTCTTCAAACAATTTACAATAAAAAGGTGTCATATCGTTGACATGGTCCACTAAAAAATGCAACAGTGTAGATTTTTTCACCCACAAAAATGTTAATTATCTATAAATTGTCTTGCATTTTGTAAAAATCACAAACTTCATCACCACCGTTGATTATCAACAGCTTTGAGTGTGGCTAAAAATAGAACACATAAATTCATGCTCATATGACATTTGCACTAAATGCTGCCACTGGCTAGCCTAAACACTCTATAGTCAACGGAGAACAAAGTCAGTGATCTATAGTGTCATTTTAACCCAAAGTTAGATGACAGAAATAAACATTCCCTTAGCAATTATATACATTGCCACATTGGCTAATGAGTCATATTAAAAATGTGACACCCCATTTTTGTTGCAATTTTTTAAAATAAAGTTGAAATGTTTCTATTTCAGAATGACCCTGTATTTGAACAGGGACATATAATATATCTGTATCTGTATTATACGTCCCTGATTTGAGTAACTAACTGATAACTAAGTAACTATCCCTCATATACAGGACTATTACCAATATGTGGTATAACCTGTAACAGCTCATGTTTATAATATTGAATTGACATTGATCTTGACCCCAGTTGGTTTTTGTATTATCAGTTATCATTAATTTCACAGCTGATATATACTTGTAATAGTTCAGGACCATTGGACTCGTGTAAGGTAGCAGTGATGTTAAATTGCATGAATATTTTACTGATACAGGAGCAGTGCCAAATTAATGTCCTTCGGAACCGGAAATGCTGACCTGAGTGTCCTTATGTCTGAAGTTAAGGACATCAGAAGTAGTGCAAAGTCATTTATGGCAGCTCAAAATCTTGGTAAGCCATTTGACTGAACTCAGTATAAGTACCTGTGAGTCGTATAGGGTTTCAAAGACCTTGGTAATGCGTTAAATATGTGAGTTTTCTTTTACAGCTGTATAGGGCTTAAATTTTAGTACCCCATGATAATTTAAATTACTGAGATGGGCTTAAACATTTTGAGAGTTCATAGCAAAAAACAATTACTGATGTAAGAAGTACATGAAATCAATGCTAATTTTCCATTCATTGAAGGCTAGCATTAATACTGGCTTCAGTAACCATTAAATTTGATTTATTTTTTAAACATATCATTACAAAATTTATGATTTGTAAGAAATATCAGATTAAATATCCTATAAATCTTTGTTAAAACAGTGTTTTCTGAGTTAAACTTCATGTTTTCATTGAAATTGTTCGATATTGTATAGAAGTAAATACTTATTAAAACCATATTATGCTGATTGATGTCTTCCAAAAAAATTATTAGATATCAAGGAATTTATAAAAGAAAAATTTTAAAAATCAAGAAATTAGTTATATGTTCATTAATTTATTATTATATTAAAATTTATATTGCTTGTCTTCCATGGTCTCTGGTCCACTGTATCTGTCTGTCCATCTGTCCTTTAGCAGTTCTTGTCATTGTGATTTCTGGAGAAGTACTGGATGGATAATTTTTAGATTTTATATTATAAATAGGTTCCCCTTTGTACCTAGTTGTTTATTACCACATTTCTTGAGTACTGTTCTCCAAGGTCCCATGTTGTGATCTTATAATTTTGAGATTGACGAGTGACAGGCGAGTATGAAAGAATTTTATTGCTGTTTTTTGAAAATTAAAACTGCTTGGTTCACCTTGGTACCTGGTTTTGCCCTACTTATGTTTGGAGTGAACAGAAAAGCCACATGGGTGACTGACAGCAATCTTTGATATGGCCGTAAAACATTATTATCGTATCACGAATTCTGAAATTGCCAAAATTTCATGAGAGTGAAAAATGAAAAAAATAAAGAAACGGAAAAGCATTATCATTATTTTGTTTTTTATGAAATACAGATCCAGCGATTGTTCAGGCACCAAAACTTTTCTGTGATCTCTTGTTATAATGATCACTTTAATTTTATTTGGATTTCGAGGCACAAATAAACCTACAATGATGCCTAATTTTATATATAATTCAGCTTCCAATGACATGTTACGATGGGCAGCAAACGAAGAGAACAGAGCCATTCAGGTAATTCATTTAGTATAACGGTGATACAGTTTCCAGAGGCAGTGAGTCTGTTGAGAGTCAAAAGTTTGAACTGATACAAGGTCAGGTGAAGATGGAGACAAATCTTATCATATCTTTCTAATACCTGTTTGTATGTTGACATCCGTTTGTGTGTAGATGTCCCTCATTAACAAGTGAATATACACAAATTTGTGATTACCACCAGACGTGTCTCCTAGAAGAAATGGATGGCAATTATTATGGTGAGAATCTATATCGCAGCCATGATTAATGGATGTTCAAACTGATCACATGATCTGTGCAGCTTCATTTCACCCGAAAGGTGAAAGCATTGATCATTCACTATATCTAATACCACTAGAGCTGAAACCATATTTCATTATTTCGTAAGGAAAGTTGATTTTTAAAAATCAGACTTAAAATCAAAAATGTTGAAAAAATAAATTAGTAAAATTTAACAATTATGTAACAGACAAAAACAATTGATGAAAATACACACATGTCAACAGAAATACACACATGTCAACAGCACATGTCAACAGAAATACACACATGTCAACAGCACATGTCAACAGAAATACACACATGTCAACAGAAATACACACATGTCAACAGAATGTTTACCAAAACTTTTAATTAATACACTTAGATTGTAAGGAATCAAGTTTTAGCCTATTATTTTTGACATATCAGCACAAAGATAAATTCACACATCCCCGTAATTACTATATAAGCATCATGCAAGGACTGCAAGTTACACAATATGTTTAGTAAAAAAAGTGCCGAAATAAGATTATTGCTGAGATAAATATGTTTACAGTAAAAAATGAACAAAAGAAAGATTTATCAATAAAGAACTTGTAAAGATAAAGAACAAGACCAGTTGTTTAAGAAGGAGAATCATCCGCTGTCTCATCAAAGGCAATCAAAGTGTCGATCTTGGTCAGTCATGTCATCTTCTCTGTGAGAAAAATTACAGCATCAAAATCTTCAGACACAATATCGAACACCAAACACTTTTCTTACATCATACACATTGCACAAAGATATAACAATGACATCATTATGGTGACTATCAACTCAAAAATCTTTATCAATCTGTATCTGTCCACATCTTGTAAGGAAATCTTAACATTTGAAACGAGTGTTGAATGTCAAATCAATTGTGGCATACAAAAACCTCAGTTTTTGGAAGTAGGCATGCGCCCATTTAGAAATAGGAATTACACATCATTGGTTTTCTGATGAATCAGAAATTATCTAAATTTTTGACATGTGACCAGACAGAGAATAATTTTGCATAATGAAGGGTATTACTGGATATTATCATTATAAAATGCTATGTTAATGATGTACATTGATGGCCTTTTTCATGTTTCAGGATGTAGTGAACCAAGCTGCTGAGTTGAGCACACAGTGGACAGATGTACAGAGAGATTTCATATGTAAAGTTCATTTCCTTTTTTTCCTGTCTTTGGTAATCGGTTTTTTTTATGATTTTCATATTCTCTACATATGTGTAGTTTATGATACTTAAAGGTCATCTGACCAAAAGGCTGTTGCCATGGTGATTTGTCTGTCGTTGTACATTGGCCACCATTTGTAAGCTTTTCCTTTGAAGTGCTTCTGCTTTCAAACATCTGAGCTGATTAATTAAAATGAATTAACAGTTTGATAAAATCTTAATATTATTGCCAGGGAAAAATCCTGAGCACTGATCAAGAGCTGTAGTATACTGGTAGGCCTATATTGGTCTGTCTGATGTACTTGTTGTGAGGTGTAAGCCTATATTAAGGGTAACAGAAACAAAACATCTTATTTGTGGCATTATATTTTTTTCATCACCTGCCACATTATATTACAGTCGTTGCTGTGCTAATATTTTATTTATCACAACATAATCTTAGAAACAATTAAAATCACAGATTTTTAAGTCATTTACTGTTTCATGCTGATTGATAATTAAATGTTTCAGATCACCTGAAGGAGTATAGACAGATGTTTGAGATGATTATGGAGGGAGAGAAGCACGTCAGTCAGGCAAAACAGAACCTGGTATGTTATACAACACACATTTTAAATATGTTATACAGAACCTTGTATGTTATACAGAACCTAGTATGTTATATAACACACAACTTAAATATGTTATACAGAACCTGGTATGTTATATAACACAAAACTTAAATATGTTATACAGAATCTGGTAGGTTATATAACACACAACTTAAATATGTTATACAGAACCTTGTATGTTATACAGAACCTAGTATGTTATATAACACACAACTTAAATATGTTATACAGAACTTGGTATGTTATATAACACAAAACTTAAATATGTTATACAGAATCTGGTAGGTTATATAACACACAACTTAAATATGTTATACAGAACCTGGTATGTTATATAACACACAACTTAAACATGTTATACAGAACCTGGTATGTTATATAACACACAGCTTAAATATGTTATTAATATTGATTTCACTGTGACACTGTGATTGATTTGAAGTACAAGATCTACATGCTCAAAGTCACTTTAAGCATAATTGCAGTAGGATATTAAGATTCAGAATCAGGATTTTTGCAATTACTTTTATGTTTATGTTTCTTCAGGCACTGTGTGAACAAAAAGAAGTTAAGATCAGGAAGGAGTTAAAGAAGGCCGCCAGGGTGAGCAATACGCACTGTTCGCTGTATAACTTTTATCAAACTCCAATTTGTTATCGCAAGGGGCCTGAGGGGCAGGGCCCAAAGTGGGAAATATTTAAAAATCATACTTCTGTAGGATTGTTAAGATTTTGCCCAAAATTTGAGCAAAATCATCGTAAGGTGAAAAGGAATCAATTTTGTGTAAACAATGGATCTTGGCCCTCCAGGGACAGGAGGAGCACAGCCCAATAGAAGAAACAGAGCAAGTTTTTAAAATCCTTCTCTGGTAGGAATGGTTTTGGCCATATTTGGTCCTTTGTGTAAATAATAGGTCTCGATCCTTGGTGATGAGAAGAGTGGGGCCAGATAGGGAAAATAGTGTGAATTCTTTAAAATCCTACTACTCCTCCTGTAAGAATGGTCGGATTTTGCCCAAATTTGGCCTGAAGCATCCTTGACCAAAAGGAATCAGTTTTATGTAAATGGTGGATCTCACTACCCTGGGGAAGGAGGGGCATGGTCCAATAGGGGAAATAGAGCAAACTCTTTGAAATCCTTCAGGAGGAATGATTGGAATTACCCAAATTTGATCTGAAGCATTCTTTGGAGAAGGGAAATTAGCTTTGTATAAAGGATGTATGTGATCCCTATGAGGCAGAGGCAAGGGATGTATGGTACTTACATATCATGATAAACTTTTGAGAAATCCATCTTTTGTTGGCAATATTTTTATCATTTTTGAATTATTTTTTATGCAGAGAGCTTCAGCACCAGAAATTAGTATGTTGGAGGGCCGACTTAGCCAGGCTGAGCGTGCGAGAGAGGTAGCCGAAGTGGAAGGTAAAACATGTTCAAATTTTTATTTGTAATACAGTTTTAATGTCCCTGCAAAGAAATTTAGGATTTTATACTGAGATAAGGTTGTCCATCTTTCTGTGGACAGGATCTTACAATTTTCATAAGAAAAGGGTGAAATACTACTGAGGTAGTCATCACACACACCCCCGAAATTTGGACAAGACTTATTATGGTGTGTCATAGTCTGACTTTCAGTTTATTTTAAACTTCTATTTGTCCAGAGATTTCCTACGGCAGTTTTAACCAATCTTTTTCAAAATTGATTGCTTAATCACCTTGATACAAAACTGTACTTTGCTGAATGACAGTTTGATACAGTTGTATTTGGAAGAGTTACTGCCCCTTGTTTTCATAATGTTAATTTTGTCAACAGATCTCCTCTCACAGATTTCAACTGATCTTGTGAATCCAATTGTTGTTTTTTTTTTATTTATCTGTAATTAAATGAAACCTTTTGGTGAAAAGATGATAATATAGTTTCTCATTAAGGTACAATTTCATAAAAATCAACTAAACTGAATTCCAGTGTATCCTTAGAAGAGAGGAATGCCCCATCTCCAGCCAAATATCCTTGTAAAATGGCACTAGATTTTTATAGTCATGATGACTGATTACCACTTTAATTTTTATGTAAAGTGAAGAACATTTACATTTAGTATCAACCAAATCTGTCAAGAGGTTCATTCTCAAATCCATTCAGACCAATAAAAGGAATTTACAGGTGTGCAATGCAATAATTGTTCAAAGTTTCTGGTCACAGCAGGTCAGGCCCACCTTTTATACAAAAATGGATCTTCTAAACATCAATCATGTTACAGAATGATTTTAACAAAGATGACCTCTGTGACCTTGAATATGGACAAGACCTTCAGTTTATACGAAATCTGTTTTACAGAATCAGCAGAACTGGATCATTTTAATGTTTACACAAATAATATTATGACCTATGTGACCTTGAATAGGGGTTAGTATTTTGGAGTTGTCTCTGAAACTTTCTGCCTTAATACATAGGATGTTATATAATGAACATCTGTATTCTGTAGTTATATTTGCTATAGACGTGTTTTCCAAGGCTAGCACTACCAGCATCACCACAATTTTACAGTGCTATGGTAGAGTTAAGGTGCAAATTTCAACTCACATAATGACATCATAATAATTGTTATTTAGATCACATAAACAAATTTTAACAAAATCGGGTCATGAATGCCTGATGTTGTTATGGACTATAAATTTTTTTAAAGAGCATGACAGCTTTTTGATGAAATGTTGTATGCTGTCATATGTCAGTAAGATGTTGGAAGATTTCAACATTATGTTTGTTGGGACTAGTCCTGTGATGATTTGATTTCTTTGTTTTTATTTATTGGAGTGTTATTTTTGTTTATGCTTGATTTTGATCAGTAAGTGAGAGAATCCGTGAGAATGAAGCTGTGAAGATGATACGTATGAAGGAAGGGTTACTGAGGATGTCGGAGGCGTATATGGAGCTCGGAAATAAATGTGCTATGATATTTGAAGCACAACGGGTAAGTACAATCACATTCTCCCACTCATCAATTATGGTAAAATAGACAAATTGAAATTGATTGGTTTTACATATGATACTGAGGTATATAATCTGTTGCAGGACGTCGCTTTCCAGTTGCCAGATGTCCATGGGAAGGAATTAGAGCAGGTGAAATACTCAGGTGGGTATGGTGTAGCATAAAATTAATTGCAGTATAATGAATTTGTGGAAATTTCATTGTAACGGGAAAAGTTTCGAAGAAGTTACCAGAGGGGGATGGGCGGAGGGTGTGTGGGATGGGCGGGGGCTTTTCTTCCTTAATGCATGAATGGATTTTGTGCAGATTTTGTCTCAATATCAATAGGGGTGGGCAATTAATTCTTGAATCTGAAAGTTGATTTGACCCCCTAAGGACTTAGGAGCAGGGCCCCAAAAAGGGAAGTTAGGCAATATTTTTATTTAAAATGCTACTCCTTTTTAATTGCTGGGTAGATTTCAATCAGATTTGGTCTAAAACATTACTAGAGAGTGACAATTATATCAAATGTATTGTGGTAAAATACCCAATATAACTCATCTTAACCAAATAGTCTGAACTACATTTCCAGTGTCAATCACTCCATTTAGAAACATGTTTGGAGTTTCCTTAAGGAAAAGAAACAGATGACTTCTCTGATAGGTCTGTCACGTAGGCGTGGGGAGGGATAACGTCTTGTGAGTTTAAGCTAATGTTCCTTCATACTAGCCGAAAATATAAAATTATGAAAAATCCTGTCCTTTGTCCTTTAAGGTACATTTAACGATAAAAATGAAATTCCTGTTGTTTGGATTATTTACATTGGGTGATGTTTAAAATGGGAGGATAGTTATATGTTATGCATATTTTACATTTGTATAACATGTACAATCTAGGTAAAATTCATAATTGCATGTTTCTACAACAAATTTGACTGCTTTTATAGAACTCGGGTGATCGTTAAGGCCAGTTGGCCTCTTGTTTAAGTAAAATATGTGGACTTTGAAGACATACAATTTATACCCTAAGATTGTTTCTGTGGTTTCAGGAGCTGCAGCCTCACAGCTGTATGTCAAACAGGCCAAAGAAAATGTGAAGAAGTACAAAAGGAAATCCCATCGACTAGACAAAGTGCCTCTCTCTGATTTTGAACGACCAGGCTACTCCAGACCCAGTTGTAAGTTTATAGCACTGCGATGTGATCTGAGCAAAGCACCACAACAATTTCTTGTCCATCTTCCTCCATTGACAAGTGTTGTTCTTTGTCTGCTAACATTTAAACTTTTCTTGCCACTGCGCTGATTTCCCCCCAAAAACTTAGGTAAACGGGAATAAATTTTGAATCACCGTGGGTCATGGCCCCATAGTTGTGAGAAGTACAGCCTCCATTAGGGGAAATAAAAGAATATCTTTAAAACAGTTCTATTCCTCCTGTAGATATGGTAGGGTTTTGCCAAAGTTTTGTCAAAAGGAGGATTGGATGAAAGGAACACTGTATAAAATGCAGGTCTCAGCTCCCTCTGGTTACGACCCTCTGGGACAGGGCCTGAATATTAGAAATATAGAAAATCCTCTAAAATTTATTTGTGGGGTTACCTTGATTCTATCCAGATTTGGTCTGAAACATAGTTAGGTGAAAACTACCTTATTTTGTATCAACAAGGAGTCTGACATCAGAGATATGGGGCCCAATAAGGGAAATGTTCCTCAAAAGTCCTTCTTTGCTACTAGGATAGGTATTGTTTTGTCTGAAGCAGTTTTGATGAATGGTGAATAAGGGTTTAGGGAATGGGGAAAGTATTTCAGAAATTATTTGCCTTGTTTGAAATTCTTTGTTAAATGGCAGAATAGCTGAATTAGCCAGGGAAATCTTTCAGGCCTCTTGGGCCTTTTACTGTGTAATGAATGGTCTCATTCCCCAGGTTTGAGATGGAGTCAGCAGGCAAAATTTAGCAAAATCTTTAAAAGTGACAGGATTTTATCAACATTTGATTTGAAACATACTTATATGAAGAGGACTTTTGTAGAAACAGTTGGGCTGTTTTTGAATCACCCTTTGTCTGTAGTCTGTTGTCCATTAAAAAACGATTCTTGTTATTTTCATTTCTTGAGTATGCGCTAGATTTTTCTCAAATTTCAAATGAAGTTCCCCTTGATACCTTGTTGTGCTCTTATGATTTTTGGACTAAAAAAACAAAATGGCTGAAAGACAGCCATCTTTGATTTTGACTGTGAAAGTTTTTTATCACTATCATTTGAGAAGTAAAGGACAGATCTTTTTCAATTAGCATATGTGTATTCCCCTTGGTTCATAGTTGTGTCTATTTGATTTTGGGACTGATGAGAATAATAGAATGGCTGACAGATGACAATAAAGGAAGATAGTAGGAGTGGGAGGGGGGAGGTTGGAGGTAAAGATCAAATGAAGACCAAGCAATGGTGGGTACTAAAACCCCGTTGGGATCTCTTGTGTGGGAAAGTTGAGAAACTGTTACCTTATTATACCCACGGCAAATGATGTTTGATGGAGGGGTGAGGGGGGGGGGGGGGGGGTAATACTGGAATCACATTTTCTGTCTGTCCATGTTTTATCCCACTATGCATTTCCACAGTTATCAACAGATATTTTTTGTGGGAATGGCCTGTCCAATATGGAGATGTGCCCCGTGAAGTGACTTTGCATTTCCCCCCATTTAAGAGAGTCATCCCCATTTGATATGAAAATAAACACTACTTTGTCTAGTTATGCATTTTGAGAAATAGTCCTTTTTCAGGTTTCCAGTTGACTTGAAATTTTGTTCATACCTTCATTGAACAGTACTTTGTAACACAGTGCAGGTTCTTTCTTGTTTTTTTTTTTTCCTAAAATTTTGGTTGCCATGGTAACTGATAACTGTAAACAGCTTTTACTATTTCAAATGGCCTCCATAGTCATTCAACAGATTTTATTATTTGACTTGTCAATTGGTATAACTAGTTGAAATCTACATTAGAATACAAGTTTCAACAAGTTACTACGGCAACACAATCCTGGCTTGTGATTGGTTGAAATTTAGAAGTTATCTGTACATGTTTTGTTACCATGACAAACATGCTAAGGAAAATGGTAACCTCTGAATGATTGAAATTTAGATATTGCCCAATTTTTACCAAATTTGGTTTATAGGTGCATTTTGGGATGCCAAACATCTCGATTTGTTTTATTGCCATGTCAACCATGCTGAGGCAAATTGTTAAGATATTGATTTTACCTAATTTTTGTGTATAGAGAAATTCGGAAATGCCAAGTCAATTTTTAATTGTTTTTAACTTTTTTCATGGCTTTTTCAGCAAATTTGGTATGTAGAGATGTCGTGGCATCTGCAGGGTGTATAAGTTATCCTCAGGATGGCAGTTCCAGTTCAGAATTGTTCTAATTGTTATTGTTTACAGTATCACAAATACTAATTAATTTTAAAATCTTTACAGTTAGGTGAACGTTTGGTCAAAGGGCCATTTGTCTATTTCGCTTACAAATTTTGATATATTTTGGTTATCCTATGTAACAGGTGAGGAACCTCCCCCTCCATACTACCCTAGTGATGAGTTCCTGAACCAGACAGAAATCAGCGACGAAAGCAGTGCTTACAGTCCATCGACTGAAACTGAGATACAAAGGCCTGGACACCGAAGGTCATATCCAATGACATCGCCTCGACAACTCACCGACCCAGAAGAGGAACTAAGCAGTTCTATGGGGGCGTCTAAATTGAGCTGATATGGTGCAGAGTTTGGACAAAAAGTGTTATTTTATATGGTGCCAGTTATTGTAGAGCACAAACATTTTCCATAAGACAACTAACTCTGAATAACCAGAAGACCCAGGGTAATGATGTTTACCCAGAAATATATTTTTAGCTCACATGACCTTAAGGGACATGTGAGCTTATACTGTGATGTGGTTAGAATCATGATATTCGGCTTTCAAGGATGGAGCCCATGAGCAGTAGTGAATACTTTGTGAGTGACGTGCTGCTGGCGAGTTGGGCTTGCAATGGATACCTATTTATTTCTTATCTGTGTATGGATTTTTATTTATGAAATAATCGTTTGTTTTATATGTCTTATCTACGTTATATATATTGAATCTTTTTCCTATAGATTAGGAGATGTGTCTTAATAAGTTTACGATGAATTGAAGATGTTTTTCTCTCTGATCATATGTACGGATTTTAATTTTAATGATGCTAATTTTAGAATTGATGTCAGGAGGCGAATATTCGACAGCAAAACACTGTAGATTGTGGATGAATAAAAAATACCATTTGATTTGGGATATTTGTACAATATGGGTGTTGTGTATAATTCAACACCTTGTTTTGTTGTTTTAAAAGTATAACACGTATGTACATTATACATTATTTTTATACCCCAAAGATCATAGATTGTTTTTGGTCCGTCTGTTGATAAATTTTTTTTAAATCTCACTTGGCCCATCTTCTGTCCATATGTCAACTTTTCCTACAAATAACTGCTTTTTCAAATGCTGCTCCTGCTGTCTGAATAAATGGATTTTTACCCTAATTTGGTCTGAAGCGTTCTCTGGTGAAGGGAAATGAATTTTGTATAAGCGGTGAGTCTGGTCCCCTTGGATAAGGTGGGACGGGGCCCAATATGGGAAATGGAGCAAATTCTTTAAAATTCTGCTCATCATTAAGGAATGATTGGTTTTTGACCTGATTTCTCTTATGTAAGACGTTAGTCTCTATCCCCAGTATCCCCATTTGTCCGGCATTGTGTATGGTAAACTTTTAACATTTTCCACTTTTTCTGGAAATCTGCGCTGATTTCAGTGAAATTTTACAAAAGCCATCCATAGCTTAAAGTGCGCCAAAATTATAAATCATATATTCCCCAACCCCAAGGGGCCTGAGGGACAGGGCCTAAAAGTGTCAGATTGATTGAAACTTCAAAAATATTCTTCTCAAATCCCAGGTATTGTAGAAATTGAATACTCTTCATGGATGGAAAGACTTTCACAGACTTAACCATATTGAAAATTTCATGACCCTCCCTTGGAGGTAGTATACTTTACTAAAGTTAATATAGAAAAATTACATTTCTGAGCATAATTTCTTTTTACTTTCAATAAAATCATTTCTATGACATTGCAAGAGCATTGTAACTCAGGTGAGTGTTAACACCCTTTGGGCCTCTTGTTTGTCTTACAGTGTCCTATTGATCTGATAAGTTTTATCTATGATATTCATATTAAATCTTTTTCCTATAGATTAGGAGATGTGTTTTAATAAGGTTACGATGAAATGAAGATGTTTTTATCTCTGATCATATGTACGGATCAGTCTTAATGATGCTAATTTTAGAATTGATGTCAGGAGGCGAATATTGGATAATAAAACATTGTAGATTGTGGATGAATAAAAAATACCATTTGATTTGGGATATTCATACAATATGAGTTTTACTTATAATTTAACGCCTTGTTTTGTTGTTTAAACAGTATAACACATACGTACATTATATATTATTTTGATACCCCAAAGATTGAATGTCCCTGTGTAGGGGCTGAAGCACTGAAATAAGAAGGAGATCAACATTGTATAAACAAGGGATTTTAGCTCCCTAGGATGAGGCCCAAAGCATATGTAGAGCAACTTTTGAAATCCTTTTTTCTGTAGGAATTGCGGGGTTCTCTTTCAATTTGGTCTGTAACATCCTTGGATGAAGGGGATTCAACTTTGTATACACAGTGGGTCTCAACCCACTTGGATAAGAGTGTGGAGTCCAAAAGAAGAAATAGAGCAAATTCTTCAAAATTCTTTTTTCTATAGCAATGTCAGTATTCTGTCCCGATTTAGTTTGGAGCATTATTGATTGAAATAAATGAGTATAAATATAAATGATTTTGCTGACCCCCTAGGGGCAAAGTGATATGGCCCAATTGGGGTTTGATATTGTGCCTGTAGATTTCAGGTAGGAAGTTCTTTCAAGTTTGTTCAAATGAATGACCTGGAGTCTCTTCTGTGGTAACAAGGGTCAAATGTATTAAATCTTCAAACAACATCACCATAACGGAAAGGCCCACTGCGCTGATATAGGGCCCTGCTAAGTTTATTTAAATGTATGAAAATCATGAAACAATTTCTTCTGAATAATCAAAACATCAGTTCTGATATTGGGCCTGTATCATACTGGGATGAAAGGTTTTCAAGTTTGTTCAGATGAATGACCTTGATTCTCTTCTGTGGTAACAGGGGTCAAATTATTAAATCTTCAAACAACATCTCCATAACGGAAAGGCCCACTGCGCTGATATAGGGCCCTTTTATAAAGTCACATGGTCGAAAATGTTGAAAATATTGAGATGATATCTTGATAACCATGCTATTGATGTTGATTCTGTAACATGATTGGATGAAGGGATACTAGATTTATTCAAATGACCTCGACCAACATTTAAGGTCATTGGTGTCAAAAGTGTTCAGAACTTCAAATTTCGGCTTTCATCAAGCAATAGATCCTGGGTTATGGTATTTTTGTATTAGCAGACTTGAAGAGGAGGATTTCAAGTTTACATATGTTGACTTAATGTTCCGCGTGTAAGCTGATGAACAGGTGAGCAATTCAGATCCATTGAACCTCTCTCATGTATTCTAGAATACTAGGACATTATAGGCCAATAGGCATCCTCTTTTAGGAATGATTAGATTTCACCCATATAAACAAAAGCCATATCACACACGGTAGTAACGTATGAAGGCAACACACAGTAGTAACGTATAAAGACATGACAACACACGGTAGTAATGTATAAAGACATGACAACACACAGTAGTAATGTATAAAGACATGTTACACACAGTAGTATGGTATAAAGACAACACACAGTAGTAACGTATAAAGACAGCACACAGTAGTAACGTATAAAGACAACACACAGTAATAACGTATAAAGACAACACACAATAGTAACGTATAAAGACATGACAACACAGTAGTAATGTATAAAGACATGTTACACACAGTAGTAACGTATAAAGACAACACACAGTAGTAATGTATAAAGACAACACACAGTAGTAACGTATAAAGACAACACACAGTAGTACATATAAAGACAACACACAGTAGTAACGTATAAAGACAACACACAGTAGTAACGTATAAAGACAACTCACAGTAGTAACGTATAAAGACAACACACAGTTGTAACGTATAAAGACAACACACAGTAATAACGTATAAAGACAACACACAATAGTAACGTATAAAGACATGACAACACAGTAGTAATGTATAAAGACATGTTACACACAGTAGTAACATATAAAGACAACACACAGTAGTAATGTATAAAGTCAACACACAGTAGTAACGTATAAAGACAACACACAGTAGTACATATAAAGACAACACACAGTAGTAACGTATAAAGACAACACACAGTAGTAACGTATAAAGACAACACACAGTAGTAACGTATAAAGACAACACACAGTTGTAACGTATAAAGACAACACACAATAGTAACGTATAAAGACAACACACAGTAGTAATGTATAAAGACATGTTATACACAGTAGTAACGTATAAAGACATGACAACACACAGTAGTAATGTATAAAGACATGTTACACACAGTAGTAACGTATAAAGACAACACAGTAGTAATGTATAAAGACAACACACAGTAGTAACGTATAAAGACAACACAGTAGTAATGTATAAAGACAACACACAGTAGTAACGTATAAAGACAACACAGTAGTAATGTATAAAGACAACACACAGTAGTAACGTATAAAGACAACACACAGTAGTAACGTATAAAGACAACACACAGTAGTAACGTATAAAGACAACACACAGTATGAACGTATAAAGACAACACACAGTAGTAACGTATATAGACAACACAGTAGTGATGTATAAAGACAACACACAGTAGTAACGTATAAAGACAACACACAGTAGTAACGTATAAAGACAACACAGTAATAACGTATAAAGACAACACACAGTAGTAACGTATAAAGACAACACAGTAATAACGTATAAAGACAGCACACAGTAGTAACGTATAAAGACAACACACAGTAGTAACGTATAAAGACAACACACAGTAGTAACGTATAAAGACAACACACAGTAGTAACGTATAAAGACAACACACAGTAGTAACGTATAAAGACATGACAACACACAGTAGTAACGTATAAAGACAACACAGTAGTAACGTATAAAGTCAACACACAGTAGTAACGTATAAAGACAACACACAGTAATAACGTATAAAGACAACGCGCAGTAGTAACGTATAAAGACAACACACAGTAGTAATGTATAAAGACATGTTACACACAGTAGTAACGTATAAAGACAACACACAGTAGTAACGTATAAAGACAACACACAGTAGTAACGTATAAAGACAACACAGTAGTAACGTATAAAGACAACACAGTAGTAATGTATAAAGACAACACACAGTAGTAACGTATAAAGACAACACACAGTAGTAACGTATAAAGACAACACACAGTAATAACGTATAAAGACAACACACAATAGTAACGTATAAAGACATGACAACACAGTAGTAATGTATAAAGACATGTTACACACAGTAGTAACGTATAAAGACAACACACAGTAGTAATGTATAAAGACAACACACAGTAGTAACGTATAAAGACAACACACAGTAGTACATATAAAGACAACACACAGTAGTAACGTATAAAGACAACACACAGTAGTAACGTATAAAGACAACACACAGTAGTAACGTATAAAGACAACACACAGTTGTAACGTATAAAGACAACACACAGTAATAACGTATAAAGACAACACACAATAGTAACGTATAAAGACATGACAACACAGTAGTAATGTATAAAGACATGTTACACACAGTAGTAACGTATAAAGACAACACACAGTAGTAATGTATAAAGACAACACACAGTAGTAACGTATAAAGACAACACACAGTAGTACATATAAAGACAACACACAGTAGTAACGTATAAAGACAACACACAGTAGTAACGTATAAAGACAACACACAGTAGTAACGTATAAAGACAACACACAGTTGTAACGTATAAAGACAACACACAGTAGTAACGTATTAAGACAACACACAGTAGTAACGTATAAAGACAACACACAGTAGTAACGTATAAAGACAACACATAATAGTAACGTATAAAGACAACACACAGTAGTAATGTATAAAGACATGTTATACACAGTAGTAACGTATAAAGACATGACAACACACAGTAGTAATGTATAAAGACATGTTACACACAGTAGTAACGTATAAAGACAACACAGTAGTAATGTATAAAGACAACACACAGTAGTAACGTATAAAGACAACACAGTAGTAATGTATAAAGACAACACACAGTAGTAACGTATAAAGACAACACACAGTAGTAACGTATAAAGACAACACACAGTAGTAACGTATATAGACAACACAGTAGTGATGTATAAAGACAACACACAGTAGTAACGTATAAAGACAACACACAGTAGTAACGTATAAAGACAACACAGTAATAACGTATAAAGACAACACACAGTAGTAACGTATAAAGACAACACAGTAATAACGTATAAAGACAGCACACAGTAGTAACGTATAAAGACAACACACAGTAGTAACGTATAAAGACATGACAACACACAGTAGTAATGTATAAAGACAACACACAGTAGTAACGTATAAAGACAACACACAGTAGTAACGTATAAAGACAACACACAGTAGTAACGTATAAAGACAACACAGTAGTAACGTATAAAGTCAACACACAGTAGTAACGTATAAAGACAACACACAGTAATAACGTATAAAGACAACGCGCAGTAGTAACGTATAAAGACAACACACAGTAGTAATGTATAAAGACATGTTACACACAGTAGTAACGTATAAAGACAACACACAGTAGTAACGTATAAAGACAACACACAGTAGTAACGTATAAAGACAACACAGTAGTAATGTATAAAGACAACACACAGTAGTAACGTATAAAGACAACACACAGTAGTAACGTATAAAGACAACACACAGTAGTAACGTATGGAGGTAGGTTCCCCGTCATTACGTTACTCGATCATGCCTCGATTTAGATATTTTACTACTATGTTCAGTTTCTAACCAGAAACTTGGTTTGAAACAAAACAAATGCTACGTATATATTAGTATCATCCCCGGACAGCTGACATCACATCTATCTTAATACAAAGCTAAGGGATAGTTTGGTATTGCGTGTTTAACGTCGATAGAATGTACACGAGTCAGGCACTTCAGGTACTAGTCACAATGGTTTGGGGCCTAAAATAGGGCATGTCATCAAATATTAACAGCTTATAAAACATACTCATTTACAAATCCTAAATCATTAAAGTCAAATAAACGAGGGATACTGGTTTTCCCCCTATCTGATTTAGATACCAACTTCCAAACAATATTGTTAACATTAAAAGTGTGATCCCGATGAAAGCCTTGTTGTTTACATATTAACATCGACGTACTTCACCAATGAGTGTCGTCTATAGTCAAAAATAGTTGTACGAGGAGTGAGTCAGAAGGAATCCCAGACCCGTTTGTTTTGCAACGGTTCGTGTGTATAAATAGAGCTCCAAACAGGCATCGAGTATCAAACGCCAGCTAGCGTACCAATATATACCTGTAGACGTACAACACATCCACCTTTATACCTACCAGCACAGAAAATGGATCTTCTTAAAAGCGATTTATTCGACAAAAACTTTCCAGAAATGAGCTCAATGGACAGGGAATTTGGGTCTATGAGTTCTACCATGAGTTCTATGAGTTCAACTTCAACAATGAAAAGCTCAAGTTCAAGCTTTGATACCCCGATGCTCAAAGGTAGTGCCATGGGTGAGCGTGATTCCCTCATGGGGGCTGGCCTTGGTGGAGGGCGGCTCGTGCCTACTACGTTATTCGACTGGAATTTCTTCGATAGACAAAAATCCATGTTCTCGGACATCAGCATGGACTTTGACAACGATTTTAAGAAATTTGATTTGGAACTTGAAAATATGAGAAAAAGCTTGTTCCGGTTTGATGGTGACCCGATGTTGAAAGTTGATCAACCCTATGTTGAAAGCAGGACGGGAAGTAAAAAACTTTCTTTAACATTTGACGTTAGTGGCTATGCACCGGAAAACATCCACATCAAGACAGTGGACAGTATGCTTACTGTTCACGCCAAGCACGAAGAAAAATCGCCCGGAAAATCCGTCTATCGCGAGTTCACAAAATCTTACACGCTTCCAAAAGCTATTGACCCATTGGCATTGACATCTTCACTCTCAGCCGACGGTGTCCTCAGCATCGAGGCTCCAGCTCCACGTGAAGTTGTTGCCAAGAAGGAGCGATTTGTTCCTATAGAACTTCTGAAACCTTTGTGAAAATAGATGGTGAGGACTTTTTGTGGTTTGTTGGTCATGTGAACGATGTTCTAAGATGAGAAGAATTGCTCTGTTATATGTGGTGTTGATCAAGGACAATTTCTGAATTTTATTTAAATTTGATATCTAACATAGCTAGAAAAGAATATGTTTTTCTACGGATGGAAATGTTTTTTTTAGGAAAAACCCATTTCGAGTGGAACATTCCATGTATGAGGAACGGCTGGTACTCTTGTCTGGTTTGTTGTTTTTTTGAAATTCATTTGTGCAAATTCTATAATTTTATATTATTTTAATCATTAAATTACTTTACTGCGTTCGTTTTGCAACCATGTTTTTTTTCTTGGTGTCGACAATTTAAATTGGGCGGGTCTCTTAATAACTTATCGAGTGGCTAATGTAGAGAGATTGGCCCGATAATCCGTGCTGGTGTGAGAAACATTAAAAATTTGGCACGATATAATATTTGTCATTTCGCAATTCTGTTGATATATTCCTCTATGTAAAACAACAAAATATTAACAAGATTGGGAGTATAAGAGTGAAAGTTGCATTCATAGCGTTATTAAACTTATAACCGACTCAATAGACAGTATCACTATTGTGTTTATAAAATGTGGTGTAACAGAATCTATACATGATGTGAAGCTTCAATAGGCATGGATTGTGTCATCCACTGAGAATTAAATGAAGCATAGAAACGAATTGCCAGATTAGAAAATTGATAACTCGCATGGCATATAAGGGTAGCATTCATGTAGCACGCAGTTGTGGTATATCGACTGTAAAATGATACAACAGACACAACACATTACATTATACAACTTAAAACATGATGTAGTCAGAATTGTACAAAATAAACAACATTGTATAAAACTAGTTAGTAAAACTTGTATATAAAACACACACATGACATAAACCTTTAAACACCAGTTAGTAAAAATTGTATATAAAACACACACATTACATAAAACTTTAAACACCAGTTAGTAAAAATTGTATATAAAACACACACATTACATAAAACTTTAAACACCAGTTAGTAAAAATTGTATATAAACCACACACATGACATAAAACTTTAAACACCAGTTAGTAAAACTTGTGTATAAAACACACATAAAATAAAACTTCAAACACCAGTTAGTCAAAATTGTATATAAGACACACATAACCATCAAAACTACATAATACAGTTCTATAAAACACTTTTAAATTCGAATAGCCAAGTGCAAGTCGTGATACAGCGTCTGTCTTCCGTCCATCGTAGTACAGCGTCTGTCTTCCGTCCATCGTCAACATTGAACCGACTTCTCCTCGACAAACAATATGTCAAGAGTCATGGTAATATGATGGAAGGTTCCTGGAGTAATGCCCGACAAAAAATTTCAAGTAGAATCTTTCTCAAATCTCACAAACGACTTCTCCAGATAATGTGGCGAAGGATCAGGATATTTAGCACGTAGGTTTCAGGAATTAACCCTGAAAAAGTTTGCGAAAATATAACCTAAAGCCATATTCAAGGTCACAGGGATCAAATTTCCTCCCTGTTTATACTGGTTCCCAACACAAGAATCCATATAAACAGATTTTTGTTATCTTTGGCTCGTCTAGCTGTTCAACCAAAACTTTTATCACAGCACCAGTCTTAGTACCATCTGGGTTAAAGTCTTATGATAATGTTTACTAAAGAAGTTGAATTGGTGATATGTGAATGTTTAAGAACTCAAAAAAGGGGGTATATTTAGATCTGACAGGGTCTTTATTGACGATGTTGTTTGTATATAATAACTAGAATCACAAATCAAGGACACTGTGACCTCTTTTACATCAGTCGCTCACTTCGCCACTAAGCCATATCATAAGCGTGATGATTTGCCTATTTTGATCGCCCGTTAGAGTTCAGTAAGTGGGGGTGTGGGGTTTGGCATTTTAAAGCGACGATAATGTTAAAAAAAACACTACGAGAAAACGATATAAAACGTTCTTTTTCCCAATAATATGTTACAAAACTAAGACTTTCTGTTAATTACTAAAATTAAAAGTCACTGGAACCATTTTTTTTATTGATGTCTAAAAAATAAACAATGTAAACATTGCGATCTTGATCTAATTCATACATTACCGCTCGTTACCATGATGCTGCGCTTGCGTATAAACCTAGAAAGAAGCAATATGGCGGACGCAAATACGACAAGACGACGAGGACCTAAAAGTTACCTTACAGAAAGTGTCAGAAAGCGTAAGAGGAAGGAGTCAGACCAGAAATGAGGACAGGCAAGAATTTATATTAGGAGATAGATAGATGGCTAAAGATGAAGGAGGATCTTGGACTGAATACGGATTCGGAATTTGCAAAGCTGCTGCTTGACTGGTTAGCTTAACGTCAGCCATATAATTATGACGTATCCGCCTGTCATTGATTATAATCCAATATCCAGAGTTTGACGCGTGAATATGTTATGAACAACACTACTTAAAGTGATATCTGATAAATGTTGAATGAAAATAGTTGTGTCATTCGCTTGAATTTACCATCTACAACGTGTGTTTGTTGTTGACTGAAAGGTGGGGGCCCAATTGCGGGTATTCGTTCCAAGTGTCAAAATATGACGGTACTGGTGTTACTGTGAGAATAACGACCGCGGTGATAAACATAACCTTCATAATAAATACATAGACACATGTTGAATGGTAAACAAAATATATTATTACACATGACCGTCGTGAGGGCAAGCTAGTTGGACCAAATGTATAAGCATAAAAGCAAGAGAAAAGATCAGCTATGATTGAAATTGGCCGTTTATTAATATATAAACGACGAACTTGAAACATAAGAGTTTCAAGCATGAACAACAAATTTTACATAAGAAGACGTTTGGTCCTAGGTGGGGATAAAAATATCTATTAATGTGTACAGACAAAGTATCAATTCCTGTGCATTTCTGCACAATGAGTTTTTTTCTTTTCCGATTGTTATTACCCCCTTTGGGGCCCCACTAATTTAGCACCCGCGATTGACATGGAACATTCTCGCACGACAAGCCAATACAAAACGGCGAAAGTAAATGACTTCGTCACGTGACCAGTCATGTGACCCACTCGGCTTTCTTAATAATAAACTGAGCGCGAACATTTTTATAAACAATAGTCAAGATAAACAATGTTCCGACGCCGAAAATATGTACAAAAACAACAAATTTGATTTATATGCACGTGTATCGCTTCATTATGGATATATTTTATTATTCATAAGCCGAATTCTTAATTTCCCGATGTTGAAATCAAAGGTAATAACCGCTTTAAGCTGATCGTTTTAACAAGAGACCGTTCTTTTTATGGAATTGATTGTGTCTTTATTCCCAAAACTAGCTTTTGCTATTATAACTAAGATAGTCACATCACCGATGATGGATTTGTTTCACACGTGTGATGTCTGAGTGAAAATGACAGCACACGAAAGCAATACAAGAAAACGTCTGCTTCAAAATCACACGTGTGATGTCCGAGTGAAAATGACAACACACGAAAGCAGTACACGAAAACGTCTGCTACAAAATCACACGTGTGATGTCTGAGTGAAAATGACAGCTCACGAAAGCAGTACATGAAAACGTCTGCTACAAAATCACACGTGTGATGTCTGAGTGAAAATGACAACACACGAAAGCAGTACATGAAAACGTCTGCTACAAAATCACACGTGTGATGTCCGAGTGAAAATGACAGCACACGAAAGCAGTACATGAAAATGTAAATCACACGTGTGATGTCCGAGATAGGTGTTTGTGACGTAATCTATTTTCAGGTTGACATACTGAAGATCATATGCGCAATTATGGATTAATTCATTTATTCGGGTTTTGTGATATTTTGTGCGTAAATCGTACATGGAATATTGATTCCTATGTCACAACCGGTTACAAACTATTGCTTGACATTTCTATGACTACGCTGACACATACTTTCGGGTAAATCCTAACCCTTCTTCATATGTCATCACTCCACTATTACCAGAATACTTATCATTATGGGCCCTTTCATCGCGCTTCAGTAGGTATAGAGCCGTGTCGAATACAAAGAAACAGTATTTATAATGTACATTCTGATATCTTTGATGGTTAATAGACCATCTTGACCTCATAATGACCTTGAATGATATAAGAATGTTAAACTCCTTAAAAGCACATTAACACGAAACAATGTACATATGTAGATTATGTACAATCCGTACATAAACAGATATATGAAATTTCGTGGATAGTGGTTTTTACAAAGTCAGAAACTGGCAGTTAACACCGGATATGTATGTATACTTTGATGTTGAGTTGAAACACTGTGGAGCCGATAAAAATAATTGAAAAAACATTTGCTGTTAGCAGGAAAGCCTCTTGTAGATATAGATCGAACGTATAATGAGCCTTAAGACATCCCCCCCTCTCTGATCCCCTACTCCACATTACTAGTGGTTATTGCAGTGTTAAACGTATGTAACGCAGTATCGCCGCCATGTAAGTGCCAATTCCCACAACATGGAACCCAGAGCGACATTTGAAATAACAAGATCCGATGTATGAGATATTGTGTCGGTCCAAACAAGATATGCTGTCATATGTCGGTTTAGCAGAGGGGTCTGTTGCTATTAATTACACATATGCTGCTTTGTAAGACAAGTGAAGGTCTGTTCCAAGAAATTTCATGCATAGAGGGTGGACAATTCCTAAGACATGTCCTGTACAGTGAAACATGTGTGAGTTATTCATCAGACATATCCTGTATAGTGAGACATATGTGGGTTATTCCACAGACACGTCCTGTATAGTGAGACATATGTGGGTTATTCCACAGACATATCTTGTATAGTGAGACATATGTGGGTTATTCCTCAGACATATCTTGTATAGTGAGACATATGTGGGTTATTCCACAGACATGTTCTGTATAGTGAGACATATGTGGGTTATTCCTCAGACATGTCCTGTATAGTGAGACATATGTGGGTTATTCCACAGATATATCCTGTATAGTAAGACATATGTGGGTTATTCCACAGACACGTCCTGTACAGTGAGACATATTTGGGTTATTCCACAGATATATCCTGTATAGTGAGACATATGTGGGTTATTCCACAGACACGTCCTGTATAGTGAGACATATGTGGGTTATTCCACAGATATATCCTGTATAGTGAGACATATGTGGGTTATTCCACAGATATATCCTGTATAGTGAGACATATGTGGGTTATTCCACAGACACGTCCTGTATAGTAAGACATATGTGGTTTATTCCTAAGACATGTCCTGTATAGTGAGA